TGGTATGGTGAAACTGGGCCCTGACCTCTATGTCTCTGGGACAGACGCCTACTCCGGCTATCTGCCCAATGGCGAGTTCTCCGGGTTCAGTATGATGCACGAACAGGGCACAGGCGGTGCACCCAAGTACGGCACAGTCTCGCAGCTGCCGCTTACAGGGCACATCACCAACCCGCTCTCCAACATCACCGTGGGCCGTACAGGCACGGACAAAGCGGCGGTGGGTTATTACCAAGCTCAGACCTCCGAGGGGACGGTGGTGCAATTGAGTGCGTCCGCCCACGCGGGAATCTATCGTTATACCTTCCCTCTGGGCTCCGTGGCAAACGTCCTCATTGATGTTTCGCATGTCTTGCCGTCCTATAGAGGGATGGGACTGAGTCAGGGCTATAAAGGCGGCAACATCACTGTCTTCCCGGACGGGCACTATGAAGGTCATGGTGTTTATGACAATGGCTGGAACCGCTCACCTGACTGGTCGATCTATTTCTGTATGTCCCCTCCTTTCTCCTTGCGTCGGAAGTCCTTGGAACAGGACTCATAGAAGACCAGGTGGTTATTTCGATGCTGCTCCTGTCAGTAATCGAACCTATGTGGGGACGGATGCAGATGGCAGTGTTCGACAGAACAGTGGCTTTGCGTCGTCTAGCTCAGGCTCGGCTCGCGTTGGGGCGGTGTACACATTCCAGGATACCTCTGTGACATCACGAGTAGGAATATCTTGGATCAGCACCGAACAGGCCTGCAGGAACGTCAAGGATGAAATACCGGAAGACAAAGATTTCGTTTCTGTCGTCGCTGAAGCTCAAGAGGAATGGGAGTCCAAGGTCTTGTCCAAGGTGACAACCAGCAACACCAATGAAACAACTCTCAAGCTACTGTATACATCGCTTTATTTCATGCACTTGATCCCGACTAACCAAACGGGCGAGAACCCTGGATGGTCGTCCTCGGAACCCTACTATCAGGACATTTTCACATTTTGGGTGAGTATCTCCTTGAGTAGTCCGAGACAGAAGTGCATCGCTCACATGATTCAAGGATCTCTTCCGCTGCTCAACTGCTCTCATGCAGATTTTGCAGCCAACTGCATATGAGGAGCAAATACGGTCGCTTATCGATATTTGGCGCTTCGAAGGCTACATGCCGGACGCTCGCTCTTCCAATTATAACGGGCGCACTCAAGGAGGCTCCAATGCCGATAACATCCTTGCAGATGCTTATGTCAAAGGGGTACGTGGCGCGGTGAATTGGGAAGATGGATACAAGGCGATGGTCAAAGATGCGGAAGTGACGCCTGCCAATTCCCCGGTCGATCCCCAGGCTTCCGACTCCTCGACTAAAGAGGGTCGAGGTGCGTTACCGGACTGGCTCCGCTTAGGGTTCATCACACCCAGATACTCCCGATCGGTCACACGGGCGGTGGAATATTCCTGTAATGATTTTGGTCTATACCAGGTTGCCTCGGGGTTGGGGAAGGAGGAAGATGCGACGAAGTATCTGAACCGGTCGCGCAACTGGCGCAATCACTGGAATCCTGAGCAGACCTCGCTTGGGTTCTCTGGTTTCGTGGTTCCTCGCAATGAGACAGGTTTCATGGAGACCGATCCCTTGGGCGACAGTGGCTACTGGGGCGATCCTTATTATGAGGCCAGCAGCTGGGCATACTCTTTGAATGCCATCCATGATTTGGAGAAGATGATTGAGTGGATGGGAGGAAATGAGACCGCACAGAAACGGCTTGACACCATGTTTACCGACGGGGCCAGTGGTTCCAGTGGAATCATCTTTGACCCAACAAACGAACCGTAAGTCCTTGTCCTCAGATCAAAATCACGGATGCGCAAACTGATTCACGTGGTTAGCATGTTCAATGTCCCCTACCTATATCATTATATCGGCCAACAAGATCTGTCTGTTGCACGGTCGCGCAGTGTCGCTAAATCGTACTATGGTACGAGTGCGTCAGGTCTTCCTGGAAATAGTGACGCAGGTGCTATGCAGACCTGGATACTATGGAACATGATTGGGCTGTACCCTATCACCGGGCAGTCGACTTTCTTGATCCATTCCCCTTGGTTTGAGTCCCTTACCATCGACCTTGGAGAGGGAAAGACATTGAGTGTCACTGCCACTGGCGGTGACGGCAATGGTGGAGGTAATATTTACGTGCAGTCGCTCAAGCTGAACGGGAAAGACTGGAAGAAGAACTGGTTGGCGTGGGAGGACATATTCGCTGAAGGTGGAACGCTGGACTTTGAACTTGGGCAGACGGCAAGTGGCTGGTTCACTGGCGAATTGCCCCCCAGTCCAGCTTCGTAAATACATCATAACCCTTTTTCCATGAACATAGGTAGTAAGACACTTTTCTGATCGAGTTAGGGCCACCCTCAGAGCTTTGTCAGTGGTAGAGTTTGGAACATAATGAGGCTGCGGTCAACACCAGTAGTCCTCATCTCTGTCAGTAGACGTAGACGAAGGACTTGCCTAGAAATGGGTAAAGCAGGACTTACAGATTTTTTTAGTGTTATGGAGCAGAAATGATGACCCAGTGCGGACAATTGTAATTGTGTAGATCATCATCTCAATACGATCTGCCCCAGAGAAGCGCTCGGAAGTGCCAGGAGAAGGAAGAATGGTCGATCACCAGTTCCACTTCTAGAAGATCGCCGCGTTTATCGGCAACTATTCGGGACTTCGGAAACTACCCCTTAACAGGGCTCCTGCACAAGCACAATCAGAGTCGTAACTAGCTTGCGGCGTCCGGACCAAGCACACATCAGGAGGATTTTGGATCAAGTATGTCTCGTGGAAAAAAATCTCACGATCGTGACCAATTTCATCAAGTGGGAAGTGTAAATTGACGGGGAGCAGGCGAGGCGCGAAGTGGTCTTCCCCGCCATAGAGCTTACAGCCCAGCCGGCCCGGGGACCTACGGGTCCTTCCCAGCTCAGGCTCCAAGGCATGAAATTGTACCTGGTTTAGCGCTTTCGAAACAAGCAACCGCACGCGCGATCACCTCCACTCCAGTCCACTCCAGTCCACTTCAGTCCACCCCAGTCCACCCCAGTCCGCCCCAGAGCAGATCACAATCCCAATGCCTGGTCAATGACGCCTTTTGGCTGCCTGGATAAACTACTCTATTGTTTACCCTTCCCCTGGGATGTGCTCAATTCTCAGAACCCGCAGTCCCTCCATGTGGTGCTACTCTTGCCCTTGTAACATGAGAGCACTTTTGCCTTCCACCGTGCTCAACCTTGACCAACTCCTATGTCAGTCCGTCTACAGTACAGCCGCCCTGCTGGACCAGTTGACTACGTCTCTGACTTATTGTCAGACAGCCACAGATTGAAAACACGCAACCGATACTTCACACCGCATAGCGAATCACAATCGGCCGTTCTTCAAGAGCGTTAGCGAGTATGAGCACATTGGTGCAATTCCGAGCACGACATGCCTGCTTTCACCCTGATTGGCAGCTGCTGCAACTCCAGCCACTTCCCACATCCCTCCCCTACATGGCCCTGTGCTGTATTGACGTACTTGGTACGGCATGCTGCGGAAGGCGAAACCTTAATCACAGTAGCGGCATGCCACTAGCAAAGTCAATCGTTCTCGAGAGTCGAGCTGCATTTGCTGCCCTCGGGGCTATATTTCCTTATTGTCGGGGTGTGGAGACCGCGGAGATGTTCGCAAGGACTACTGCCGAGCCGATCTTGTCTTTGGATTGGTTACTGAAACGCTGACAGGCAAGGTCGATCAAATTGTAGGCTATACGAGCACAATCCGTGGTTTTCTACCCTCGAGATCTCCACCTTCGTGGAGAAAGGGTTCTGAGGGGACGGCTCAGCAGTTGCTAGAGACCTTCAGCTGGTTGAGAAACATGAACGGCAGGTAAGCGTCTCTCTTGACTGGATCTCTGAAAGAAGGCTCCTAGCTCCCAGGGTCCATTCATCCTTGGCGCGTCGAATACTGCATCGTCGCTTCCATCGAGGAAAACGCTATACCAAATCTTAACTTGCTAGATGCATATAGGCGCATTCATGCCAGGATGATTACGAATGACCTTCTGGTTGTAGTCGCTCGATTCAGAAACATCTGTCAAGTTTGCATGGATTCTGTGCCCTGGTCAGTTGCTCAAATGTCCTAGGCAGTTTCGGCTTACTATCCGGCATCACCGCGCTTTGAGTTACTCTAGCTCGAATCAAGAAAGGTATGCGTATCATTCAAGCCAGTAGTATGTCAGCATCGCTTCGGAAAAGCTCCTTTGATCCGAAAGTGTGGCTCTCAGCCACCGCGTGGTGGGACAGTAAACAAAGCGCAGATCACAATGGCAGTGGCGGGATTTGTTCCGAAGGCTGCATGCGATTTGAGTGAAGATCAGCGGGACCTCGTGAACTGTGATGAATGAGCAATCGACTTTATTTCGTACCTTGCTTGATGCTCACGTATGTCGTGCGCTTTCCTGAAGCCCAAGTTATGTTTTATCGCTAACCTCCAACACTGTGTTTGAAAGTCTTGAGATCATGACCATGCAACAAGATGCAGCCAACGCGGATCTTGATGTCTTTACTTTGACTGTACCTGATGATCACAGGGAAAGTTCAAACGGTGTAAACCCTGAGAGGAGAAACAGACTATGATCATCATTGTCCTATGCCAATCCGTATCCACAATGAGGCAGCTCGTCAGCTTCATTCTCTCGCTCTCCTGAGCAGAAGCTACCGGTTAGGCAATTGCTGTCGATCCATCATCATCCTACACTCCTAAGTCCTCGTCAACACAAAATGTGAGCGAGCGACCTGGGATCATCTTTCTGCTCCAGCTTTGGTATATAAAGACGCTCTTCACCACTCATCGTTCTCTTTTCTTTTTCTCATCCAGAAGCGAATCATTCACTCTTTCTCAAAGTCCAACTTCCTGTCATTCCTTGTCAAAACTTACTATACCTTATTCCACATACTTCTCTCTCTTATTTTCCTATCACGCATATCATCACAATGAAGGCTGCTTTCCTCACTGTTCTCGCCGCTCTGGCTGCTTCCACCATCGCCGCCCCTGCCGGCAGCTTATCTGAGCTCACTCAGGTCACCAAGTCTATTTCCTCTTCCGGCTCTTCTGTCTCCAGCGGCGCTGTTGCCCCCTCTGCTGCCGGCTCCGCTAGCGGCCACGTCGTTCAGGACTTGGGCGGCAATGTCAAGCAGATCCTCACCGTTACCGGACCTGATGCCAAGCAGCTCCTCATCGAGTTGAGCCCTGATGTCACTGGTCTTCTCTCCAGCCTCGGCCTGCCCGGCGTCGGAGTCGCTGTTGGCAGCGTTGTTCAATCTGCTTCTAGCCTCGGTGACCTGCTCACCAACCTCGCTCAGCCCCTCGAGGGTCTGCTCACCGTTGTCGGGCAGGATGGAGGCGTTCTTCTCATTCAGCTCGACCCCTCCGTCACCGCTCTTGTCTCCAGTCTCGGCCTGCCTGGTGTCGGTACCCCAGTCGGAACTGTTGTCGGTACTCTGGGTCAGAACCTGAAGCGCTCCAACGGCGAGATTGTTCAGGATCTTGCCCCCCAGGTCAAGAACGTCCTTGAGGTCACCGGCCCTAACGCCAAGCGCCTTCTCGTCCAGCTTAGCCCTTCTGTCGCTTCCCTCGTCGCCAATCTCGGTCTCCCCAGTGTTGGCACCTCGGTTGGCAGCATCGTCAAGACCGCTGGCAGCATCGGTGACCTTCTCAAGGACCTCAGCACCCCCGTCGAGCAGCTCCTCACCGTTGTTGGTCAGGATGGCTCCTACCTCCTCATCCAGCTGTCTCCCGAAGTTGCTGGCCTCGTCAGCAGCCTCGGGCTTCCTGGTGTTGGCACCTCGGTCGGCACTGTTGTCGGCACTGTTGGTGACAACCTGTAAATGGTGAGTGTTGCTGGTTTTGCAAGGACGGGAAGAGAAGTTTGAACGAGACTAACGCATTTGTTTGCTTTGTTCAGGGAGCCATGCTTGGTGGACGCCGCGCCAATATTCAACCTGTTCCAGATACCCTTTTCCTTTTCGATAATGTCGGTGTGATGGCCCGATGGGTGACCGACCATGTATAGCAACGAACAAGCTACAGTGTATCTATCTTATTCTGGTGTATCTATGCGAGCCCGCCGGCGTGTCGGTTTTGCATATATTGGGAGAAACCCCAGACTATATAGATTTAATCTAATTTTACGAGTTACTGTGATTCCCGCCGATTTTCGCCGAGTCTATCCAACACTTCACTGCGTATCTAGCTACACCGCCGATCTGTTTCAGGGGATTGAGACGGACGTCTGAACGATGGAGCTCGACAGCCCTAAGGAGGTTTGACCACTTCGGCTGGCCGGGAACGGAATGATGGACGACGGGACAGACACGAACTATCCATCCTCCGCGTTCCTTCATAGTGATCAGTGATCAGTGATCAGGAGAGTAAGTCATGACAAGCAATACGGCCCCTGAGCAATGTCCAGCCTCCAATGACCTCCAATGACCTCCAGGGGAATGAATGTGGATTTGTTGTTGGGGTAAGGCTAAGTGGTACTGGTGTTTCAGGTGAGCGGGCCATCCATTCATCGGCTACTTTGATTCTGGTGAGAAGAAAGATTGAAACCCGACTTCGGCAACTTCCCTCCCTTCCGTGCTTAATTCTCATCTCCCTCATCTCTCATCGTTTCACTACCAGCACTACTCTTTCCCCATTTTGTTATAAGATAACTTCTTTAATTGACATAATGACTGAAAACGTTCAATTCGCTCAAAAATCGGAGATCCCAGTGCTCTGAACTCCTTATCTGAAGATAATCCGAAGCTCAAGCCACGCTGATTTACCCGATGTCAACCCGCGCCCATCCAGGGGGGCTTTAATCTATTTGAATCAGGGTCCAGAGCCTGCTCACCATACTCCAAATCCAGGACCTGGCTCCCCATAGTGGCTCCGCGAACTCCATCGCACCAGGTGTATGGCCGACGCTGATGGTTTTAAGTTGGGCCAGGTTTTGCCCAGTTGGGCAAGCTGGCCCGATGTGTGCTGTCAAGAATAGCATTACTCGATCAATGGGGACCTAGTCTATCGACTAAAGACGACCGAGATGTCTCCTATTCCTTGGTTTCCACTTTCCACGCGGTTCACGACTTCAAAGAAGAATTCTTAGCCGCTGCAAGGCGGTTAGCTCAAACGGCAAACCGCTGTCGGCAAATGGCCGCTACGATGGAATGCTTCTTGATATAAAGAGGGAGGCAAAGGCTCGCTGACGTGGACTCGGTGACCCATACTCTCACTTTCATTTCTTTTCATGTACACTCTTTGACAGACGTCTCTACTACGCTCTTTTCTGTGTCATTTTTTGTTTCCTTCGTTCCTTTTCGTTTCTTTATCGCCAGATCGGCACGACACCATGCTTGTCGACAAACTCTCTCTTTTTGCCGCCGTGGGCCTGGCGCCCCTTCTCGCTGCTGCGCAGTTGAGCGGTTCTGTTGGACCATTGACCTCGGCCAGTACCAAGGCTGCCACCAAGACCTGTAATGTTCTCGATTACGGAGCCAAGGCGGACAAATCCACCGATTTGGGCACTCCCTTGGCCTCTGCCTTTGCCGACTGCAAGACGGGCGGATTGGTCTATATTCCAGAGGGTGACTATGCGATGTCCACCTGGGTCAAGTTGGCCGGAGGTTCAGCCTGGGCCTTGCAGCTGGACGGTACCATTTACCGTGACAGCACGGAGGGCGGAAACATGATCATGATCGAGCACACCAGCGACTTCGAGCTCTTCAGCAGCAACTCTAAGGGTGCCATCCAGGGTCTGGGCTACGAGCTACACAAGGATGACAATTACTCCGGCCCTCGCCTGCTGCGCGTGTGGGATACTACGGATTTCTCGGTTCACGATATCATTCTGGTCGATTCGCCTGCTTTCCACTTCTCGATCGACACTTGCACCAATGGTGAAGTCTACAACATGGCCATTCGTGGTGGTAACCACGGCGGTCTTGATGGCATTGACGTGTGGAGTGACAACATCTGGATCCACGATGTGAGCATATCTCCAAGTCTTGCGATCTGACTGAGGCTAACAGCATCGCATAGATCGAGGTGACAAACAAGGATGAGTGCGTTACGGTCAAGGTAGGATTCCGTGTTCCGAATCATATCAAAGATGAAATCCTGACGAGACCTGCAGAGCCCGGCACACAACATCCTGGTCGAGAACATCTACTGCAACTGGAGTGGTGGCTGCGGCATGGGCTCCTTCGGAACCGATACCAACGTCACCGATATCACCTACCGTAACATCTACACCTGGAACTCGAACAACATGATGTTGATCAAGAGCAATGGTGGAAGTGGATTCATTGAGAATGTTGTCCTTGAGAACTTCATTGGTATGCATTTAGACGCTGCCTCATTGACTACGAAGACGAATGTTGACCATCATTTCACTTATTAGGTCACGGTAACGCCTACTCCCTTGATGTCGACAGTGCGTGGGCCAGTATGAGCACTGTGGAGGGCGACGGAATCCAGATGAGCAACTTCACGATCAAGAACTGGAAGGGCACTGAAGAATACGGTCTGACCCGTGGACCCATTAAGATGATCTGCCCTACCGGTGCTCCTTGCTACGACATCACCATTGAGGATTTTGCCATGTGGACTGAGAAGGGCAGCGTGCAGTGGTACTCCTGCCAGAGTGCCTATGGATCTGGATTCTGTCTGAAGGACAGTGACGACCACGCCGCTTATTCCGCCTCCACCACCACTGTGAGCTCTGCTCCCTCGGGCTACTCCGCCACCACGATGGCTGCCGATCTGACTGCGGCCTTCGACTCCACCCTTTCTATTCCGATCCCTACCATCCCCACTTCCTTCTACCCCGGCGCTACTCCCTACAGCGCCCTGATGTCCTTGTCCTCTTCTGGCGCTAGCCACGGTACCCCTGCGACCAGCGCAGCTCGTGCTACTAGCTCGGCTAGCAGCTCGGCTACCAGCGTTGTGAAGTCGTCTTCTTCTTCTTCTTCGTCGTCCTCCACCTCGGAGTACGTTGCGGCCACCAGTGCTGCTGAGTTCGTTGCCACCACCTCTGTGAGCAGCGCTCAAGAACAAATCACCAGTGTCCCCAGCTCGTCTAGCTCGTCTAGCAAGCACCACCAGGGAGGTCAGTGGCAGCAGGGACAGGGATGGGGCGAGGCCCAGGAAGCGGATGTGGGTGGCTGCAACGCTTAGGATGTTAGATCGATTTCCAATTCTGCTGTGAAATGAGATTAGCAGCCTGGTAGCACAGCGAGTGTCCCCCCAAAAATGACAGGGAGGGAGAATTTGCAATAGACCAGTGTCTCTGCAAGCCTGTCGAAAATAAAATAATATAATATATAGCATGCAAAAAGAAAAAATATCAAATGAATTGTCTTGCGACCCTTTTTGGTGCGTGCTGCTGCTGCATGCGGGAAGTTGGTTCCAGCCGGTGCCTGGATGTAACCTTATCGCCCCTGAGCTTGGACAACGACATGGACATGGACATGGACGTGGACCTTGACACCAGTGGAGATCACCACATTTGAGAGATTATACTGCATCCAGCACATACATTGATAGATACGAGCTTGACAATTTATTTCCAGGATAGAGCCTTTATTTTCATCCCTAGGAATTGAAAATTATCTTCGCTGCCGACCGAGGGGAAAGTGGCAGGCTTACAGCAAGCGGGGGTGATGTCACCCGCAACTCCGAAGCAGGAATGAATCCCGCACTAGACTCGTATAGTAACAGTTCAGATGGGAGAGGGAGGGAGCTTTGGCCTCGACCGTCCTTAGATTGTTCGCTGCTGCTGCTACTGCTACTGCGACCCCCGCATGTGCTCTTGGAGCTACCCTCCTCAACGCTCAACCTAACCTATTCTCTTTCGCCTCCCCCGCCCTCCCTCTCGCTCTCTTCCTTGTCTTTTGTCTTTTGTCTTTTTTCTTCTTTTTCTTTCCATCACTTACCTCCCATTCGATCTAAACCTTCCCAAACCTTTTTTACCTTCTCAAGCTTAGTGCTGGACGTTGTTGTTCGTTTCGCTTTACTTCAATTCGGTTTCTGCCTCCGATCCGAAGTATCACGTCTCTCTAACCTGTCTAAATGGCTTCAGATTCAGCACCCGCAGATGGCACCGGTGAGTGAGACTTTTCCCCCATAGCCTCCATAATCTGAAGCTTGCTGATTAATCGCTCATCACTTCTGATTCAGGTGTCATCCAGCTCGACCCATGGCTCGAGCCGCACCGCGACGCTCTCAAACGTAGATTCGAGTTTGTGGAGCATTGGGTCAAAACGATCAATGACCACGAGGGGGGCTTGGAAACGTTCAGCAGGGTACTTAAAACTTTGATTTTTATCTTCTTTTTTACCAAGCAACCATATTCCGCGAGCTGATCGCGGGTTCCGATCGAAGTCATCTTGCCTTATCTACTGATAATCCCGAATCATCCCGCATTCCACTGACAAAAACCATCGGGTTGAAAACCGATAGGGCTATGAGAAATTCGGCCTCAATGTCGCCGAGAACGGGGATATTATTTACAGGGAATGGGCCCCGGGGGCCGTTGAAGCCCAATTAGTCGGCGAATTCAGTACGTCTATGTGTTATTTCCTTGAAGTCAATCGAGTGAATTACTGAACAAAGGGGACGCTGGGCAGACAACTGGGACATCAAGGCAAATCCGATGAAGCAGAATGACTTTGGCGTTTGGGAGGTCACAGTGCCAGCTAAAGATGGGGCTCCAGCCATTCCGCATGACAGTAAGATCAAGGTGCGGCTGAACCAAGACAAGACCCCTCCCCCCCCCGCTGGTGTTATTGCACAATAAGGCTGATTTCTCTTATCGCAGATCACGATGGTCACACGCGGTGGGGAGCGAATCTACCGTATACCCGCCTGGATCAAGCGCGTTGTACAAGATCTGAGCGTTTCCCCGACCTACGAGTCGGTGTTCTGGAACCCTCCCGAGGCCGAGCGGTATCACTTCAAGCACCAGCGTCCGACAAAGCCTGAGAGTTTACGGATCTACGAGGCACACGTCGGCATCTCCTCCCCGGAGACCAAGGTGGCAACCTACAAGGAGTTCACCAAGAACATGCTGCCTCGGATCAAGTATCTGGGCTACAATGCCATCCAGCTCATGGCCATCATGGAGCACGCGTACTACGCCAGCTTCGGGTACCAGGTCAACAGCTTCTTCGCGGCAAGCAGTCGCTACGGCCCGCCGGAAGACTTGAAAGAGCTGGTCGACACCGCGCACAGCCTGGGTCTCGTGGTGCTTTTGGATGTGGTGCACAGTCACGCTTCCAAGAACGTGATGGATGGCCTAAACATGTTCGACGGCACGGACCACCTATACTTCCACTCTGGAAGCAAAGGTCAGCATGACCTGTGGGACAGTCGACTGTTCAACTACGGACACCATGAGGTGCTGCGCTTCCTCTTGAGTAACCTGCGGTTCTGGATAGAAGAATATGGCTTTGATGGATTCCGGTTCGATGGTGTTACCAGCATGCTGTATACGCATCACGGTATTGGAACGTGCGTCCATTCCCAACCACACCCTTCTCAATACAAGGACTAACTTGAAGAAGTGGTTTCTCTGGCGGTTATCACGAGTATTTTGGGCCCGCCGTCGACGACGAGGGTGTCATGTACTTGACTCTTGCTAACGAGATGCTCCACAACATCTATCCCAACTGCATCACGGTAGCCGAGGACGTATCTGGCATGCCAGCCTTGTGTCTACCTCACTCATTGGGTGGAGTTGGCTTTGACTACCGTCTCGCCATGGCCATCCCCGACATGTACATCAAGCTCCTGAAGGAGAAGTCCGATGACCAATGGGATATCGGCAATCTGGCTTTCACCCTGACCAACCGCCGCCACGGCGAGAAAACTATTGCCTATGCTGAGAGCCACGACCAAGCGTGAGTCTGCCTTTATACCACTTAAGCACTTTTCATTAAACCTCCCTCCCGCCCCCTCGAACAGTTCAACTAATGCATCTGGCGCCAAACCAGTCTCGTTGGCGACAAGAGCCTTATGATGTGGCTCTGTGACAAGGAGATGTACACGCACATGTCCATCCTCACCGAACTGACCCCGATCATCGAGCGCGGGATGTCCCTGCACAAGCTGCTCCGCCTGGTCACCCACGCCCTGGGCGGCGAAGGGTATCTCAACTTTGAGGGCAACGAGTTCGGCCACCCGGAGTGGCTCGACTTCCCCCGCGCGGGCAACAACAACTCGTTCTGGTACGCCCGCCGCCAGCTCAACCTGACCGAGGACCACCTCCTGCGCTACCAGTTCCTGAACGAGTTCGACCGCGCCATGCAGCTCACCGAGGACAAGTACGGCTGGCTGCACGCGCCGCAGGCGTACGTCAGCCTCAAGCACGAGGGCGATAAGGTCCTCGTCTTCGAGCGCGCCGGCCTCCTCTGGATCTTCAACTTCCACCCCACGAACAGCTTCACCGACTACCGCGTCGGCGTCGAGCAAGCCGGCACCTACCGCATCGTGCTGGACAGCGACGACAAGGCCTTCGGCGGCTTCGGCCGCAACGACAAGGAGACGCGCTTCTTCACCACCGACTTCGAGTGGAATGGCCGTCGCAACTACCTGCAGGTTTATCTCCCCACGCGGACCGCCTTGGTAAGCTTGCTCTTGCTCTTGCTCCTTGCCGCTTGTGCCTTGCACCTTGCCCCATATCCCCCGCCCCTCCCCACTTCTTTACTTCCTGGTGTGTTCTCGGATGCTAACAAGGGATCATTTCCTGTACAGGTCCTCGCGCTGGAAGACACCCTCTAAGAGCCTGGTCCCACGTCCCCAGAGGGAACGTCCCCGGCAGGGCAGCTGGCACCCTCCTCATCTAATACCTATCAATCTATCGATTTTCCTAGCGATTGCCAAATCCTTTGTTTCTCGGTTGTTTAATTTGTTAAGCTACTCGTGTTGATAATAATAGCAAGCAATGCAACAAATAGACTGAAGTATGCCTTATGCGGTTGGAGATGATTAAGTACTGTACCGAAGAGGGGGAAAGAGGGGGGGGCTGCCGCGGCCAGCGGTATTGGAGACTTGTGAGGAAAGACTGAGTAATGGAGTCATGACCCAGGCTTCATAATGGCATAGTGTCCCCACTTGGGTCAAAGGGTGGCGGGCAGTACGGAGTAGAAAGATGGGGTAAGGGATGGAGTAGCTAACAGCTGGGGGGTTTACTGTCAATAAATACGGAGTATGGAGAGAGAGACTGAAGCAAGAAGCTACGTGGCAGGAATCAAGCGTTACAGAGATGTTACTACTATGCTAACTACGAACTGACAGATAATCCCAACAAAAGAAAAGAGTACAATTTCTCAGCCCGGCGGGTATGAAGCTGATGGTGGTCATTTTAACTTACTTACATGAGCACGTAGTGTAACACAAGCCGGGAAGTCTCCATCCCGGCTCGGGGACGAGGGATTGCCTCCAAGTGCTCCTGCTTCCTTTAAGAATCGTTGGACTTGATCAAAATCCTTTCTCTCATAACTCCCTTTTCTCAATTCGAGTACTGTACAGGCATCGATGGAAACCGGATCATGGAAGAAAGGTAGTCCATGTCTAACAAAAAAGGAAAAGGGCGCTTAAAAACAATATTACATTTAGGCCTTGTTCTCGAGCTCGGCCAAGATCTTCTCACCCTTGGCACGGGCAGACTCGAAGTCACCAACCATGTAGAAAGCAGCTGGAAAATCGGTCAGCAAGAATCTCATGACGAAAACAGGACACGAAGTTTTAACTTACCCTCAGGAAGGTCATCACCCTCTCCGCTGATGATAGCCTTGAAACTGCGGATGGTGTCCTTGAGGTCGACCAGCTTACCCTCGATACCAGTGAAGACCTGGGCGACGGTGAAGGGCTGGGACAGGAAACGCTGGAGCTTACGGGCACGCTCGACGGTAAGCTTGTCAGCCTCAGACAGTTCGTCCATACCCAGAATGGCAATGATATCCTGGAGAGACTTGTACTCCTGGAGCATCTGCTGGACACGGGTGGCGGTGTCGTAGTGGTCCTGACCGACAATACGGGCGTCGAGCATACGGGACTTGGAGTCGAGAGGGTCGACGGCAGGGTAGATACCCAACTCAGAGATACCACGGGACAAGACAGTGGTGGCGTCCAAGTGAGCGAAGGTGGTGGCGGGGGCAGGGTCAGTCAAATCGTCAGCGGGCACGTAGACGGCCTGGACGGAGGTAATGGAACCCTTGGTGGTGGTGGTAATACGCTCCTGCATACCACCCATGTCGACGGCCAGAGTGGGCTGGTAACCGACGGCAGAGGGGATACGACCCAGAAGGGCAGACACCTCAGAACCGGCCTGGGTGAAACGGAAAATGTTGTCAATGAAGAGCAGCACATCCTGACCCTCCTCGTCACGGAAGTACTCGGCGATGGTCAGACCGGTAAGGGCGACACGGGCACGGGCACCTGGGGGCTCGTTCATCTGACCGAACACAAGGGCGACCTTGGATTCACCCTCGAGCTGAATGACACCAGTCTCCTGCATTTCGTGGTACAGATCGTTACCCTCACGAGTACGCTCACCGACACCAGTGAAGACGGAGTAACCACCGTGGGCCTTGGCGATGTTGTTCTGCAAGGTGGATTAGTCCATGTTACCGGCGAAACTCGAGGCCACAGAAGAACTTACGATCAACTCCTGAATGAAGACGGTCTTACCGACACCGGCACCACCGAAGAGACCAATCTTACCACCACGGGCGTAGGGGGCAAGGAGATCGACGACCTTGATACCAGTAACGAGAATCTCGGCAGTGGTGGACTGCTCAGTGAAGGCAGGAGCCTCAGTGTGGATGGGGCGGAACTTGTCGGCCTTGATGGGACCACGCTCGTCAATGGGGTCACCAGTGACGTTGACGATACGGCCGAGAGTGCCAGGGCCGACGGGGATGGTGATGGGAGCACCAGTGTCACGGGCGGCAGCACCACGGGTCAGACCCTCGGTACCTGGGAGCAGACGCGTTAGGGAACCAGCACGATAGTTGTTGACACCGAGACCACGCATTGGAAGGGATAACGACGAAGGAGGAGGTCGAGTGTCGAAATCTTTCCACGGTGGCTGGTGGTGCAAGGTGGGTGAAGCTTACCGTCCATGGCAATAGTACGAACGACATTCTCACCCAAGTGTTGCTAAATGCTGGGGTTAGCTATCAAAAGCTTTGATGTGACATATGTCGAACTGGCAAGTGGTGATGGTGGTGGACATACAGCAACCTCAAGCACGAGCTTCTGGCCGTTGTTCTCGGTCTCAATGGCGTTGAGAATGGCGGGGAGCTTCTCGCCGTCGAACTTAACTGTAGTCGAAAGTCAGACATTGAGATCTTTGATGGCCATTGAGTCGTTTTTGATGGAATTGATGGAATTGGGGATGGTATCGCGGTCGGAAAAGATTTTCGCGTAGCCGCCGGCAGGGTTTTTATTTTTTTTTCCGCCAGCGGGAAGGCAGGGAGCAAGTTGGAACATACCGTCAACGACGGCACCGATGACCTGGTGAATCTTGCCAACGGAGGCAGCCTCAGTGCTGGCCAGACGGGCAAGGGAGGGAAGACCGTTGGTCTTGGGCTGGAAAGCGCGACGGGCAACGGGGGTAGGCCGAGCAAAAGCAGCCCTCCCGAAGGTCCGGGCAAGACCGCTGTGGAAGAAGGAACAAGCCCAAGGTTAGTTCAAGGTTCTTTGATCATTGAAAGGATGAACAACAATATGAAAAAGAAAAGTAATAGTGGGGGATGGGGGAAGGTCTAAGCTGGGGGGTATGGACAGGGTCTGGAGTAGTATACCTCTTGAACATGATGATGGTGTTGAAGAGCGAAATGGGTATAGAGGGAGGTCAAAGGGGAGGATGGGGGAAAGGGAAAAGAGAGAGGGAAAGAGAGGAAAAGGGAAGGGAAGAGGTTGAGAGAGAGGAGGTCAGGTTCAGTTGAGGTGGAACCCGCGCTTGGCCGATTGTGTCCGGCTTAGCCTTTCCGGGGCGGTTTTGCCGACGATCCCGTGATGTACCGAGCAACGCGCTTTTGTGTGTGTTTTCTTGCCAGTTGTACAGTACAGTATGTACTGGACGGGTATTGTTACTTACCGGAGGTGCATCAATTACGCATGCATGCATGCATGCATGCAGAGTCGCAGACTGACTGGCTGCTGTGCAGACCACAAGCTAATGACCAGGTAGAGAGCGCAAGTAGCTCCGATGTATTATAGTATACACACAAAGGTACATGTATGAGAACATGTACCTTAAGTTACCTGGTCCATTCAGGCTAATCCATTCCCTCCTTCTTCTCCTCTTTTCACTACCTTGACTCTCCGTACTAACTAACCATCCATGCTCATTGCTCTTCCCGTCCGTCCGAGTACATACTTTCTAACCCCCAAATGGCAGTCCAGCTGCGCACCTGGCAACCAAGACCGAACCAAACCATGTCTTGAGTTGGGGTAACAATCCCAATCCATCGAGGGGGGCAGTTTCGCACACAAAATGGAGGATCGGACTTGGCACCAGCCCGGATACTATTCACTTACTAACTGGAAACTGGAACCCCGGCCAGCCCCCCCCCCTCTTTCATTGCCCTTCAACAATGGATATATACTTCCTACTTTATGTTTAAATACCAATGAGCTTGATTCTGTTTGACAAATAAGTATTCTCAATTCTGTCATTGTCAACTACCACCTTCACTCATCTCATTTAACTTCCCAAACCTCTCCCCTACATGTACCTTGAAAAGCAAGTGGTTGCTCCGACAACATAACAGACATGCACCGCATTGCATCCATCCATCCATACAGACAGAAAACAAGCGACGGTATCGGACAAACCGCAACCGCAACGAAAAAAAATCTGACGTGTTCCCGTGATTTCCCATTCCGGTTTTCTTCCTTTCAATTCCCATCTCTGTCTCTTCGCTCCTTGGCCCCGAGCTCGGTCTAGCGGTGTCTCGAAAAGCAAGCTCGATCTTGAAATTGACACGACACGACGACACGTAGGGGGACAATTAAAGCTCGTAGTTCCCTAGCAACGTAGACCGATAGTTGGATGAGGCTGGGGGAAAAAAAACTCAATTGCATGCAACCCGATGAAATATCGCTTAGCTTTGTACTCATCCGTACCGGTCTTGTTGTAACAATGACGTTCCAAAAGAGCCGCACACATTTTACATTCATTACTGGGTACTAGGTAGGAGCTCAAAGCACCTACCAATCCAGCTAGTGGTAGGAGCCGTCTTCCCTCAAATCTGATATCGGGTTTCTTGGTTCACCTGTAGCCATTGAGTATACACATGTGGGAGAAAAGCCCTTCCAATTTTATATGATATAACTTCTTCAGCAATTGGACAACCTCATGGCACTTGTACAGGTACTGTACCTTACACACAGAAAAACCAAAACTAAAAAGGAAAACCAAAAACCCGATCTAAGGCTACAAAGGAGATACATTGATTATGGCACAGTACGAGGTACAGAGGGGTCTTTTTGGGCTTGACGTTTGACAAACAAAACATGTGCGAGAGCAGGTGTCCAAGCTGAATGGATGGTCACCCATCCGCCATGATCAGAGGGTGCATATCGGAGCAGGCAGGAGTCGGGTTAACCATCAATCAAGCCAACGCTGCCGCTTGCAACTCGTCCAATCGTTCTACCTTCAATCCCGAGGATTTGTTCGGGGATTTATTGCTTCTCAGCGGGAGGGCTCTGGACGAAGCCCTTGCCTTCATAACCCTCGGAGCTGATGCCGTAGATGGGGTTGATCTTCTCGCGCTGTTGGGTGGAAAAAACCAGATCAGTAATTGTTCGTATAGATCAGGGATCCCTCCTTTCGAAGAAGAAAAGGAGGGTACAAAGGAGCGCAAAATGCATATGAGGGACTTACGAGAGCGTATTCGTTGCTAGCCTCCTGCCACTCCTTGCTCATGGTCTTGGGGAGGGGCTTGGCGAAGTAGTGGACGGCGTAGAAGAGACCGACACCAATGGAGCAGTACTGGAGAACCTTGACGAAGATTCTGAAGGCCTCGCCCTTGGGGGGCAGAGTGCGGGGACCGTGGTTACCGAAAGAGATGAAGTAGGCTATATTGTGGGGAAGAACAGAACCCGTCAGCAAAATTCTGTCTGCGCCAGCCAGCAACCAGAAAAAAAAGCATCTCAGGCGAATTGAGAGAACATACCAGCCTTCTTCTCCTGGAGGGTCAACTGGTGCCAGTCAGCCTGCATGCGGTCTCTGAGCTGCATCCACAGGTCGGCCTGCTCCTGGGGGGGCATGGCCTCCCAGCGCTTCTCGATACCGGCGAGTGTGGGATTCGAGATGGCATGCTCGGAAGCGGCGCGGGTCTGCTGGGAAGCAATGGTCTGCTTCTCAGCCTGGGGACGAGCGTTCAGGCAAGCCATTGGGCTCGAGGCCGTGCGGTAGGAGCGAATGGCAGCGGTGGGCATGGCCGAGCTGCGAGCAGCGGCCCGAGAGATGGACTGAGCGAACATTGTGTGCGATGGATGACGGGGCGTCTGGCGATCAATCAACGGTAGAAATCAACTCTCCAGGAGTAAGAGGAGCGATTCCTCGATAAAAGAGGATGGTGGACGTTGGGGATGGTGGAGTGGAGGGGTGACGAAAGAGTCGCGATGGGGAGGGGACGAAGACGTTCGATGATCTGTGGTTTGAGGTGGAAAGTCGAGTATCCGAACAGGCTAGCTTAGTCCATTTTACCACCACTCTCATTGGCCTGTGACCAAAACCCGTCCCGACCGCCCGTCCGCCTTTGCCCGTCTGACTGAATCCCTCTTGTCCCCCAAGAACTAAGAACATCAGGCGATGTCCATGATATTGATAAGGGGTTTCACCCGTGATCATAATTGTTTTCTTGGCTTGGCGCTCTAGTGCAGGTTTATTCTACTGAATACTATAGTAACGGCACTCTTGTATCCTGGACTGTCAGAATTGAAGGGAACTGGAAATTCCCTTTCTTCCTTCTTCATACGCTCAAGAAAGCCGGTAGCTACGTCAGTCACATCCCTAAACCTCAAAAATACTACTTGACAACTTTACGACGCCATCGCAAGAGAAAGGAGAGAGCACGATCTCCGACTTTTGATGACCCGGATGGGGTTCCGAGTATTGACTTTACACCCACCGCGCCAGTCCTTCTCCATGCTGGCCAACATTAACCTATTCTGTACACGCAAACGCTGAACAAACAAGCACGAATAATCCCTGCCCAGTCGGTGTCAACCCCATAATTTGACAGAATCGCTGAAAATTATACGGTAACTATGTATAGGAAAAGAGAACAAAGCAGAGTCAGGTCGTAACAATCTCATATTGAACTAAGAGTGTGCCAGGAGACTCGGAGAGAACTGCTTCGTTCCTGGTTCCGCCGCGATTCGAGATGATGCGTTGCGATGCAACAACCAGCATAGTTACCCTGGTCCGGACCCAGCCGGCACCGTTATTTATTTACCAGCCTTGCCACCGCTGGCCTCGGCCAGGACGGTCTTCCACTCAATGTCGGACTTGTCGTCAGCGTGGATGGAGTTGTGGATGTTGAGGGCGTTCTTCAAGTTTTCACGGGTGCTGGCGTAAATCATGGACCACTAGGGAACCAGCGTCAGTATTTCAAAGTCCTTCGGCCACCAGAAACAGGTTACGATTGGAAACATACGAGAGTGGGAGCGTCGCTGGGGACCCAAGAGATGAAGATGATCTTGCTTCTGTATCGGAGGGAAGAGAAAGTTAGCAAACCTATGCTTCGGCGGACCCGCAAGGAGCGCAGGCGATCATCGTACCTCTTGCCCTCACCACCGCCGAGCTCGTATTCCACATCGTAGACGGCGTAGCGGGGAGCGGGGTTACCCTTGCTGTCCTTAGCAGCCTCGAGCTTGCTGCGGAAGACCTCGTAGTCCTCGTCCTTGGAGGACTCGTCGATGACGACTTCCTTCTTGTTGTCGGCGATCTTGAAGATGATGAACTTGGTCTTGTCTGTCTTGGAGCCTCCGCTCATGCGGAAGTCGTTGAATGCAGTGATGCACTCATCCGCGATGGAAACACTGTTTAGGCACGGCGATGTCAGCGTAGTCCCGGAGACACCGAGCTCCCCACCACTCCCGACAGAGCAAAGTATCAACATACCCAGATGCGAGCTAGAAGATAGTAAAGGGATCAGCTTAGTTCGGATTATAGCCAACCAAGAGAAGAATGTACCTACCGACATGATAGATTATAGTTCTAGAGTTGAGATGGGGGAAGTGGGCTAGTGGATAACCTGCGCAGGCACGCGATGTCAGTTGGCCAGATTCCCCTATTTATCCTCTGTCGTCACAGCACGGTCGGTGACTGCGGTAAGAAAGCACCGAGCTGAGGAGGAACTGAAAAGGCGACTTACCGAGCACTGAAACAACCTACTAAGGTAATGTTCGAGAAAGGCGGAAGAAATTGGAAGAGAGAGGGTGAGGGGGATTTGAGGAGGGAAGAATAGTGGTAATAATGGGGGGGGGAGAGAGAGGGGGGGGGGAGGGGAATGAGAGCCGAGATGGAGATAGAGGGGCATTTACTTGTTGTGCTTTGCGCTTCAGCGGCGGCGGGCGGGCAGTGGGGGTCCTGCCACGTGATTCGTCCCATCGCACCACCAGCCGCCATTTTCTCTTTCCACTCTTCCCCCTGAATTTGCTGGGCGATGACGGAGTGGCAGTGAGTTCTAAGTTAGTCTAAGACACTACCCAGTTAGGTTGCAACCTAGGGGAAAGGGGAGGTTGAATGCCCACCGGTGACTAGTAGTGCTGTATTATTATAGCATGGGCAGGCATCACCACCACCACCACCACCACCACCATCAGTAGCAGCAGCAGCAACATTCCGCATAATGCGCCTTGTCTGCAGCCTCGTGCCTGCAGCTTTGGCAGACCAGTTCCTCACTTAGTTACCACAAATCCAATACCTACCCCATCTAACTTGTATGGATAGCTCACACAAAGCCATGACGCTTGAGTAGCCTAATCACAATCTATTGACCGCAGTAACCGTCAGTCCCTCGTTCTATTCTCGGAGCTGCAGCCAAAATGAATCTTGTTTTCGCACCGGAGTAATCCGCCGTTGATGGGTATCTAACCATGGAACTAGCCCCGGCTAGCCCAGTGATATCACGTCAGTCCGGTCTTGGTAAGGCTGCAAATTCGATAGCTATGTACCTAGTATCTCCCCTGCACAGCCGTCGCTCGAAGACACGATGCGACTGTAAACGATGATAACACGGACATTATCTCGTTTGCCAGAGTGTATATGCTTACATCATAATTTTATTTCTGTGAAGAACTAGATAAATAGATGCTGTGCGGCATCGCATGATGCGTAAGATGGGAGTGCGTAAGGACATTATTGTCCACGCTCGAGACGCTGAAGTATAAAGATGCAAATCGTGTCTAAATACAAGAACTGCACCACACGCTTGACAAGTGGGTATATAAGAATATGAAGATCGAAAAGAAAGTATTTAAAAGGGCATGAAAATCAGATCGTCTCATGAAACGTCGTCAACTCGACAGAGCGATCCAGCAAGGCCTGGGAAGATCAAGACTGCGGTTCAAATCATCATGAAGAATGCCCGAGATTCGAAGCGCTAAGCCATGTATGAAAGTAGCTGTCAAGTCCGTGGCTCGTAGTTTGGGAAAGCCGGGCTAATTGCAGAAAACGCTCTGTAAACAGCAACCTCAAATCAAACGCGCACGGAAGACCAAGCTAGAAGTAGCACAGGCCTATAAGGCTGCGCACCTGGACCAGAGTAATAGCTTTGAAATCTCATCTATCCTCTTCCGTGTGGCCGCCGTCGATGATTTTGCGCCAATGTTGCGGAAGGCATACGCAGACAAGTGGAAATGCCTTGATCTCTCCTAGCGGAGTCGGAGAAGGGGCCGGCCGTTGTGTGCCATTCGAGACACCGCTATCGCGCTGCTCACGGTGTCTAGCGTCATGGTCATCAACGCTCTCGGGAATGCGAACGCCGGTAGCCCATCCGTCATCCCATATACCGATCACCTTCAGCATCTCGCCTCGGTCCAGTGCGAATTCATCTCCTGCTCGAGGTTGATATGCCCATAGTACGGCCACCTTATCACCGGGATGTATCTCATCCGGCGAATAATAGTCCTGGAAAGAAGACAATTGCTCCGACTGTCCGCTTGTCACGCCTTCAGGTGACGAGTAGTGACCAGCTCCCATTGAGCGCGGTGAGCTATCAGTACCCATACCAGCCAAGGCTGAGTTGCTAGATAGCGAGCCGTGACGCTTGCCAGTTGTTGGGGGTATTTTCTTGGACATAGCACCCGGGCTCGCACCATACTCTGAGTCGGAAGAGTCGCTGTACTTTCCGCCCCCGAACAAGGCGGCCGAAAGGCGGGATCGTGCCGGCGATGAACTGGGCACCTCGCGCAAAGCAGACATTCGAGCGACTCGTCCTCCAGGGATGGCAGCATAGCCATTGTTTACCTGGGCCTGTTGCATTGATGGAGACCCCTTCCGTTGTGGGTTCGGCTGGTTGAGGCCACTTTCATCACGCGCCTTGCGCTTGCGGCGCAAGCAGATGAAAGCGAGTAGGGCGAGAGCAGCCAGTAAAGCAAGCCCCGCCACGGATCCTATCACAATACCTGCGATCTCTCCACCAGATAAGCCATCCGAAGCACCAGCTGTTGAACTTGATGTTGACGTCGACGTATAAATCGGTGTTATCGTTGAAGAGGGAACGGTTACATTCGAGCATCGGGTAGCTGCTCCTGCGCTTTCGCAGCAGGAGTCGGTGGTGTTGTTCGAGCTCGTTTTGCAGTGCGCACACAGCCCCAAGAGATTGGACCGAAATCCACAGTTCTCCGGCTCATTGTCAGCTCCGGCGACGCAGCTCACAGTGATCGAGTCAGCAGGAAGAGCGCAAATGGTGAAGTCGGACCGAATCTGGGCCATGTAGTCGTCAGCCCTTTCAGGACAGAGGTCGGAGTCGGTGATTATGGCCTCTTCGCTTTCAGCCATCTGAGCCTATTCTTTGTCAGTATGCAAACAATATGTCCTGGTCAAATGAGAGTCTAACGCAGGCGTCAGCGCAAAGCGGTCTCGAATCCTGAACGGAGAGATTGCAGTCGTCTTTTGAGCTTTGGACCAAGCTACTGCAGATCACACTGGTGGTGTAGCGGGCATAATAGTCGCTAGTGTCAGTGAGGTTGGCACCTTCGCATCCTAGATAGTCCACGTATCTGCCGAGAGAGAGACTCGTGAGGATTTTGAGTTGGTAGCATAGAGGGCTGGGCAGGCTCACTTTGACTTCACAAAAGACTGCATGACATAGGTATTTAGCTCCTGGTCGAACTGCGTCAAGTTGGAGACATATTGCATGAATGGACTAGGGAGCGCTTAGCATGTCACTGTACTTCACATAACAGCTGGGCATACGTACAAATCCGTATAGAGACTTGAGTTGGTTGATATAGAGGAGGTATTGAAGGCGGGACATTGGGTCGAACCCGAGAGTGAGATGCATGTGCTGGACATCGTTGCAGCACTCAGCCGAGTTTTCCCGTAAATGTGTATACAGGGCTGGTGTGGTGTTTAGAGAGCGTATGACAGACTCAAATCCAGTTTGCGGTTTTGTCTTTGGAGGGCAGTATATCAGCAATCGCGCCCCATGATTTTCTCGTCGCTTCCTGTTGCACGCCGTCAGAGCTGAACCTGGCTGGGAGTGTTCGATTCGATGATGAAGTTCGACGCGCACAGAAACTTCAAACTAGGACGCTTGCAGGAAGTGAAGTCTCGACTAAAGAAACACGGGGATTTGCGGAGAACTGGGGAAGTGAAAATGATAGCACGACGGCAAATGGGCTAGACCCAATCTGCCTCAAAAGCCGGCGGTCAAACGAGCGACTAAAATCTGAAGGCTAACGGGTCAATTGAGGTCGTCCAGAGAGAAGAGGGCCAGGCACCCGGTAGACAACTGAATTGATGAGAAAACCGGTAAGTTGAAGACAAAGAGTGGATGTAAAGTAAGAAGGCAAGCACGAGTCAGAGCTGATTTGAACCTCCAGGCTAGTTTGGAGTCGGTGGCCGTGCTTTCCCCTCCCGGAATTCTTACTCGACTGCCGCTGGAGGAAAACAAAGTCGCTCATCACACTTAAAATAGCTAGTAAAGACCTTCCATCGATATGCGATCGAAAAGAGGGAAACAGTAATTGAGATCCGAACGATGGGGAGCGCGCAGGGTTTGAAGAACTCAGGGAGTGCAATCACCAACCTATTGGGAGTTGGGGAACTGACAAGAGTCAATAGACTACTGAAGTCAATAAGGGGGTTCTGGCGCGGGCGGTTCGCGAAAGCAGCCGGCGTCTTCTCAATTCAACCTGCATCCACAGCACAAGCGCTGAAGTTCACTTCCTCCTCATCCAGGAACAAACCAATTTCTGTTACCGATCGAGTTAGTCGGGCTGGCAGGGAGCAGGTTCCTGTCGAATCAGAATTAGATCGAGAGGTCCCCCAGCTTCGAGCTCCACAGACTATCCGGAAGTGAGCTTCGAGGTAGATCGAACCCATCACCGGCTCCAGAGTTCAGACAAAGAACAATCGCAGAACACATACGTTTGGGTCTTGAATGCAAGGATCCTCGGCGTATCCTATAATTCTGAGTGCGCACTCAGTCCGCACAATTCGTCGTCGCGGGGTTTGAGACACCACCGGAATTTAAGTGATTGTATACAGCTCGTTTCAGACGCTCAACAAAAGCCTAAATGTTAAGATGCGAGCAGAAAATTGAGGGAGAAGAGAAGAGAGAAGACAGATGCAGGAACCGCAAACTTTATTATCCGGATGGTTAGGAAGGTTCTGTGATGCATGGCAAGTCACTGGAGGTATTGTTCCCAACTGACGTGGCACACCTCGACCTTGTGAGGCTGTTAGTGCCAGAAGCATGAACTGAGATGGGCATTTACAGTCAATCTGATGATGATCCACCTTGCTGATGAATTGTCCCTGTCTAAAACCCTGGGTTGAGCCAGCATGCAAAAAAGCTGTGCATGGCGTTCCACACCCTGGTAGCCAGGCATTTATTGACTAAGGTGCTACGAAGTATCCATACCTACAGCAGCACAATTCAGTAGGGAGTTGGGACTGCAAACACGGGAACGAAGCCTGAACCAGAACTCCAACCTGTGGTACGCTAGATAATTATCATTCTAAGCCCTAAGATGGAAGGCCCCCTTTTGGGCCCGGGGGTCGGGACTCGGCGGGTCAGATATGGAAGCCTCCATATTGATCTGTTAATTACGGGGAGGTATATTATCTATCCACTATTTGACCTGGCTATGATTGCTGATTGATGATGTCTTCAGTTCAACTGATAAAGACATGATGATACACATCTACTCAAGTGATCCTCGGAGCTCATTAGGCTGTTTCAGGTTCGATTGCTAATTGTGCGTCAGCCACTAGGAATGCTAGGTTGCTTGACACTGCCGCTGTTGGGCCGATCGCCATTTGCGATAGCTCACAATCCAAGTCATGACATTGACAGAGATTTGTCCACGATTTGCTTCCTCAATTTCACCACGTAAGGTAGCCTCTCTGGCTAGGTAAACTTTTGGCTATGCAGTCCAGCCTTCAACTTCCGGCCAATTGCTGGCAGTAGAGCCGTTCCAGCCAGAGACCACCTACCATGTCGACACTAATCGAGTTTCTGCGAACTCCTAAACTTACCACCCTTGCGTCTTATATAGCGGTCTCTGATAAACTAAACCATAGTAAAGTAGACCCAAAGGATGTAAGGAGCTTGGTGTCGCCTGACTATTCACTGTCTTGAATTGAGTATTGTTTCGGTCTGGAATAAGGGTGGCTGTAAGCCGTGGTGTTCGGACCGTGCAGTACTATGCTTGGTTCCAGATGACAGTTGCATGCGAGCAGATTCAGACCGCCATGAGATGCCTCGCAAAGTCCTCCATATATTCCGCAGATATACCCGAGCCTCGTATTCAAATCAAGACCCAGCAGTGGGAAAGTCAATTCCCCGACTTGTAAGGATTGATGTCGGGTAATTCTCCCGACATGTTACTAAATGTGTACATGTTGTGAACTCTAGATTTCTCGAGGCAGGTCCTTGGGTCTCCGCCTCTGCAACAGAGCTCGGCCCCGAAATCTACCTTAAGACGATGGTGACGCCCTGCTTTGGGCAGGCAGTGATATCGGAAGGGAAAGAACTGATTATCTGGGTTGTAGCGTCGCTGACTTTCTGAGATAGATTGCCTGTTGTTGGAGCTATACTGTACTTACTCCCAATCTTCGAGAGGCAGGGGTCCTTTCTCATGCGCAAAAGCTGGTTATATATACCTCGCCGCCGTGGGTCCGATATCCCTTTCCGCGCCCGCGAGTCAGACGAAGACAAGGTCTATTTCATACAACACTAAACTATCGTCCATATCATATACCCAGCGGTCCATCCATATTGTGCGAAATGAGGAAGTATGTCGCATGACTGGATAGGTTAGAGCCAGCGACTCTGGAATATGAGTATAGTTAGCACCAGTTGACAAGAGAGGTGTAGCATCACAGATGAATGGATATGTCCCATGTTTTCACTGTCGAGCGAGTCAGATTTCTAGTGGTAGAGTACAAGACGATGGAGATTAGTGAATGCTGTTCATGCTGTTCATGCTGTTGTGGAAGGCTGACGCTGACTGTTAAACAACAACAACAATAGCATCGAGAACTGCCCGCTATGTCAGGTGATTGAGTGGCATGGACGACGTCATCTGATCGCGAGCCTGCAGCAGGCATCCATCCATCCTGCCATCACTCCACCACTGACTTTCAATACACCTTAACTCTGATCCACCAGAACAACAAAGGCGTGTCTGAGGTTGATCCTCTCTAGCTACTATACAATCCTATACAATCCTGCTTGCATAGTCCGACGTTCGTCCCATTACCAGTGACTTTACCATTGCGACCAACCTGCGAACATGTGTGGTTCAGACATCTTTCTAGCGATCCTCGCCATTTTCTTCCCTCCGATTGCGGGTGAGCCAGACATCTTGTCATGACTTCGTGCTAACCACAGATCAAGAACTAACACCGTGTGTTCAGTGTGGATCAAAGTAGGCCTCTGTACGGCTGACTCGGTCATCAACCTTGCTCTCTGCTGTCTCGCCTATATCCCGGGCCTCCTGCACGCCTGGTACATCATTCTCAAGTATCCCGAGCCAGACTATGATGACCCCAACTATGCGCCCCTCCCCGGAAATCACAGAGGAGACGCCGAGAACGGTCGCGTCACATATTACTATGTCTCCCATCAACCCATCCAGCACCCATCCCAACGGGGCTATGGGACCATGCCTCCGCAACAACCCCACGTGGCGAACGCTCAGCCTCAGCAGCAAGATCCCGCACCTCACCAACAGCACGAACATGCTTCTGGAGGCGGCGGCGGCGGCGGTAGCAGCAGCCGGGATCACGCCGATGCGCGGCCACCTCCCACGTACGCCGAAGCAGTGAAGGGAGACCACAAAGTACAAGACCATCAGACAGGTCAAGCCTGAATGAGACGAGCACAAACGCAGTTGCCTCGCAACTTTCTGTTTGTTGTCTAGAAATACTGCTGCTGCTAGGGAAAGACCAGTAAAAGGATTGTCTCCACAGTCCTACATACTGTTGGTTTTTTTCTTCCACAAGGCCTTACGAACCACAAGCTACGATCACCTGCTTACAACGAATGGTAATGGATAATGACAATGTGCTATATGTATTTGCTTAACTGTCTTTGATCAGCGCGGTCACGAACTTTCGGGCCCGTCTCGGGGGCCGCTCGCTGATTTGGCTCTTTAATGTGTTGTTGTGAAGATAAACCAGGAGAATAATATTAGCATTAGCTTTAAAGGTAGCTATAGGGTCATAGACCACCATTGTTCGACCAAGAAATTCAAGCCCCCCAAAAAAGTCTCTCTCACCGCATAATCCGTCCGCGTACTAGTAAGTAAGTTAGTAGAGAGGGTAGTGTCCACCAGAAGCCCGCAGAAGCGCGGCGTTTCCGCATGACCGCCCTCTTTTCCGGCTGCCGGCCGGACAAACAAGCCTGAGGAATGAATCTGAGCCGAGTGACTCGTCCGACCTCCAAGCACCCCGACAACGACGACGACGATACAGCATCTGCGTTGGCCTCCTGTTGTTAGCCCTAGCAGCAGCGGTCATGCAGTCCATGCCATTGCTGCTCAGGCAGTCAATCCGGTCCAGCTTCCACGGTCTTAGCCGCACTACTACCACCTCCTCCCGCCCGGTGCGAAGACCGCTGCTACTACTACTGCCCGCCGGTGTCCCGCAGGCTCTTTATCCTGGCCGAGAGACAACAACACCCCGGAGCTTCTCGACCTGCCTGCCATGTCAGTTCCGGACGCAAACCTCGGTGTACTCATCGAATGAACCGGAGAAGAAACAAGACGTGATTATCCTGGGGGCCCCTCCCACTAAAGACACCCCGGCACCGTCACCGCCGCCGCCATCAGCTATCCCTGAACACAACGCACATGTTGAGTCGGATGCGGGGAGAGACAGCCCCGCCGCCGCTGCTGCTCCTGCGGAGGAACAGTCGTCAACGACCGCTGGGCCTGAAGCAGCGGAGCGAGAGGGAAAGAAGCAGGAAGACTATGCTGGCGCAGACGCCGCGGGATCTGGGTCGCAGCCCGGGGGTCTCCCATCCTACCTGGAGAACCGACGGTCGCAATTCGCCAAACAGTTCAGCGTCGTGATGGACAACCTCCAATCGAACATCTTCGTGGCCGGGCAACGACTGAACGACCTGACGGGATACTCCGCGATTGAGGCATTGAAGAAGGACATCCAATTCCAAGGTACGAGAAAAGCTACAGTCTTCCGGACATAAGACCTCCACCACCTCCCAAAAGCCATCCAGATTCAGATTCTAATCCCACTTTTGTCTACAACAGAGGAACGACTTCGAGCCGCCCGCCTGCAAGTCCGCACCGCCAAGGACGCCTACGCCGCCGCCATCAACAACCGATCGACCTCGCAGCGCGAGGTCAACGAGCTCCTGCAGCGCAAGCACGCCTGGTCGGCCGCCGACCTGGAGCGGTTCACCCACCTGTACCGCAACGACCACACCAACGAAGTGGCCGAGAACGAAGCGCAGCAGGCCCTGACCGCGGCGGAGCACGAGGCCGAGGAGGCCGGCGCCCAGCTGAACAAGAGCATCCTGTCGCGCTACCACGAGGAGCAGGTCTGGTCGGACAAGATCCGCCGCATGAGCACCTGGGGTACCTGGGGTCTGATGGGGGTCAACGTGCTCCTGTTCCTGATCTTCCAGATCGCTGTGGAACCCTGGCGCCGCAAGCGGCTGGTCAAAGGCTTTGAGGAGAAGGTCATCGAGGCCATCGAGAAGGAAAAGACCCTGAACCAGGCGCAGATTCTAAACCTGCAGACCGAATTCTCCCAGCAGATGGCATCTGCCTCGGCCAACAGGGCGGAAGCTGCTGCTGCTGCTGCTGAACCCGCAGCAACCTCAGCAGGTGCCTCAACAGAGGAGGCCACCACCGCCATCGTCGCCAGCGAAGCTATCCCGAACGAGCAAGAGACCAACCCAGCCCTCCCGGCGTCCGCTCCGGTACCGCCCGAGACCGAAACCCAGGCCGCACCTCCCGTCTCAAACCACAACACCGACAACAACAAACTACAAAATGTCCTCCAGACCTGCAAAACCCACTATTCCCGCATCCCTCCCTACGCAACCCTCATCGAATCCTCGCGTCGCTATCTCCGGGACCTCTTCAGTGATCGGCAGATCACCATGACCCAGCGGGATCACTCTGTCCTTGCCATCCAGAGCGCTGCCGCTGGTGCAGCTGTCATCGGGCTGCTAGCGTTTCTCATTCGTCCACAGTGAGAGATACGGTTGCACCGTGCTGAAATGGACGTTCTTGTGTATGTTCATGTAACAAGCATTGATTTTCTTTTTGGGCGGAAAAGGAACGTCCTCTTGTATGTATTTGTATAAAGACCTCCCAAGACATAAATAAAGCGATGATCATTTTTTCCCCCGTGTCAACAAACGAGTTTAACTATGGCGGAGGTGGAGGGGAAGATTGATTTAGTAGAACCTGTAATTGTGGTTATGTTCTTGTTTGTCTATTGAAAATGGCAGGTTTAGCAAAGAGGACTAGAGAAAGTCACGACCGAGATCGGCCCACAAGTGTCAATCCATGACTTGTTCAAAGCTCCGAAGGAAGCCCGTACCTGGAACCCAGAGGATCAAGACAAGTGAGTGGCCGAAATGTAAAGGGAAAGGTCTGGGAAAAGAGTAGGATGACAAAAGAAACAAGAGGCTCAGTTTTTATCGGGATCCCATATTAAAACAAAGGTCTCTTTATATCTTGACAAAAGACGGAGAGAACAAAAAAAAGAGATAAGAAAAAGAGGATTTCATCTAAAACACAGGCACATACAGACACAACAACACACGCGTACATACACACAAACCTTCTCCGTCATTCTTCCCTGGCTCTCCAAAAAAAAGGGTTTGCTTGGCTAGCCTGCTCTTTCTATGCTGGCGAAAAGCGCACTTCCCCCCTTGATTGCACATGAGGTTTCGAATTTTGGTCGGGGTTCCGTTTAACCGATGACGAGGGTGTCCTCGGAGGGGAAGCTGTACTGGGGAACCTCGAGGTTGAGGGGAGCGGGACCCTTTCTTATACGGCCGGAGATGTCGTAGTGGGAACCGTGGCAGGGGCAGAACCAGCCGCCAAAGTCACCGGATTCACCGATGGGGACACAACCCAAGTGGGTGCAGACACCTAGACGCAAGAGGAGAGGGTTAATGATTGAGCTGAGGGGGCAGGCAGCACGGGATGCACATACCAAGCATGACAAGCCACTCAGCCTTCTGGACACGGTCCTCATCAGCCTGGGGGTCACGGAGAGACTGCCACTCAGTCTTCTGGGCCTCCTCGATCTCATCCTGGGTACGGTGACGGATGAAGACGGGCTTTCCACGCCACTTGATGATAACCTGTATGCGGAAGAACAGCGGTCAGATATCATAGTCGCACGAGGGCGAACCTGGCTGGGTAGTAGGGGAGTGGAGACATACGTTCTTGCCCTCAGGGATAGCGGCAAGACCGATCTCAACCTTAGCCTGGGCGAGGACGTCGGCAGAGGCGGACATGTTGACCAGGAAGTCTATTGATATGATCCCACGTCAGCGATAATGATCGGAGCGGCAAGGCAAGGCAGCCCATGAATCCCTTCCATCGAAGTCGTTGATTTCCTCCAGTTGTTGTCACCGTCCTCCCATACAAGTCCAAGCTCATATGTAAAACATTGAGAAGAGTCGGAGTCACCCACCCTGAACGGTAGCCTTAGCACCGACGGCAGAGGCCAGACCGAGGGAACCAGCCATGAAGTAGGAGAAGATCTGGTTGGAGCGGGGGCCCTTCTTGGAGGAGTATTTGCTGAAGTCGGGGATCTTCACGGTCTGGTCATAGTCCGCGGCGGGGGTGAAGGGGCTAGCGAAGCTGGATCTGGCGTTGGAGACTCCCCTCCGCTGCTGGCAGGAGGCGATGGCGGCGCGAGGAGTGGTGAGTTGTTGCCGAGCGCAGGCGCGCAGGACGGAGTTGGAAGCGGAGGCGAGAGACATGGCGAATGGAGGCAATTGCACAGTCAATTGCGAGGATAGGGAAGGGTACCGCTAAGAAAGTGGTGGGTGGGGAGTGGAGGAGGGGGGGGGAAGGAAAGAGAGATATCCGGGGAGGAGATCGGAGGAGGATTTGATTTTCCTTGAGGTTGGAGGTTGAAGTCGGAGGCCCGGCACTCATACGGAAAGTCGAACCAGAGCTTTCGCTACGGCAAGCGATCGGAATCACGGCGCATTTCATTGGCCCGCAACACCCGTCTTAGTCAGAATCTCACCTGACGTATTGCCATATGATTATCTTCCAATCTAATCATTGGTATCTATCTACTGCATGATGAAAAGTATCAATACAGTTGCTGTTAGACGATGCTCAGCAAGCGCCGTTTATTCAATAATAAATATATACAATGCTTGACCCAGATTGCACGGTGCTGGACTCTGGTGCAATGTCATTAGTTGTCACCCTGTCCGTCCCGATCCCTTCCCGTCCTATGCTATTATCCAAATTCCCAATGCGGTTGACCAGAGACCAAATGAAGAGGTCCGATTGCTTTTGACCAATGATGAGGAGAAAAGAAAGAAAAAAGCAAACAATAATCAGACAATTTTGTAACCAAGCGGACCCCCAAAGAACTCCCCAATGCCATGCAATGCTCCATCAGATTGTGATCATTTGTCGCAGTCACTGGTCGGCCATCTCCACATCTTCATTCTCCGTCGGTGCCTCTACCGTTCGATCCACCATCATTGTCACCGTTGGTGGTCGAGAACCCCTGGATGGTTTGTCGTCTGAGCCCGGCTGAGCCTTTTCGTTGTCTGCCTCGGGCTTTCCTTCTGGCGCTGGAGGTATGCTGCCGTTCAAGGTGCGCTGTCCCTTTTCGTATCCGGCTTCTCTGCTCGCCTCCTTGGCCCGCTTCTCCTTGAATTGCTTGTACGTTGTTGTCTTGGGGATCACGTCGGCGAGGAATTCGAGGTTATCAATGCGCGACACCGCCGTAGCTATAGCCAGAACCGTCAGCCTGTTGCACAGTATTTGGGCCAGGATCTTCTCTCATACTAACCAAGGTCCTTGTATTGAATCGTTTTGCGTGGTTTCCGTTCCGACTTAACGACATTATGGCCTTGTTCGGTGAGGTATTGGATAAACATTTCCTGCATGACATGGGACGATATGTGAGCCGAAGGTGCCTCCATGAGACCACCGAGAAGAAAGACAAAGCACGAACTGTAGCCATAGCAATAACGAACGTAGCGTTACTCGAGCACTGAACAATATCTTCGTCGAGTTGGATGATCTTTTTAATTCGCGTTACTATCAAGTATGATCAGTCAAAGTCAGCTGGAGACATTTCTAGTCCACATACTGGGAAGAGCGCTCTGGCCGGTGATCTCTTGGGAGGCCGAAGACTCGGCCGCAGATTTGTCTTTGGGAGGCATTGTGCAGGCGCGTCGAGAGCTTCCCCTCGGAATAAGAGCAATCAGCAGCTGATGGTATGGTTCGAAGTTTCAGAGAAGAATTATATAGATCGGTATGAGTTTGTGCGAGCTGGTGTTGAGAAAGTGGTCTGCGGAGGCGGAGTGGGTTGACGATAGCGATGCGCGCGGGCCTTGAAACCCACCGCGCGTGGCGGGAGTGGAAATTTGGTCCAATCTCCAAGAATGATCCTCAATAGAGAGGGACGCACTTGGTTCTTTTTTCTGTAAGTTTATGAACTTGTGTCTCTGTAATCGTCTGGACAAGTGCAGCCCTGGTAATTTACGACCCTAGAGATCTTAATTATTGTTTTATTCTTCTTGCTTCGCAAGTGTAACAGTGCCCCCAAAGCGGAAAGAATCCCAACTCCTTTCCACCTCCATTTTGTTATCGTCTCTCTCACGTGGGCGGCGGCCGCGCATCTACGGAGCTCTACTCTTTCCAGCTTTCCTCCCCCCGTACTCATCCGCCGCAATCATCTCCGATCTACGCCAAGGCCAGACCATGCTCTTGTCGCCGACTCAACCGATGGAATGAACTCCATACCTGCCTCATCCACCTCGGCCCATCCACCCTCAGTCTTGGCTGAGCGGCGGAACTGGAGAAGGTTATCAGGCTTATCTGTTCTACCATCACCCGTCGATGAACGCCCGTCCACGGCCAACGGCCATGCCCCCGCCATCACCGAGGAGATCAGCGAGATCAAGAGATACGAGGACTTCACCACCATCGACTGGGTCCAGGATGCGATCCACGAACAGTCCCGACGGCGAGCGAAACGGCGAGACGGCTTTGGATTCTGGGACCAAGAAGGCACTTTTGGGTGGAGACGCAAGGTGCGCGAATCTTACAACGCTGGGCAAGCTTGGGTCGTGATTACAATTGTCGGCGCGGTGATCGGCCTGATCTCGGCATTGCTGAACATCATCACGGAGTGGTTGTCCGATATCAAACTGGGCCATTGTACGACTGCGTTCTATCTCAACGAGCAGTTTTGCTGCTGGGGTGCGGAGGGAGGTACGCTGTCGCTGTTGTCGCTCCTGTCGCATCGGCCAATGTGAGCTCATTCTTACTATAGGTTGTCCCGAGTGGAAGCCCTGGACGTCCTTTTCGTTCGTGAACTATATCGTTTACATTTTTTATGCGGTATGTTGGCCTTACTGCACTCGTGTTTAGAGCGTCGCTGAAGGTTGCCTCTAGGTACTGTTCGCTTTCATCGCCGCAAGTCTCGTTAAATCGTTCGCACCGTACGCCGCAGGCTCCGGAATCTCCGAAATCAAATGTATCATTGCAGGGTTTGTCATGAAGGGCTTTTTGGGGGCATGGACACTGTTGATCAAGTCAATTGCACTTCCGTTGGCCATCGCATCCGGTCTTTCCGTGGGCAAGGAGGGACCAAGTGTTCACTTTGCCGTTTGTGCCGGCAATGTGATCTCACGCTTCTTTGAGAAATACAAACGAAATGCCGCGAAGACAAGGGAGGTGTTGACAGCGACTGCGGCGGCGGGTGTGGCAGTTGCGTTCGGTAGTCCGATTGGCGGCGTGCTTTTCTCTCTCGAGGTAGGGCTCTTGACTTGGCCAAAAAAGTGTCGTCTACTTACAATGCACAGGAGGTAGCGAACTATTTCCCGCTCAAGACCCTCTGGCGCAGTTATTTCTGTGCCTTGGTGGCCACAGGAGTGTTGGCGGTATGCAATCCACAGCTCTCAGACGAAGGCAGTCCTATTGACTTGGCTGGCAGATGATGAACCCCTTCCGAACTGGACAACTAGTCATGTTCCAGGTGCATTATGACCGAACCTGGCACTTCTTCGAACTAATCTTTTTTGTCTTGATTGGCGTTTTTGGTGGACTGTACGGGGCACTTGTTATCAAGTGGAACCTCCGGGTCCAAGGCTTTAGGAAGAAATATCTGTCGCAGCATGCGGTCATGGAATCGGTCATTCTTGCAGGCTTGACGGCTGTTCTCTGCTACCCGAACATGTTTTTGAGGATCAACATGACCGAAATGATGGAAATTCTGTTCCGTGAATGCGAGGGTGGCCATGACTATAACGGTCTCTGCGAGTGAGTCTCACATCTTCTTTGCCTTTGCTTGTTGTTGACTTGGGAACAGGGCCAAGAATCGGTGGACGATGGTAGGGTCTCTGGCCGTGGCTACAATCCTTCGTATCTTCTTGGTAATCATATCGTATGGCTGCAAAGTGCCCGCCGGTATTTTTGTGCCTTCGATGGCCATCGGGGCATCATTTGGCCGCTTTGTCGGCATTTTGGTGCAAGCTTTGCATGAGGCGTACCCCAAATCTCAATTTTTCGCGTCTTGTGAGCCTGATATCCCATGCATCACACCGGGTACATACGCATTCTTAGGAGCAGGAGCAGCTCTGAGTGGTATCATGCATTTGACTATCTCAGTGACTGTCATCATGTTCGAATTAACAGGCGCGCTGAACTACATCCTTCCAACCATGGTGAGTCTTTCGAATGTACGACTTGGAGTATGAGTATAGCTAACGTAAAGAAGATTGTGGTTGGAGTCACTAAGGCCGTTGGTGATTGCTTCGGAAATGGTGGCATCGCAGATCGCATGATCTGGGCCAATGGCTTCCCCTTCCTTGACACTAAGGAAGACCATGTTTTTAATGTGCCTGTGTCCCAAGCCATGACAGCCGATCCAGTCTCCCTCCCTGCAGCTGAGTTTCCTGTTCGCGAAGCGGAGCATCTCCTGAACGACAATCAATTTCAAGGCTTTCCCATTGTCGAGAACCGGACAAACAAGACCCTAGTGGGATACATCGGTCGTACGGAGTTGCGATACGGGATTGACCGTGCCAAAGCCGAGGGTCTACTCTCTCCCAATGCGACATGTGTGTTCACCAAAGAAGCCGCGGAAGCCGCCATCGCTCGCCGAGCGGCAGCGGCCGCTCATACCTCCGCTTCGCAGCACCTGGCACCCGAAACCTTTGATGACATTCAATCAAACGCCGGCGCAAGCATTGTGGACTTGAGCCGATACGCTGATCACACCCCGCTGACTGTCCATCCCCGGCTCCCCCTCGAGACCGTGATGGAGATCTTCAAGAAGATGGGCCCGCGCGTCATCGTGGTCGAACACCGCGGCCGCCTCACGGGCCTGGTCACCGTCAAGGACTGCCTCAAATATCAGTTCAAGGTTGAGGCTGAAGAGCAGGCCCTGGCAGCGACCAGTCCCCCGCAGCTCTCCCTTGGAGGGGCGTCGAATCCTCGCGCGAGCGACACGCTGGAGGAACGATTGTGGACCTGGATGCAGCAGGTAGGGTCGTTGTTCTCTTGGAAGCGAGCCTCACGGATCCGACTGGCCAGTCGTAGGTCGGAGTCTCGACCATCAGCTCCGGCTGGCAACGACCATCGGGAAGGAGCGGCATCGTCTTCTTCTTACCCGCACGATCCGATGGAATTAGAAGATAGATGAAAGCAGTCTTGTATAGAATACATACGAATATATTAGATTTATTGATTAACGAGAAGTCACGGCCGTAACTTGCAACATTGCTTGCACCGACGTTATTACAGTGTACTGATCTAACAATAATCACTCTAGAATGGACCTTGATCGCAATTCCGAGCAACACCTTCCCTCTACCAGCCCACACCCCATCTCCCGTGTAAATATCTGCACTGCTCAAAAACAACCAAAGAGTAAGATATCATACCATCTCAAACACATGTACAGTATAGCTAGCTAGCTACCAACAACCTCACGAACCTTAGCCCCAGAGCCCCACCCCTATAGAACCAAAAAGAGGAACCCCCCCCCCCCCCCTACGACCCCCCCAGGCCCTTCCTCCCTCATCCCCACAATAATACAACCCGTCCCCATCATCGCCGCCCCAACCCACCACAGCCCGCCCACGGCCTCCCGGAACACCACCATCCCCAGCACGGCCGTCACCAGGAAATTGGCCGAGGTGTTGGTGATCGACACCTTGGTGGTGGAGGGCGACGCCGTCAGCGCCCGCGTGAACAGCGCCCACATGATGATGTTGCAGAGGATGTTGAGGGCGAGGCAGATCTATTCATATACCAGTGTTGTTAGCTTGGTGTTCTGTTAACGCGGCGGGTTTGATGGTCACCCCCACACCCGAATCCCAGCAAAGGAGGAGGGTGGGAAGGGGGATTTTATGCAGGAAAGGTAGTAGGGCATGGCAGGGCAGGGCAGGGGAGGTGTGAGGTGTAAGGTGTAAGGTGACGAACGCACCCCTCGGATGGCCAGCATCAAGATCGGATGGTCATCGGGGTTTGTGGTGGTGCTGCCGACGAGGTTGAGGAGGGAGGCGGCGAAGGTGGTGGTTTGGGTGTCGGTTGTTCTGTTGATCGCCAGATATTAGTCCTCTGTTCTCGGTTCTTCTTCGGTTGGGTGTTATGGAGCAAGTGTAGGGCAATGGTGATGGGGAAGGGCTTACAGTTTCGCGAAAAGCCCGTTGAATGCGGCGAAGGCGCCGCTGGAGAGGGCGAGGAGGATCCAGCCGGGGGTTGTCGCGGTGGGTTTGATTGGTGTGGGGTCGGGGGATGGGTCGGGCATTTTGTGATTGGTACGGCTGTGTAGTATATGGGTATGTAGATATATGGATATAAGTCAACAAGGTTCAAAGGTCATTGTGTACGCATAGAGGTTATGCATTTGATTTGTTGGTGGAGGGAGAGAGCTGGCGCGCCGCCAAGGGGGTGTTTGTTATCGGAGGTTCTCTATCTTATCTGATCGATCCATGTTGCCGCATCGGGAGATGCTCGAGATATCATCTTACGAGTAGGATTCACCCACCTACTGTCCATATTCTTGACCAACTCGAGAATGAAAGTAAAATCATGAAGAGAACCAAGGCCCGAACAGCATCGAGTCTTCATGGCTATACCTCACGCATTGTATCATAGCCATAATCTCATCTCATCTAAAGCATTGCTCTTTCATCTAATGCTCCCGAGGTTGCCCAAATCTACGGCGACAACCGCTCAATCCGCCATCTAATAGCCCCCATCTCCTCCCCAACCTTCACATACCTGAACCGATCATGCAAGCGACTCTTCCTACCCTGCCAGAACTCCACGGACTCCGGCACCAGACGCACACCGCCCCAGAACGGCGGCAGTGGAATCTCCTTAATGCCCTCGAAGCGCCGCTCGACCTCCCGCACGCGTTCCTCCAACACGGCGCGCCCATCATCGATATCCCTCTCCTCGACATTCCTTGGCACCTGATGCAGCGTGGGATCCAGACTCTTACGGCGCCGCTCGAGCAGCATCTCCGGCTCCGCGCGCCACAGCACCTTACTCTGCCAACTGGCCCACGCCCCGATCTGACTACCCCGCTCCCTCGTGCGCCAGTACAGCTCACTCTCCTCGCGCGAGAGCGGCTCCACGAGCCCCTCGATGCGCACCTGCCGCTCCAACCCAGACCAAAGGAAGGTCAACGCCGCCCAGCGATTACCTCCCCCAAACTCCCCCTGCAAATCCTCATCCACAGCCCCAGCCCCAGCCCCCGGCTCCGGAATCGGCCGCGGCCCATCATCCTCTCCGGCTGTTTCACCAAAAACATCCCGCCCTTTCCCCTCCCGACTGCCCCAGTTACTGTACACCGTCCACCCGCGCTCATCCAGCTCCTTCAGGTACACGACGCGCGCGCTGACGCGGCCGGACGGCAACGAAGCCGTGGCCAGGGTGCACGTCTCCGGCGCCGAGGCTGGCAGCAGCCGGGGGTCGCGGAACCACGAGTGGAACTGGTGCAGCGGGTTGGTCGGGTGCAGCTGGGAGACGGTCAGCGGCGGGTTCGAGACGAATTGGTGGGCGCGCGCCGCGTGCGCCACCAGGTCTTGCTCGGTGGCGGACGTGGGCGTGGAGGTTTCGGTGCGCAGGGCCGATGCGGACGCTGTGGCTGCGGCTGCTACGGCGGCGGCTTCTTCTTGGGTGGCTTGTATATTGGCTGCTGAGGTTTCGGGGGTGGCGGCGGCGGGAGGGAGGGGTTTATCGGTTGGGGGGAGGGGGAGGGGGAGGGGTTTCGATGTCGCCTGGTGCGACTTTTGTGGACGTTAGTATGGGGGTTTGCGGTGGAGGGAGGTGAGGGGCGTGCTTTGAGGGTGGGAATGAGGTTGATAGCACAAGAGACGTACAAATGAGCTTCTTGGGGTGTTTGGGGTCGGCGGAACTGGGGGACCTGACCCCGTCCGGTGAGTCAATGTTCATGGCTGGTCGTATGGTATTGATGGAAAATTGAGCACGGTAGGTGTTGGAAAGTTGGCTTTGGCCAGTAGAAAGACGACAATGACGATGGAAAACAGTCAGGCGTGGAGATAATCTAGCGAAAGACATAGACTGAAAGCTGGCACAACCGTCTAACCAAGTTGCATTGCAGGAAAGGAGGGAGGAAGACGGAGGGAGAATGCGGAGGACGGCGGGGCAAACGGGGAGCACCGCCGGGTCACGTCACTCGGTTTAATCACTCCGTTTAACAACCACTCATAACTTACACACTACGTACAACTAAGCACATTTCCCTAGTGAGTCATTTATATGTCCATTGCATAGACACTAGAAGAGGTGGGAGTATTCTATCAAAGAAACCAAAAAAAAAGAAAACCAAAAACAAAATGGTATATACATCGCCCAATCCCATTCCTGTAAACGCCAATGCCATACGCTAGATGCAAATCCAACCCATCTCCAGTCATCAAGTTGCCCCCTTTTATATGTTCAATCCGGAACCATCGGCTGGAGTCAGCCCAAAGACAGGGATCCAGCCCTGGAGATAGTATTAATCGACCAACCGAAAAAATTGATCGGAAACGAGATAGAAGGCAACTTTTCATGTCGTCGACTCTAGAGAGCGGCGACGGCAGGGACGGCAGTGGCACCACCAGTCCCAACCAAGTCGGCGATTTTGCTGGCCACAGCAGGGGGGTAGCCCCGAGAGAGCATCTCCTGCACAATGCGAGCGGCACCCTCGCGGTCATCCGATGCCAAGAACGCACGCGTCATGGCCTCGTAGGTACTGGGCTCGCGCTTCTCAATGCCAATGCTGTCGTAAATAGTCTTGGCCTTGTCCACGCTACCCTCCGCAGCCCATCCGTGGATGAGAGTGTTGGCGATGTAGGCGGTCATCTCAACCCTACGAGCAGCCATGTCCTTCACAATCTCCTCGGACCGGGCGACCTGATGGTTGGCGACCATGGCCTCGAGGAGGGCTTGATACAGACAAGGCTGAACGCGCACCTTGCGGTTCGACACAACGGAACGGAAGACGTCCATGGCAGCCTCCATATCGTGCATCACACAACCCTTGGCGTGGATGAGGGAAGCATAGTGCACAGCCTCAGGTTGCTGACCGGCAGCCTTGATGGTCTCAAGCACCTTCTCCGCCGCGGGCATGTCAATGGGCTCCAAAGAGGCGTGGGCGTCAATGAGCAGCTTGTAGGTGTGCATCGTGGGCTGGATCTTGCGAGTGACCATGCGCTCGAAGTAGGCCAAGACCTTGCTGCGATCGCGCTTGGTGTTGAGGAAGTACTGAATCATAGAGTTGTAAGGGGCAGGGCGAGGCTTGTAGTTAGGCATCGACTCCATCTCTTCGAACATTTCTTCGGCAAAACGTTCATCACTGACACGGCAGAGAGCGTTCACAATGGTTCCGTAAGTGACGCTGGTCGGGCGGACTCCGTTGGCGCGCATTTCGGCGAAGTACAGCAGGCAGTCATCAATCCGACGAGCCTTACCGAGCTTTCCGATGAGAGCGTTGTACAGGAAGGATGTGGGCTCAACACCCTCCGCAACGGCGCGATGGAAGATCTTCAGAGCCTCGGTCGCTTCGTCGAATGTCTTAGTCGATTCCTTCAGGGTCGTGATGTAAAGACCGAACGTGTTGGCCGAGGGTGCAGAGCCAAGCTCCAGCAGCTCTTGGTGGTACTTGGAAGCCTGGCTGCGGTCGCCCAGGCTCAGGCACGAGGCCACCATCGCGTCCAAGATAGAAACCCAACCGTACTTGACGGCATTGTACTGGGGAAGCAAAGGCACATCACGGCGAGCCATGCTCAAAACCTCATGGACCAGATCAACGCGGTTGATCTTCGTCGCAGAAGTAATCAGCTTGGCGTACGTGATGTAGCGAGGGTGACGGCCGCTGCGGCGCATGGTACGGAGGCGAGAGAAAGCCTCGTTCAGGTTAGACTCCAGCTTGCCGGTGGTGCTTTCCAGTTCATCAGCAATGATCGAGGATCCGCGGAAATCGGTGGCGTAAGCATAGGGGTCGAATGAGTCCTCGTTGGACACAGGGGTCATCGAGGTCAGATCGGATCCGGGAGAGTGACGACCACTGACGAAGGACGAAGGGCTAGAGGTCATGGCAAGGTGATCGTGCCATCTCTTGACCATGTCCGGGCGGCTGTTAAACAGCTTACCCACGGCTTGGTCGACCATCTGGGTGGTGGTGGCATCCATCGGCAGGCCAGTGGCCAGAGCGAGGTCGAGCATGTGGGCGAAGCGGATGGGGTGAGCCACGTCGAACATAGCGCTGTTGTTGAGAAGCATACCAGCCTGCACCTGGAGAGCCAGCATGAGGTCGCGGGCATTCAACTGGGAAATGCCGATCGGACCCAAGCTTGCCACTACATGCTCAGCGACCGGGGAAATGAGGCCGCCATTCTCAACCATTGACCACATGAGAGACATGGCAGCTGGAGAGGAGAGAACAGCCGCAGTTTGAACAAGAACGCGACCGACAAGGTGAAGACTTTCGTTGACCTGTTCGCGAATATGGTTGAGGGTCAAGTCGGTCGAGGTACTGCGAATCCGAGCAAACATATTACGAGCTTCGACCAGAGCCTCTTCGATCTGACCACTCTTCACGAGGGCGACTGCATACATAGCGGTCGGCTGGACCATGTCCGGGGTTGCCTGACCGGCAGTGTTCAGGGCGTGCCACAGGGTCCGGGCGGCCGACACATTGCCTTGACGTATGTGGAGGGCCAGCATCGAGACCGCGGGCCTCTGGCGGACGCTCATGTCGGTGGGGAGAGAATCGTATGCTTCGGAAGCTGTCTGCAGATTACCCGCATCCGCCGCGGCGATGCAGATCTGCGACATGGCATGATCCAGCGCGTTATCGTGCAATCGGGTCTTGGCTTGCTCCAACGCCCGACCGTGTTCCCCCGACTTAAGGGCATGACGCACCAATCCGTCCTCAACAATTACCGATTCGACGGCGTCCTGGCGGGCCTCACGGTTTTCTGTCACATCGTGGAACGACTCTTGGATCCGCTCCAGGAACCGAAGAGCTTGCTCTTCCTTTCCGCAGGAAAGGTAAGCACGGACCAGGGCGGCGTAGACCTGCCCATCCAAGCGCTGAACAATACTAAAGGTGCCGTTGTCGTCCGAAACAGCCAGAGCCTTGTACTCGTTGTAGCACTCGACAGCGCTCTTCAGATCCCCCGTCGAAGCAAAAGCATCGATCATGGCCGGGAAAATAGAGGCGTGTGGGGTCACCTTGTGCGTTTCCATGTGGGCGTAAACGCAGACCATGTCTTCAACCAGACATTCCTTGGCGCACGCGGTGATCAGGTAGCGGTAGGTGTCGAGTGCGAAAACAAACCCAGGGTGACGGGTAGTGGCAGTCCGGAAGAGCTTCATGGCAATGGCAAGAGAGTGATCCTCGGTCAGAAGAGCCTGCTCCAACTCACTGGAGTGTAGCATGAACTTGCCAGGCTCCTCCATACCACCATACCGGGCACGGTCCTGCTCCAAGAGATCCTTGGACTTGATGGCATCATGGGCGCGAACGACGAAAAGCTGTACCAGAGTCTGGTAGGTCTGCTCATCGGGAATTACCCTACGACGAAGCATGTCCGAATAAATGTCCAAAGCCTTCTGGATCGCCTGTGCAGTGTCCCCATGGAGCTGGATTGCCGACTCCAACAGGGCATTGTAGGCCCCGACGGTCGGTGTCAATCCATCCCGAAGGATAGCGGCGAAGGCACCCGGAATATCCGCATAATTCCTACCATTGGCTAATTCGACGATGTGTTCGGAAGCAATGCGAGACTGCTCGACGTTCGCATCCTCCACAGCAGCAACATCGGCGGGTAAATCGGGAAACGCTTCAGTGTCGAGATTGTCCTTGGTCTCGGAAGCCTCCTCGGCCTGCGCTTGTTCTTCTTGGATCTGGATCTCGCGGGCAACGGCTTCTTCGACCTGAGCACTGACATCGTCATTGGCGGAGGCTTTGGTGATGTGGGGTGACTCGTGGAATTGGGAGTCCGAAGATGGAAGACTGGCTTCGTTCTTCGTCTTTCCTTCTTCTTCGTTCAACGTAGGCTTCCAACCGATTCTCCTCCGCATCTGCAGCTGCTTCCAGTCACTATCATCTCCGGTTTGCTGAGCATGTTGCCATGCAGCGTAGTAGGCCGCTAAACCCAGATCCCCAGAGCCGGAAGTTCCCTGGCTGGCCTTGGCGCCTGCACCGGAGCTAGAGGGCTGGAAAACATTCTGTAATTGAGTTGTTCTCGTGAACTTGGCGGCGGGCTGACTGGAAAGGGTGTTTAAAGTAGTCGACGACGCGTACGAGGACTGCGAGGCCGCAACTACCGACTGAGCATAGCCATGTGTGAAGGCTTTGGTGAAACTCTGGCGCGCGAGGTGGGTGAACGGCTTGAAGACCATTTATCTTGCGGGAGACCTCTTCAGAGGGAAGAGGCAATGCTAGAATTGAGGTCAGCAGCGTCCTGTGTTGATTGTTGTTTTCCCCAAATTTTTTTCCTTTATCGTGATTGATGCACAACTGTTCGCCTCCCACTCTCCGCCTCCAAATCGGGTAATTCGTACCTTGCAATCAAAATAATAATAACTATGCAGGTTCATTTGACGACTGCTGGTCGCCAAAAGAACGCGCGGGAAAAGAAGGAAAGGGATGATCGCGAAAAGGAAGAATAATCAGTGGCTTGAAGCCTGTGTGTGGATGAAGAGCAAACAGAAAAGTACGAGGCCACCCCGGGGGAGGGAATTGATCGGTATTTCAGAGCTCGGGGAGGGAAACTGATCGGTATCGCCGGGGCTACTCAATCGGGTCTAGCGCAGATCCTACTGCCACTTGGCTTGTTTGGGCATAGGTACTTTTGTCACTGCCGTGCTGACCAATGCAGTTACACACTTTGATTGGCTTTTTCAATAGATTTTTGATAGGTCTGAGAATGGGTTCCAAGGGAGGATTTCAGCGATAAACGGAGCCCTGAACTGGAATTTTTTGTTGCATTGGTGGGTGGATTGGTCTAGTCTATAGAACGCGTTTGATATATGCATGTATGTACTGTCTCTGCACTTCGTACTGCGGGATTTAAGTAGCGCAGGCGTCAGCCTGCAGCGTGCAGTCGCTGATCTGATAGAACAGGACAACTGTTTTGAGCAACAAACTAGGTAATGATGGTGCGCAAAAAATAAATCCTGTGTTGCAAAAAAAAATAGCAAAGGAACATCCCCACCAGACGAAGGTACGTCAGGTTTCGAGAATGGTCGTTGCCTGAGGCGAAATGGGGGAGCATAGGGAAGGATTCCGCGTGTCAGGTGGCCTCATTGACTTTCTCAGTTCTCGCTGCGGCCCCGGATTGCAACTCTGACCCAATCGGGTGGATCAGAAGCAGAGCTGGACCCCTGGCCGTGAATCCGTGACTCACTGTTCTTCCGGCTCTTTTTCTTCGCAGGGGCCGCAATGTCCCCCCCGGAGTTTGCTGGCTGGCCTCCGAATGGTTTGGTTGTACGGGGCGCGGATTCCCGGCTGGCCGAAGCACCGAACATCGCTGGAATCCGCTTGGCCACGGATACAAAAGGCTTTCGATCGTTATATCCGTTCCAAATCTCCGTCTGTCCGTTCCGTGGACTGTTCGCCGTCTCGGTGATGGTGACACTGTGCCCGATAAACGCTCTTCTGGTGCTTTTTTTCGAGATCACCCCTGGTTTGTGGGTGTCCTTGGAATCTCGAAGTCATGTAAAGAGGATGGATGGAAGCCCCCGGATGCAGTAAGATTCACATGGTGAGGCTGCTGCCGTTATTGCTGCGCCTTCCACGTAACTAACTGTACGGAGTATTCCCAGCTGAGATAGTGGTCCGTGGTCGGTCATTAGCCAGCTGACGGAAGTTGTCAGTACCATTGTGCGTAGAAGCTTGCATGCTGATGTATATGGCTCCGTACCTGTACCTGATGCACCTGCGGAAAGCGTGGAAGGATGAGATGAATCGATGAGGTAATATGATAGGATGCCACAAACTGACACCAGAAATGGCAGGCATCAACAGCCACAGAACCAGCCACAAAACCAGCCACAGAACCAGCCACAGAACCAGCCACAATCTACCACTGGTCTCCCAACAGGGAGATCCCCCCAGCAACAATTAATCCCAGTCAACAATGGAGAGAAAATAATGATGGCATTGAGAGAATCATGATGAGACGATTCTTGAAGTCTTGCTGACATGGACTAAACACTCCTCACTCTAATTCCAGCTTCAGGCATTGTCACACCCGGGCGAACTTGCAGATAGCAACGTGGCTGCACATTGAACCCCTCATCAATCTACGTAGTTGACTGACCACCGGGGCGGGGCTTGTTATAAAGATCGTCTCTCCCTTAAACGGGTCCAGTGCAAAGAAGCTGATTGTTTTGCTTTTTCGCCATTCTAATTTCACCATTCAGTTGATTTCCCCTCACTTATCTGTGATAAGTCAGTTTGCAAACGGTATGTAAAGAATTCGATCTACCCCACTAGTCGTATAACTTCAGTCCGTTCCCCCCACTACAGCCTAAGGCGAACTGGTTCCATTGTTGACACTGCTCCCTTTCATAGTACTCTTGAACCAGCTTCACGATCTATGACCTCCCTTCCCACGATCTAGCATACCTACACGACCATAGCGTCCTCATGTCTTACATCCCTCCGACCGTCACGGCGGTGTCCGCCCCGGGCAAAGTCCTCCTGACCGGCGGCTACCTGGTCCTCGACCGCAAGTACACAGGCACCGTCTTCGCCCTCGATGCTCGCATCCATGTCATTGTCGAGCAGCTGAAAAAATACCACCGGAAGAGCTCATCCACGGGGTCGGGGCAAGCGGAGAGCACATCAGATAGCCAGGAGAGTGAAGACATTATCGTGGTTCGGTCCCCACAATTCGTCGACGCAGTCTGGGAGTATGGTATACAACGGTGCGAGAATGGCGGTGGGATCAAAGTGATACAGAAGGGCCAGGGGTAAAACTTTCCCAAGGGAACCCTCAGTCAGGAGCCTCTCAAGCTAATCCCTGCCTCCATGAACCAGACGGCCCAACCCTTTCGTCGAGACCTCCCTCAACTACGCCCTGACCTACATCAGCTACGTCGCCGGATCGAAAGACTTCGGCTCCCTCTCCATCACCATCCTCGCCGACAACGATTACTACTCGGAGACGGCCTTCTCCAAGATCTCCGGGCTGCAGTCCCCCGGCCGCTTCGTCAACTTCGGCGTCCCCCTCCATGAAGCACACAAGACGGGACTGGGATCCTCCGCCGCGCTGGTCACCGCGCTGGTCTCCGCCCTCGTCATCCACCGCACCCTGCAACCCGACGACCTGGGTCCCGCGCGCGACAAGCTCCACAATCTGGCGCAGGCGGCCCACTGCGCCGCCCAGGGCAAGGTCGGCTCGGGCTTTGACGTCGCCGCCGCCATCTACGGCTCCTGCCTCTACCGCCGCTTCTCGCCGTCGATCCTCGAATCCGTCGGCGACGTCGCCACCCCCGGCTTCGAGGAGCGCCTCTTCGCCATCGTCGAGGACATCGACCCGGCCCACCGCTGGGACACGGAGTGCCTGGACTTCGGCATGAAGCTGCCGCGCGGCATGCAGATGGTCCTCTGCGACGTCGAATGCGGCTCGAATTCGCCCTCCATGGTCAAAAAGGTGCTGGAATGGCGTAAGCAGAACCCCCAGGAGGCCGACCTGCTCTGGACCGCTCTGCAAACCAACAACGAGCACCTTTGCCACGAGCTCAAAACCCTCTCCCAGAACGCCGCCGCCGCCGCCGCCGCTGCCAGCGGCAACCAGGACAGCGGCAGCAGTGGCTACACCCTGGCTGATTTTGGCGAGGTGCGCAACCTCATCCAGCGCTCCCGCGGCCACATCCGCAGCATGACCGCCAAGTCGGGCGTGCCGATCGAGCCCAAGGTCCAGACCGAGCTGCTCGACACCATCTCCGACCTCGACGGCGTCGTCGGGGGTGTCGTCCCCGGCGCCGGTGGGTATGATGCCCTCGCCGTGCTGATCCAGGATTCGCCCGAGGTCATCAAGCGGCTGGAAGACTCCTTCGCCTCGTGGGAGAGTAAGGTGGAAGACGACTTTGGCGGGAAGATCGGTACCGTCCGGCTGCTTGGCGTCCGGCACGGGTCGGCTGGAGTGCAGAATGAAGGCTTGGACCAGTATTCTGGTTGGGTTTGAGGATGGTGCATGACGAGCGAGTAACCCATCGCTACCGACCTCGTAAATTGTCCGGATGCAAGGAAGAAGCACGAAACACGAAGGAACACTATCGTACCACGACAGGCGCGCATGGTCCACATGAATATCAGACATTATCTAATTTTCCAAAGCGTCAAACTAGTCGTTACAGTTTATTTTATATAAATCTTAATTTCCACGAACATTGACGGTTGTATTCCTCTCTTCTCCTGCATTCGTAAAGGAAACAGCTCGTTCTCGCCCCAGGAGCAGCGTTCCTTCCAGTTTGGGGCCTTGCTACTCGCTTCAAGTTCCTGGCAGACCAACGTAGAGTACCAGCTCATACGCCGTCACACTTTCCCCCTTCCTCACCCCACACCACATAAGCTATCCGAGTATCCGAAACAACCTAGAACCCGAGATCCCCCAGATCTCCCAACCCAGACGCATAGAATAAACTCGTGATATCAAGATCAAGATCCTACCCAAACCCATAATTAGCTTTAGCCTAGAAATACCCAGCGTTGCCCTCCCTTTCCTCGCACCATGCAGCACCACCACCACCACCACCAGCAAGAAACCAAAAGAAACTTACAGCATTCAACTCCAACCCGGGCAACCCGGACGGACTTCCCAAGCTTGACCCCACAGTCGTCGTTCCCGTCATCATAGCCGCAACCTCCGCAACCTCCCCTTCTCCGTGCGCCGTCGCCGCCGCAAAGCTCTGCAACGCAGCATAGCACTCCTTCAGGCTGAGGACCAGCGACGCGCCGACGGCCTCCTCGACGGAGTCGCCCGTCTCCATGGCGCGGATCTGCGCCAACATCGCCGAGAGGACGATACAGCGTTTGAGACTCGGGGTGCCGAGGCGGATGATCTGGAAGATCTGGTCGCGGATATGCTCGAGGGTTTGGATCAGGGGGGCTCGTGTGGCGCGGGCGAGCTCGGCGAGGGGGTTTGAGGTCATTGCTGTTGCTGTCAAGGTGGGGGCGGAGGCAGGGGGCTGCGGAGGAGGAGGAGGAGGAGGAGGAGGGGATTCATCGAGTTGGGTAATCACTTCTAGTCCGAGGATGGAGAAGAGTTCCAGACTTAAGGGGCCACGGAACGAGCCGCGGCCGGCGATGAGGAGACGGGCGAAGGCGTCAAGGTCCGTGGTGGCGGGGAGATTCAGGGTGCTGGCGTAGGATGCGATGATCATGGCGGATTCGAGGCAGACTTTGCGCGAGAAATGATACTGAGGGTTGGTGGCTGCTTCGCGCATGAATGGGAGATGGAGGAGGAGGATGTATCGGCGGAGGATCATGTCGAGGAATTTGTGGTGGAAGGAGGCCGGGTGGAGGTCGCTGTTTGTGTGCTGGGATTGATTTTGATGCTGAGGGGTGGTGGGAGACGGGGCATGGGAGGAGAAGAAACTAGTCAGGGTTTGGCAGACATCACGGAGCTTGGTACCCAGCTGAATGGCTTGGGTGTACGTGAGTTTTGAACGGTCATGGATGAGATTGACGGCTTCAGCGCGGAGGGAGAAGGATTCATGAAGCAGCAATTGGATGGAGGAGTCTGTCAGTTCGGACATGGGTCGGGCTGTGGTTGGTTGTTTCATGTCAGGGTCAAGGTCCTTGTCGTTAAGGTTGCAAGGGGGCTTGCTGTCAGATGAAGCGGGGATGATCAGTGGTACAGCGGTGTCCAGGGAGCATTGGATTGTGAGCTCTAGAACGGTTGTCCATAGACGTGCACGCATTTCGGCCATATAGGGCGACAGGCTGGGGAATCTGGCAGAGTCCAGATGCAGGCCCATGGCCGTGGCCGCCTGCAGAAGAGACCCCGGTGACAGCCAGATAGACGGTCCCAGGTCTCCCATCTGACGGGCGAGAAGAAGCAGACAAACGGCCTGAATACCCTCTAGGCTCGATGTCAATCGCTCTGTTGGTCCAGTGAGCCACCACTGAGCTGCGTATATCCAGGACTGGACTAACTGAGATTCATGTTCAGTGCCTGCTTTACTTCGCCGTGGATGGAAAGTAGTGCCTATAGCGAGTACCAGGGTCAATTTAACAAGGAAAGGCGTGACCTTGGCGGGAGGTTCCTCCCAAAACCGATGATACTCCTTGCGAAAACTTGGCAAGTGAAGGATTCGATACACAGGCTCGAAAGTGTCCATGTAACAGCGCACCAATTCGTCGCACACATCTTTTGCGGGTATCGAATCGAGCAGATCTGACACAGGGTCATTCAGTTTCAGAGACTGTCTCTTTTTGACTGACTTGCGGAGGTTTCGGCATTCCTTGATGAGTGTCGCCAGTTCAGCTTTGCGCTCCGGATACGCAGACTGCGGGTCCTTGCCTGCGAGGGAACCGAGCATCTGAAGCTGCTAGCTGATGAGTTACGTCTCTTCACGGAGTCAGGTTTACCCCATACCTTTTCCAATGTATAGACATGATGAGTCGGACCAAACAACTTCATCTTTCTCACTTTCGCATCCAGCCGCAGAGGTGTCGAAGGCATAGTCGACATCTGTTCCTGCCTTCCAGGCCCTTCTCTTTCCGGCTCCATTCTCGGGGTAGAATGCGTTGATTGCGACGACAGCCGTTCCTCCAATGCCTGGACCTTGCAGCACAGATCTCGCAAGGTTCGCTCCAGAGGTTGATCCGACCCAGTCGATGAGTCCGCCAGCTGCGCCTCTAGACGTTGCAGCCGGTCCTGGAGCTGACGAACTGATGAACCGTGTTGCGAAATGGCAGGCGGTTCGTGGGTGCCAACTAATCCATCTGCTGAGTTCCTTACTTCAGGGTGATAGACTGATGCTATAGTCCCACTAGCTGTCAGATCTGGTGGTTGCGTCTCCTGAAGGACATGATTAGCTGGACCCGCAGTCGAAGCACTCGGTTGCGTCGCATGTAGGGGCGTCTGCTCAATCGCGACTGGGCTCGGGGAACGGAGGTTCTCCCGATATGAACAGTCCACTGAAGACCGCGAGCGCCTACATGGACCACAGGGGACATTGCGATCGCATCGGACTTTGCGCTGGCGACACTGCTCACACGATTTGGCCGGCCGACGGCGTTTGCGAGGTTCGGAATCGGCCGTGCTTGCTTCAGGCGCTGGCCGATTCATGTTTTGTTGGGACATAAGGATCTAGGGCTCCTGCCATGCTCTGATGAAGTATAGATCTGACCCACTCTGGGAAGAGTAAAGGAATTAAATCACATGGATTGGTGATGTCCACTGCTAGGTTACCGGGTGGTTCGTAGTTCCCAGTGCTTAGTCTAGATCGCCGTTCGGGTTCGGTCCCGCTGACAGCACGTGTCTGTGTCCCGGGCTTACGCGGTCGAATTCGGCAAGTGCTTCAGTATAGTGCAGTGACTTTTCAAGTGTCGACATAGTCATAATGAATGCTTGTGATTCAAACAATCGGCTGTCTCAATTCTCTCTATCTCTCTCAATAATAATCACCTTTTGCCAGGCGTTAGGTCGACTAATTTTACCCTAAAGCAGTGCAGGCACCGGCCAATCCTCAGTGTCTCACTGGACCGAACTCAGACCTCACGAGCATCCTATGCAATACGAAAGGCTGTTGCCCTCCTTTAATATCACAGGACTAATATACATCGTCAAGCATGTACACGACAAAGATACACTCCATTCCCTCCTTACCTCCAATCTGAGCTGGCATATGCACATATGCACCGTACCGAGGCTGCCGTGGCTCTCTCTCACCCCTCCCGGGACGAAACTTGGCAAGCCAAAACCTAAACAAGCAAGCAAGCAAGCAAGCAACATCAACACCGACCCAAGAAAAGACCAAGACCAAGACCAAGACCAAGAAGGCTTAATACGACGACTGGACCCAAGAAAACCACTTCCAGAGACCATCGCCAACAAAATTTGAACTTAACCTTTCTTACTGCAAGTAAAACCTACCACCCTCAGCATTCCACACGAATCTTTCCATTCCAGAGCACACGAACGAACCCTCTCGAGTCTTCATTGCGCTGCTGGTCACGTCCTAAACTGCATCCGTCTGGAAGAGTTGAAGACACTGACGTAGCGTGCTGCTGTTTGTATTGTAGATCACATGGGCGGTTCTACTCCGTACCCGTGTAGAGGTGGATAACGAAGGATTAGTCTCAAATGCAACTGCAGGTTTCTTTCTCTGTAAGTAGAATGTCTATAAGTAGAAGCCTGGATTTAGATCGGTCCTGGGCAATGTCGGGAAAATTTAAACTTTCTGCGGGAGCATGCTGGCACGCTTGGGCCAGAGATAAGCTCGGAAGGGTTGAAGCATAATCCATCCATCCGGTCGGGTGCCGCCGCATGCAGTGCACGGAGATCTTGCAAGATCTTGGGTGTGGTCTTGTGAGTGGACTCGGTACTCTTTCCACTTGGTTGTTATAAGGAGTGGGTGTGATTACTCCTCTAAAAGGAATCAAGGGGAAGCTCATCTAGTAGGAAACATGGACGAATCTGAGGAGAGAAAGAATCTCAATGAAGATGGGATCTAGTGGTTGCTCTATTGAAAGCAGAACACAAAACGCAAAACTGGTATATACAATGACCACACCTATAACCTGTATCCCTGGACAAGACAGGCGAGTCTATGACTGCTTGATATCCACATCCCACCTCGTAGCAGTGAAATCTTGTCCAGAAAATAGACTTTTTCGCCTTTTAGGCTTTTTCTAGCTCCCATGCATCGACGAAGGATGAGCCCAACACATCATACACACGCAGCGCACGCACGCCCGCCTCTATCCTGCACCAGGCAAGGACACGTAGGCAAGGTTGGCCAGCAACTGGCCTCGGCAACACTTCAACAAAAATCAGAGAACAAACAACAAAGGAGGTATAAAATTCATGTTGCGAGGCATATCATCATAAATGAAAAATCTCATGCGCTGCTGCCTTCCCCCTTACAGCTGAGTGGGCTGGAACTGGGAGAACTCTTCAGACTGGGGAGGGTTCTTCTCGGCAATCCGCTCCTCAGCCTTCTCCTCGTCACCGAGGATGCCATACTCGGCCGCCTTGGCTTCGATTTCATCATCAGTGAGCTTGGGCAGCTCCTTGGCCGCACGCACGTAGCTCATCTTCTCGACATAGCCCTTGGCGAAAATCAGATCGATCTCTTCCAAACTCCGGTTGGCGGTTTCGGGGTAGAAGAACCAAATGACAGGGATGAAGAGGGCGTTCCAGGCGGCGAAGAAAAGGTACGTTCCCCAACCGATACTGCTGACCATCACAGGCGTAATCATAACCACGGTGAAGTTGAAAAGCCAGTTGCTGCAGGTCGACACAGCATTGGCTTTGGATCGGGTCTTGAGAGGAGAGATTTCGGCAGGGTAGAGCCACGGGAGAGGCAACCATGTGGCACCGAAGAAGCACATGTATAGGAAGAACCCAAAGATAGCTCCCTTAGCACTCTCGGCATCGCCCGGGATCAAACAGGCGAAGACGATAATCATCGCAGCGCATTGACCGTAGCTGCCGGCAAGGAATAGCTTGCGACGACCGATCTTTTCGATGAAGAACCACGAAAATGTGGCGAAAATTGCGTAACAGATCATGTTGATACCGCCAATCAGAAGCGCGAAATTGTGAGACTGGTGGATAGAATCCTCCAACAGCACGGGCAAGTAGTAGATAACCGCGTTGCAGCCAGAAATCTGCTGAAAGAACTGAGAGGACGAACCGACCAACATGCGGCGGAAATGCTGAGAGGGACCACCGGTAAGCAAGTCGCTGAACTTAGCGTGGGAGTTTCCGGATCTGGAGAAGGTCAGTTATGAAGGCATCTGCATATTCGACATCGCCGTCACTTACGCTCGAACAGAGTCCAGGGTGAGATTCTTCTCCAGCTGGACGTGGGGATGGTCGATTTCCTCGCCTGCGAGGGCAGCAAGGACCCGAGTACCCTCCTCAACCTTGCCGTGGGCGATCAAGTAACGAGGGGATTCGGGGAGTTTCCACATGCCGAAAATGATGATGAGCCCAAAGAAAACTTGGAAGGCAATGGGAAAGCGCCAGACCAGGTCTTGGGGACCATAGTGGGCTCCATAGTCGATCCAGTAAGCGATCATGGTTCCAATGGCAATGATGCCTCCTTCAATACAGATAAGAAGACCACGGTTGCTAGTCTTGGAGCACTCGGCTTGATACGTTGGAATAGTCGATGTGTTCATACCATTGCCGATTCCAGTGATCACACGGCCGAAGATGAACTGCAGCAGTGGAATCGAATTGGGCATGGCAGTGACTTGGATGATCACACCGATGATCATCACGGTCGCACCCCATATGACCATGAGACGACGACCCAGCTTTTCACCACAAATCAAGGCGAAGATGGCACCAAAGAGACAGCCTGTGTCCTGCGAGTTAGCTTACTAGTCGCTGACCTGGCACCCAGCTCAAGTCACTCACCGACTTCATAGACTGCAGTTACGGTTGCTTGCATGACCGAGTCACCCTTGGTGGCAGTGAACATGTCGTTGAAAGCAGGATCAGAAATGATACCTGACATGACACCCTCTGCGTAGACGGTAAGCTTCAAGGTTCGCAAAAGGCCTTAGCGATTACGTACGGTCATATCCAAAGAGCAAGAAGCCCATAGTCGCAATTGTTGATATCGCGAGGCCGAGTCGCCGGCCCGTAAAGCCGGCATATGTGGGAGGCGCCATGATGAGAAAGAATGTTACGATGCCAGAATGATAGAAGCGTGTATGAGGAACCTAGGGGAAAGGAGGGTATAAAGATGAATAGGGAGAGGAGGTAGAGAAGGAAGAGGAGAGAGAAGATGAAGAGAGAATGGAAGGACAGACAGAGAGAAGATTAAAGATTAGAAAGAATATGCCAGCAGTGCGCGAGGACTACGTGAACTTAAGAATCTGCGTACTGCATGCGGCAACGAGCGGTGGAGCGCTCGCTACCTTTTACGCTTGATCCAAAGAAGGTTACCCATGGGGAAAAGATTGGAGCCTTGGAGGTGGCCCTCCACTCCCCACGTCCTATACCATGACCCTTACCGTCCCATGGGCATTCCTTTTCGAAATGTTTTTCCGATTGTTCGGCCTCAGCTGACATCACATCATCGGGGAGCCTCGCTACGGCGGGCAGGCAGTGGGACAACACTGAGAACAGCAAGAGGGCGCCGCTTACCGAAGCAGCGTGAGGCCCGTTCGGTAACGGAGTTCGGGATGAAGTATGTGGTGGTTTCGGACGGAGGAAGAAGGGAAGTGATATGATGTGAGAATGATGCATTCCAGGTGGAAAGATCGTCAACGGACAGCAAATGATGTAACTGCACAGCGGCCGATAAGCGGGACGACCCACTGGATGTTATCCGGAAATGTAAGGTACCCACTCTTTCGGTGGCGGCAAGGCCTGTAAAAGTGCAGATGCTGCCATGGCTGCAAGCCTGCAAGAATTTCGCTGGATCTTCTTGAAGATTTTTTTGGCTTCTCGTCCAAAGAAAAGCCAAGTTTGAGGGACCCTGTCACGATCTAAAGGTGGTTGAGTGTCCACTCCTCCTTTGCGGGCCCCACTTCCCACACGCCCACGGGCCTTCATGCCCAGGTGCTGTGATGCAGGCCACGGCCACGAGTAAGCTTCAACACGACTGGAGAGATCTTGCAGCAGTCAACCAGGACTCATTCCGAAGCTTTCCCGATCGCATTATTGGCTGCAACCCCAACCGTCTTAGGAGTATGCCGGCAGCGCAGCATTGGCTTGCTGGGCGTAACAAGAGCGCAGTGCCAATGGGACGTGGGCAACTTTCTGCACAATGCGCTCATTGTTCGGGTTCAAATTGTCGGGCTTGGCCATTAGGAAGGCGAACTATGAGAAGTGCCACCGATTAGTCTAGGTGAAATTTCGTAGGCCAACAAGAACCGCATCATCTTACCTCAAGCCAGTGGATGATTCGAACGTTTTTGTACCGGGTGTCAAAATGCATGCCTTGTGGCCTTGCTGGATCGGAATGAAGATGACAAACGGGTATTGGAAGTTGGAGACTGAGTTCGATGTGTTCCGTGTCGCCATCGTGCAGCGATCGGCTTCGTGCCTCGGCATCCCCGACCGTCTTGGCGGTGATGTAATCGTCCTTCTCAATGTATGCTGGGTGTTCATCCGTGTCGGCTCGTCTCAGCGCCGTCGTTGATACCGGTCCTGCCATTTTCTCATAAACTAGACTTCGTTTGAAAGGGCCACTGCAGCAAGTTAGACCGTCCCGCTGGTGGTACTGCACATCTTCCGAGACAAATATTTGCAGCCCACGGAACTTGGCGCGGCCCAGCTCTGTGTATGACACGGTGACAGGTAAGAGATCCCCAAGAGGTGCCCCTCGCCTCGAGACTAGAATATCCGACTGTAAGAGATGTTTCCAAGCGCGAGCGACATATATCGGTTCCGCATCGTCCACGAAATCTTCTGCGGGACAATGAACGACGGTTATGGGTTTGCTGCAGGAGAAGGGGCGACTCAAGAAGCCCGGTCGTTCGATAGAGGCTCGGATCCGGTACCGGACCTCGCTCTGCCGGACTTGAATAGATTCGGGCAGATGGGAGCGCAGGACCATCTCAAATTTGTATGTGTGGGTCCCGGGTGTCAGTCGCTGATGTTTAGACCCTGTGTCCTGCTCTTCACACCCGTTCGATCCCACTCTAGCGGAGATCGCACTCCATAAGGTGGTTCCTTTGTGCGCCTGTTGGTATGACGATGTCTCCTGAATTGAGTCAAGGTAACACGGAAGCACTGGGTCTGTCGCCTCGGGACCAAGCAGTATCAATGTGTTGTCTGTCACCGTACGGCGTTCGCGAATACCTGTTGTGTTGAAGCAATTATGGTTTAGACAATCAGCCAACTCTGAAGGGAAGTTTCTAGTTTCTAGAAACCATATATAGTTCTCACCATGTGGCCACACGATATTGCTTGTACCGTGCAGGTTGACGGCCAGTCGTTTCACTGTCACAGCTTCTTTCGCCGTCAATCGGCATTCACCACGGAGAACCGCTGGCTTGTCTGATAAGGTCGGGGCGAATAAGGCTGGCTCGGTGATGTTCAATTCCAGGCTCAAGCCACTGGCATCGCCTTGAATGGGGACTTCCTTAGTCGACTTGCGCGGTGTCGAGAATGGCGATCGAAGCATTTCTTTGGGAAGGGTAACCCCTCGCTGGGACTTGGTTGCAATGGATGGTGTTGGTTGGCGAAGCGAGCAGTATGCTAGATGGTTGCGTTCCGTTATATGACATTGTAGTGTGGCCATATGACTTCAAATTATATCAGGATGAAGATCATTCCATTACATCAGAAAGGACTGAGCAAGGGTCGGTTGACACATACGGATATCAGGTTCTAGGCTATTGCATGACAGGTCGAGCTCGTTTGCTGTCCGCTTGATCGTTGCAGCCGACCCCCGCCTGCATCGTGTCCGAAGGATCAATCGTAACTTAATTTAAAGTGCTCGCGGCTTGGATGCCATCGATTTCTCCAGATACGATGTTCGTTCTTTGAGCCCTACAGTCAAGTACCTCGTGTTTGTCGAGTTGGAAGGTTGGCCTCCAGCTCTGATCATCCTTGTGGACAATGATCGTCTTTTGACGAAGATCAAGGCAAGAATGATGTCACATGAATTTGATTGGGAGGACCGGTCACTGGATGGTTCATACACATACAAGACCGAGCAACACCCATGGATTGCCTGACATGTTCACAAATTTTCAGGTGGGGTGTTGAGAAGAAGAACTCATGGATCTAGATTAAACCTCTCGTGTTCGTGTGAGAAGCCAAACGGTCCACGTGCGCAGTCACTTCGTAATGGTGGACGGGTCAGGAGATGGCGATAAGAACGGTTCTCGCCTACAGCCATCGGTCTAGAGCGGAGAAAACAGGCGTGGCGAATATTGAAAGAGGGGACAGTACTTTTGGACGAAGATCATCTACACAGTAAGCGAATAGAGCCCTGGAGGAACGAAAGAATTAGCGTCCATACTAGACACTAGTGTCACTGTCAACTTTCCTCATGGAAGCGAAAAAGAACATCGGTCTTGTTCTGCCTTGGTAAATTAACTATCTGTAGTGATAAAACCAAGGCCTCTACCGTATGTTCTGCGACAGTCGGGAGACTATGATAAGGAGGTCAAACAAGAATGCATAGCAGTACATCGTGCCATTGCCATGGCGTGACTTCGGGAGTTTTGGCGGTCCAGATTGGATTCCAATCCGTTCTGCCGCTTCAGCTGTGATCTGAATTATCATGTGACTTGTTCATTTTTCACGGCAATCAGGGTCCAATTCGAGGGCTGGAAGCAATGCCTACGTACTCCATACAATACTTGAAGTTCAGGCGAGGTCGTCGTTGTGGGATATATATAGTAACGACAAGGCTAAGCCATGCCTCGTAGCGGGTCTTCCGGTGTCGATTCCCCGGTCTGGTTCTTGGTATCAAGATCTGCACCACGTCCACGGTCTGTATCTGGGAATTGCAGCGATCAAGAGACGTCTGTAATATGCATTCTGTCGATGATAGTCGATTGATACTGCGAGGGAGGTCCAGCGCGAGTTTGACACCGATACGAGCTTGACAGGTGTCGGTGTCGCTTTTTGAGTAGATGCAGGATCTCTGACAGCACGTCAGTCACTCTAATCTTTCAGATCTGCATAGACTACAGGGACTGATGGACTTTCTTCGAATGGATCATGATAATTGTCAGTACAGGAATTCCGAGAGAAGCCGAAGAGAAGGAGAAGAACAAGCAGCGAAGCATTGATTGAAACCATCTATGAATCTGGCCTACCGAAACATGCTGAAGTGACAAATTGGTACTCCGTAGGTAGACTAGACTAAACTCCGTATGAGGCCGGGCGCGCCCAACCGGATCGCCGCCCGCCTGGAACATCGGCTCCAGGCTTTCTCTTCCCCCCCACCCCCCCTTCCTTAATTTCTCCCGTCTTGCTCTTCTTCCCGGCAGTCACGGGGCGGTCTCTCTCTCTCTCTCTCTCCCTCCCTTTCCCTCTCCTCATCGTCACTGACGAACCACTAGTTATCACCATCATCTACCCACGATCCGCTATCGATCTCTCTTGTGACTCTTTATTCCCACTCTCTCTATTGGCAATCTTTTATAACCTTTTAGTATATATCTTTTAACCTACCGTCTTGTTTGAGTCCCTCAGGAGGCGTACTTTAGAGTTTTGTCTGTCTCCTTTTGCCCGCTCTGTCATCGCCTCCCTTCGTCTACCTACGCCAACTGCCCGCCTCCTCAATCAAACCTCTCCCCTCCCCCCCCCTCGGTCCCCTTTTTCGCCTCCCTCGGGTCGCATGGCCCCCTTCATCTTCAACCGGTCAGAGTTCTAGTCACTTGTTCGCGCCGTCCTTGAATTTCTCCGCTTCTTATCTAGTCTAGCCCCCTTGGGCCCCCTTCCCTTCTTGTCGCCGTTCGGGTTGCGCGCTGTTGGGTTCGTCGTTGTCTTCCCTCTCCTTGAAACCTCCCCCAGGGTCTCCCGCCTTCCCCCTCCAATAACGACGTCGGTCGCACGCCCCGGATCTACCGGAGAAATAATCATCACCATCTTCGCTTCTGGTCTTTCTCTGCGCAATTTCTCAAGTCGACACGTCGCTTTGCTTTTATTAGCGTTATCTCGCATTTCAATCTATACAATCGCTGTCATCATGTCGGACAGCACGGGCAATAAGGGCGACCCGGCGGTCACTACGCCGGTTCCTCCCATCGAACCTCTACAACCACTTGCTGTCCCCGGTTTATCATCGGAGTCCACAGAGGCCTTGAATACTACTCCACGCCTGGACAGTACGAGTGATGAGACTCAGGAAATGAGTCTGACAGATGGCAAATCAGCAAATGTCGCCAAAGCCCCCACAGCAACACATGCCTCGCAGCAGAACCCCAGCGATGCTCCGTCTGCCAGCGCATCGGTTGGCGATCACGGCGAACTGAAAGCTCCAGTAGCCGCTGGTGAGGCCTCCCCTCAGAACGTAAAGGAAGAGGACGACTCGGGACCACATCTAGTCATTACTTTATTGTTGATCACTGGCACCCGGCACCCGTTCAAGATTGATGCCAAATATCTCAAGAAGCAACAAGTCAATGTTGAAAACCTGGATCCTTTCGCCATGAGCGTTTATACACTGAAGGAACTGATCTGGAGGGAATGGCGACAAGGTATGTTCACCGCTCCTGCGCTTTAGAGTTGGTGGCTGACAATCCGGTCTTGCATAGAGTGGGAGACACGGCCGTCCTCGCCTAGTTCGATTCGATTGATCTCCTTCGGAAAGCTCCTGGACGATAAGTCCCCATTATCAGGTACGGCAGTCCCTACGAGCCTCAATCGTCTCTCCGTACTGACTATCCTAGACTGCCGATTCAACCGAGATGCTCCTAATGTGGTGCACATGACCGTCAAGCCCCAAGAGATTGTGGACGAAGACGATGCCAAGGGAGCCAAGGCCCAATACACCCGTGAACGCGAATCCAGCGAGCGCAGCCCTGGTTGTCGCTGCATTATTCAATGAGCACGGGTTTTTGATTTGGTGCCTCGAAGGTCCCCGTGTCGGGAAGACGACTACCACAAGGGGATGAATTCCCCTGGGTTCTCTGACGTCGTCCTCTCATGCTGTCATCTGCAAAGCCACGTATTCTATCCCTTGCCGTTGATCATATTGCCTATGGCCATAAGCCCTTTCTGGGATTTTCCAAGGATAGTCCATTTGCTTCGGCATCTAAGGCGGCGCACCAGGTTAACTACCTGCCTGTGCGCCGAAGACGGCGTCCGGCTGGTTTCAGTGTTCTGGGTCCAGCAGCAGTCATTGCTCATGTCCTGAAAGTCATCTGTTCCGGTGTTATCGGTCGCTCACCAGCTTCCATTCCTATTGAGTCGCTTGATGCCACTCATACTTGTTATCTGCTTCACATATACCCTGATATTCCGTCCTCACCCTCCCTCACAATTGGCAGGCCGTTTGTTAGCATTTATTCTTGGTTTATGCAGCGTTCCACCTTCTGCTCATGTCGTTATCATTTGCCTCTGAACCGAGATCAGACCACCCGTGGACTCGAGCGGGTGGTTGTTGCGGACTAGAACTTTGTGGCGGGGTTCCGTACTGCGGGCTTTCGATGTGTACCGCTGTGGTATACGGCGCCGGTTTGTCTTGAAGCGTGTTCAGATGTCCACAATAGTGTCTTGCCGGGCGACCGCCCGGGAATCACATGATGTACAAACTACCACAACTCTGCATATATAATGAACCATACTATTGTTTTCATCGCCGCAGATCCATGCGTACTTGGATGACTGCTAGTCCATTTTCTACTGTGAGAGGCTACTGCCACCAACGCTGACTGCACCACCGCTTCATTCAGAATCTGAAACACAATCCCATTCAGTAGAACCGTTGAAGAACATAGAAACCTAAAGAAAGATACCATAGCACGAATACCCTCAACCCTAATCCCGATCAACCAAATCTATGCTCTAATCCATACGCAATCTCTTCTCCATCTCATCATGGAAAGTCGGGGGTTCACGGAACTCGTCGCCTGTAGTTCAAGAAAAGTTAGCAGCCGTACCTTTCCACCCTTCCACCCCCCCTCCCACCCTGCCCTTCCCCCCTGCCCTTCCCTACCACCATGGAAAGACGTACCCTTAAAGATATCCTCCCACCCGACCTCGGCATCCCGTCCTCCAAGCACCAAGATATCCTCATGCACGTTGTTCTGCGTACCCCCAATGACGGCGGGGCGGAACGACCCATCCCGCACGATCTTCAGCTCCATGCCGCGGCGGATGGGCTCGGCGATGCCGTACGCCCGCCGCAGCGACTCCATCTTCAGGGCATCCTGGGTCGCCCGCCAGGCCAGCAGGCGCGCCTCGAGCGGGTGGGCCGAGCTGGGCGTCGCCGTCTGCGCCGACGGCGGGCCCCGGGCTGCGGGTAGTGTCAGGTTGTTCCGGAGCGTGTCGGGCAGTCCCGGTGCGGAGGGGGCGCCCTTCGATGGGTGAGGAAGCGAGACGTGCGCTGAGGGCGTGCGGGTCGTCGTGTTGCTGGTTGAGGTTGGGTGGGCGGCCGGCGGGGCTATGCGGAGGGACTTTGGGTGTTGTTAGTTTGGTTGTCTCGGGAGGAGGGGGGAGGTAAGGGTAGGGGAGGTGGACGGGGTGCGATGAGGATGAAGGGACAGGGGGAGGGGGGTTTGAGGTTGTTGGTTGGGCTGGGTTGGGTTGACTGGGATGGGATGGATTTCACGGCGGATAATGATGGCGTTGATGTAGGTCCCTTGGGGATGGACGTGGACGTACCATTGTGGCGGTGGTGTGAATAATTTGTGTTTTGTTTGGAGATAGTCAAAGATTGCGTAGCTGGTGTACGTCGTCAAGCGAGAGAAGAGGGAGGAGGGAAGAGATGGATGGATAGAAAGGTGGGGGTAGATGGATGATGGTTCAAGTCGGAGTGATTAGAAGGTAAGTAAGGTCAAGTAGCTCTGACATCGATAGTAGCAGCGAGCCAGCGTAGGCTCCCTCCCGACTGGCGCGTCCGCTCTGCCACAAGCTCCTCCGGCCGACCACACCGCCCCAACCCGCAAAAAAACTGTCTTCCCCTGCTGCTGCTGCGTGCCATTCTCCATCCCCGGACCCCCAAGTCACGTGCCCCAATATTTCCCATCGAAGGAAATTCGAACGTCTCGAGCCTCAGGTACAGTGACCAGTCCGGCTTGGAGAACAACATCCACACCACCTCCGCCAAAATGCCCGCCCTCATCTCCTCCCTCGCCCTGCGCACCCTCCGGACGCTCGTCCAGCGTCCCTCTCCGGCCGTCGCCACCACCACCCCCATCCGTTCCATCAAGACTGCTGCCACTGCTGCTGCTGTCCGCCGATTCACCCCCGTCCTCCGCACGCCCACCGCTCTCGCAGCCCTCACCACCAGAACACCCACTTCACGAATCGCCTTCGCCGCGCGCTCCTTCTCCACCTCCCCGGTTAGGCCAGCGACCTACAACCAAGTCCGCCGCGGCTGCCGCGTGGCGCAGAAGGCCCGGCGCTCGCGGTCGCCCGCCGTGACCGGCCGCGCCCAGATGAAGGGTGTCTGCCTCAAGACCGGTATCACGAAGCCCAAGAAGCCCAATTCCGGGGAGCGGAAGACGGCCCGTGTGCGGCTGAGCAGCGGCAAGGTTGTCACGGCTTATATCCCTGGTGAAGGTGGGTTTTGTGACACCGATCTCTCCTCTGTGCTGGATATGAGGACACTTGATGTACCTCTTGGTCGTGTATGCTCTGGAAGATGAGCGAATTTATATGGGGGATTGGTTGTAAGGGACATGGCTGACAAGTCTCTTTTCCACGATCCAGGTCACAATATTCAGCAGCACAGTGTCGTCATGGTCAGAGGTGGCAGAGCCCCCGATTGTCCCGGTGTGAAGTACCACTTGGTTCGTGGGGCTATGGATCTGGTATGTTCATCTCCTCTAGGAAAGGGTTGAGCGCTGTTCTCTAATTGTGGCTGCTACAGGGTGGTGTTCCCAACCGCTTGACGGCCCGATCTAAGTATGGTACGAAGAAGCCCAAGACGGACTAAACGTCCGCAAAAGCTGGGGGATGCGTGCATCGGGGAATTATGTTTGAGTCTAGCCGGATGATATGTTGATTCCCTGCAGGGAGGCTCTATCCTTGTACTATTTTGCTTACTTTCTTTTTTTTATATTTTCATCTTCAAAGGCATTCGGTTCATCGTTAAAACAGCTATGTACATTTATGAGACAGTCTCTGGAAAAGATAACACTTTCCATCTTATCAGATATCCACTTGAAAATCGTGATGCTCGCCGCAAAATGACATGGGACGAAAAATAATTGAAGGAGAAATAATCACCGCCTCCATGACAATACATGTGAGACCGATAACACCGAGGCTCGAACACTCCAAGAAACGGCGGGAGGGGGGAATTGAAAGTAGGGGTTGAAGGGGTGAAAGTTGCGAGATAATCATGTTTGGGTCAGTCGGAAACGCCCCATTACTGTACTGTAGAACCGTAATGTTTTAGGACTTCCTCCGCGGCTGAATGGACTCCCAGCCAGCGTGTACGTGGTCAACCAGATGACCTGCTCTGTTGACCACTAGTACCCGGGTTTGTCTGTTGAGTAGGACTAAAATACCGCAGATGAAGATTGTCGAAATCAAAATTAATCCAGTCATACGAAGTCAGGTTTGAGCCTCATAGCCCTTGGGCTTGTCCAGGTTGTTGATCTGGAAGTACCGAGATGTGCCTACGAGCAATAGTAAGTAACCCGACACCTACCCGGTGAGATAGTCAAACTTACAAGAGTAACCCTTCCAATCAAAGTTCTCGCTAGGGTTGCAGGAGCATCTCAGGTCCAGTCTCTTCTTCTCCTCGGTTGGACAGTGGGTAAATGGCACGTGATAGTAGCCAATCTCATCAAAGAAATGAATCTGGTCCTTGTCCAGAAGCAGACCAGCAGCAATGGAGTGGACCGGGGCATCACCCCACCGCTCGTAGAAGAACCCACCGGCATGGTCCAAGGTCTCAAAGTAATCAATGTACGCCTTCGATCTCAGCCATTCCAGGCTTCCGACTTCGAAGTTGGACCACTAGTAATCGAGTTAGCCAACGCCCTTGACGACAATTCCGAAAGATCTACATACGAAGTGGCATTTGTTGTAGGTCTTGCCGCCATCGTCACTCAGGAAACCCATGGAGTTGTCGCTCGAGAGGTGTTCCGGGTGTTCGCCGACGAATTTCTGCGTGGTGTCCCAGAGGGTCGGGATCGTGTCATAGTATTCGTAGAGACTGAGCGTAAAACTGTACTTCTTGTTGTTCTCCTTCATGAACCGGAACGGATCCAACGGGACGTCGCAGTAGAGCTCGATGCTGGGCTCCACACGCCAGTAGTATTCGTAGTTCAGCATCAGCGGGTGGCGGAAGAAGAAGCCCGATTCGTAACGGCACATGTGGCGGTAGCTTTCCGAGTCGCCGTAGATGATCTTCTTCTCGCCCATCTCCTGCCGCACCTTCTTCGCTTTCTCCTGATCGATCCATTCGGGGTATGACCAATGCTCCTTGGGAATCACGCCATAATGGGTTTCTCCGGAGACGAGCGCCGAGGTGATCTTGATGAACTCATCGTCAAAGGGCTTGTCGTTCAAGAACACCCAGTCGTAGTGATAGTTGCGGTTGAACCGGTCCTCCACCGTGCGGATCGACTTGACCATCTCCCAAAGGTCGCTGTTCCGGGCCAAGGTTACGAAGGTTGCGTTCATGCGGTCGGCCGCGGGGATGACCTTGTTGGATGAGTATGCGGCGGCGGCATCGCTCTGGGAGTACGAAGAGGACGACGACGAGGAGGATCCATAGTTGAGTTTCGAGCCGATCTGCTCCGGGATCGGGATTGCGCTTCTCGATATCAGGAAAAAAAGTGCCAGTCCCTAGACGCATCGGGTCAGCCATGAAAGGAGATTGGGAGAAAAACCAAAAAGCACTAACTGTGACAGCAAACAGGAGATATCGAACTGGCCCTAGAGCCATGATCACCGAGGTTTCTGTGCTTTCAAAAACTCAAGATCTGTTGATGTGGCTAGACTGGGGCAGAGCGGAGTGAATGTGGTGAATATTGAGGCCTTTCGCAAAGGACCGCTTGGCCTGGAGAATTGGGGAATAAAGAGGAAAAAGCGAGCGACAGTATGAAGTGAAGAGGAGGGAAAGGAAAAAAGCTGGAGACCTGGAATCCCACGGTAAGAACTCGTCTACGCAGTGGACGAAATGGAAGGAAGACTAGGCGCCAGAATGACCAGAAAGTGTCGAGATGATCGGCGACAAGCACGGAGATGAACAGGGTGCGGTGGTGTAATTATTATGGGGCAACGGTCTCGATCTCTCACCACTGTTTGTATGAGTATTTCCCGAACCGCGGGTTTGTTGCGACCGGGTAGAACATAAACAAGGGGGAGGGGGAAATAGAAGGAAGAGGGGCTGATAAGAACAGAAAAAATCAAATAAATAAAGGGAGCAAAGGAGATTATAGTAATCTTAATTCAGGAGAGGAGAGGAAACTGTCTGTTCGCTACGGAGAGTAAAAGCGAACGAACAAGGTCAGCCCTGCGGCGGAGCATGAACTGAATCACTAAGAATTGAATGGATGAATGGATGGATGGGAATTCTCATAGTCAATAATAATGGGAGGCGACGTAACCTCCCCGATGGCTATTGGCCAGGCCACGTACGTCGTTCGGGGGTTGGCCACCCACTCCTCAAGCCTGTTTCTGTTCTCTTTTGACTATTTTTGACTATGATTATTGCATCTTTGTTAGAGTTAAACTCCGGGATCGTGCTCGAGTCTATCATATTGACTGGGGCCGCAAGATCTATCCTAATCATACTTGCAACGAGATTAAGATACTCATAGTTCTCGATCTATCTATCCGCTTATGTACAGAAACGTCCCTGTAATTCTCAGGAAAATTGCCCCCAAAGCTTCGTATAACCCGTGGCGTGTGTGGTAGAAGTAGCTGTGGCTGTGTTGACAACGATTTGCCGGGAGGGAATTACCACTCAGTAGTACTCAGTAGATAGTAACTCAGTAGTTGTGCACTAAGGAGTGTCTCATTCGTGTTGTTCTTGTTGGGCGGGTGGCCGCCAGGCGGTGGCGTGGCTGCAGCGCACCTTATTTCTGCAGAAACTGACCGCCTCACGGACACCCTGCCTCAGGCTAACACAACTAAGCCTAAACCCACCTAGGCGGGTGATATCAGACCGGCTCTGAACCTCATCCCGCACCACAATTATGCCGTGGTAATTCCTCCTCCCCCTCTCCCCACGCCACCAGCCTCCCTGTTCCCCATCCAACCTGCCTCTGCCGAAGATGTCTTTCTTTGGCTTTGACACCACCCTGCCCAGGGACCGGGCTGCTCCTTCCGAGCGCCGGGGCATTTTCGAGACCCCTGATCCATTCGCCGAGGTCGCTCGCGCCCGTCTTGTTCAAGGATTCCGAGGCGGCGACGAGGATGACGATGCGTAAGGTCTCCCTCCTTCTACAATCCATTGACTTGCACCAAAGATGACTGATGGGCTTCGTACACGCGTATAGCATTGATTTCGAGGATACCTACGATGGCCTGGGCGATCAGCTCGACGACGACCAGGATGCCTTCAACGACGACACCTTCGGCGACGACCTCGGCGCTCCTCCTGTCGGAAAGGACTTCGATTTCTTTGGGAAGACCGCGCAGGTAGCCGATGCCATCGGCGAAGAGCAAATACGCTACAGTCTCCAGAAGCCTAGAGCCCCTGCTGCCGCCCCTATCACTGCAGACACCATTGCCGATCCTGCTGTGAGTGCTGCCGCTGTGCAGCCGAAACGGACCGGTTATGAGAAGTACTCGGATCCCGGGTATATCCCGGATCTTCAGGCCAAGTCGAGCGTCTGGGGTGTTCAGAAGAAACCGGAACCCACGCCAATGATGATTGCACAGGCACAGGCACAAGCACAGGCACAGGCGCACGCTCAGGCTCAGGCTCAGGCTCAGGCTCAGGCTCAAGCGCAGGCTCAGGCCCAGGCCCAGGCACGGGCAAAGAAGATGCTCAGCTTGGAGGAGGTAGAGGCGCAGTTGCGGCGATACCCGTCGTCACTGCCTGGCCAGATACCGGTGTCTCTCCCTCAGTCGATGCCCGAGCCGTCCCACCCGCTTCAGCGAGCTCAGATGCCTCCTCTGCCCGAAGGCTTCGCACAGCTGCCACCTGAGCTTCTGCACGCTCAGTTTGCTAAGGGTGTGCCGCCTCCGGCGCAGCTGTTGCACCAGCCGCCGATGGTTCCCGAACCGTATCCGCTTGCTCCGCATGCTCCCAACATGCCAATGCACCTTCTGCAAAATGCCAATCTTCCCCCGCAGCACATGGGGCCGCCTCAACGTCAGATGATCCCACCGGGAGGTCCTCAAGCCCAGCAACAACAGCCTCCACCGCCGTCTCAAAGCATGCGGGCCAACAACGCCCAGCTACCCGTGATCACCAATCCTCAACAGCTGATGCATCTGTCGGAAGAGCAACGAGTGGCATACTTGATGGAAGATGCGAAGCGCGCCAAGCGAAACCACAAGATCTTCCTCCTTTCCAAGGGCAATGGTCTGATGACTCCGCAAGACAAGAACTTCATTACCCGTATCCAGCTCCAGCAACTGGTGGCTGCCGCAGGTAATGTCGTGGACACGGATTCCGAAGCGGTCTTGGCGGAAGATTTCTACTATCAGGTCTACAGCCAGATCCGCGGCGCTCCTCGGCAACACCCCCATCAACCTCTCGGTCACTTTGCGCAGACGTATCTCCTCCAGACTGGTAACCGCCTCGGTGGTCACGGCAACCGGAGACAGTTCCAGAATGCCGACAACCACATGCAGAGAATGCAGCAGCAGGTCCAGCGGGCCGTCGAGGCTGCCAAGGCCAAGCCCAAGAACAAACAACTCATCATTGAAGGTAGCTTGGGCAAGATCTCTTTTGGCAATGCGAAGGCTCCGAAGCCCATGCTCAACCTCAAGCGGCCCGAGAGCTCCGAGGGTGGCAAGTTACTCAAGAAACCTCAGACCGACCTGAGTCTGAGCGACCGGAAGTCTATCCTGACCAACATCGAGGGCGTCTACAGCACGTTGATGGAAATGGAAGATATGGAGCGCACCATGCCTCCTCCGCCAGACGAGAATGACCCCGAGGCCATTCAGAAGCATATGGAGTGGCGGCAAAATGTTCGCTCGCTCAACCAGAAACTGTGGCGCGAACTGAAGGTTATGGAGCCGATTGTTCCCAACACTAACACGCCTCACCCGTTCATCGCTTTCCTCTCTTACCCCAAGGGCAAGAAGGCCATCCCCCGTATCTTCCGCCACATTGACCAGGAACAACGCGTCACGATCCTTACCATGATCGTTGTCCACCTGGACACTTTGGACGTGGTCCGACGCGCACAGCTCATGCCCGGTGAGACTCAGCCGTCTCCGGTCGTCCGCGAAGCCATCGACCTCTTTTCTCAGACGGTCATGCCGAGCCTTCTCGGCTACGTCAATGAGGCTCCGTTCAATATCATCATTGGATTGTTGGGACTTGTGATTGCGCAGACCCATGTTCAGCTGGTGGCCAAGACCCGGATCGGACTAGGAATCTTAACCATGCTCCTGAGCCGCGCGGAAATCGTAAAGGAAGCCGACCAAGCTTCAGAGCGAGATTGGCAGCAGTGGGTCGAGAAATTCAACGTGCTATTCGACACATTGGAACCCACATTTGCCGATATCTTCCCCAGTTCCATCAATGCTGGTGACGATATGTACGTCTGGCAATTCTTGGCAGCCGTCGGTATCGGCGCCAGCCCTGATCAACAGCAACGCCTAGTTATTGCCGTGAAGTAAGTTGAAGTTTTCCCCCTATTTCCCACCGAATTGATGCTAACTACCTCTACAGGGATCGTGTGATGGAAACTGTTACGTACAGCAAGACGCTTCCTGCAGACATGGCCAGCCAGCGTCTCGGAAACGTCAATCTGTTCATGCGGGCCATCGGTCTGGACGTTGAACTTTTGGGTTAGAAAGCCAGAGAGGACATAGTGATCGGGTCTGATCTAAATGCTGGGTACTCCATGACTCTCTAAACCCAGCGTCGGTCGGACCGGGCAGACTTGGGCCCATAAATGAGCGGGTTTGCCTCTAGACACATTGCAGTCTGCCATAAGCGGCATGTCGTTGTTCGTGCTGAAAGGGTTGAGCAGTCGTGATCTACTGCTTAGTAGAACTGCACCCGGGGTATCTGAAACCCGAAGAACAAGAAAGAGACAGAGAGACAGCTGACAGGCAGGGTCGGTTGGTGCTCTCGGAAGCAGGATTGGAGGGAGACAGGCCCGAACGAGCTGTCGACCAACCTTTTGGCGGTGGTGAATGCGAGGTGCATTCTTCAATGATGTATTACCTACCAACTTTACGTACGTACTTTATTAGTTTTGTTCAGTGATGTCCTACAGCGAGATTTGGGGGACATGTCCGAAAGTCGTGTGGATAGCTCTTCTTCCATGTTCTATTTGATTATATTGCCATGCTTATGCGAGGTCCACGATGAGAAAAGACGTGATTGTACTATTGAATACGACGGCTACTACTAGTAGAGGAGGCCACGCACCTCCCGAACAGCTGTGTTTGCCACCAAAACTCCTATGCCATGTGTTCCTTACCCAAACACCCATTTCCTCTATGAAGGTTATATGATATAAAGTAAGTGTCTACTTTTATATAAGAATATGATACTAATGATTCTTAGTAAAATAAGTAAGTAAAGGGTTGAAAGCTGTTACAGTATCTCCATAAGTGAGCAAGTAGATAAGATCTTTCCGTGTATATAAGATAAGTGATTAAGCAAACAACTAAGTAAAGCTTTTTATAACTAATTTATATACAAGTAATTGACTTAGCAAAAGTCTTTTTTATCAACAAGTATATAAATATAAAGGATTAACAATAAGACCTTGAAAAACGAGAATGGCTGGATGCTTTTCCGTTCCAACAGCAATACCATTCGCCACTGCATTCATCTCTGGAGGAATACAAGAAAGGCTGGAGGTATACTTGATGTGATCTTCGAGAGGCACAATGTTTTCGTAGGCTACGACCGGCCTTCCCTTGAATATGCTGTCCCATTACCAGGGGCAAGTTTGGGTGGGTCAAAAGGGCCCCTTGTCAATTGGTTTCTCCTTCTGCCCTCCTCTTCGTCTTTGTATATCAGGATCGATCAAGAGTGGTAGTTAAGCTGCTGTGTTCTGATGCGAAGAAAATCACCACCCGCCCCTTGCGTCCTTGGGTATCATTTGCCGCGTCGGCTCGGCTATTCTAGATTACATGCAAATGGAGCTCTGTCTGGAAGTTGAAAAAAAGAAAAAAGAGCATTAACCGCTTGGCAAGCCGTCCGAGCTAGATGGGATCGTCTTCAATATACCAAACCATCTCAAGCTACAGGTAAAAGGCTAGTGTGCTCTTATGGGGATCCAAGCTCGAACGTCACCGCCGCCGCCTCGTTCAGTTCGTCTCCCAGGTTCGGGATACGCGTGCCTATGTAGAGGCTGTGGCTGCCACGACTGAGGGCTGGAAGATCGCGCGCGAGAGGCGTCTCCGGGTCGAGGTCCAGTGTATTAAGCCAGTCTGCAAATGTGGCCGGCGTCCGATTAGCATGGTAGGAGAAGTCTTCAGTGGCGGGGGACGCCGATTGATTCTTCCGGCAAGACTTGGCGAAGCGAAGTTGGTGGCGACGGCAGGCAATCCATGTCATGGCGAAGACGTGGATTGCAGGGATGGTTTCTTGAAGAATGTTGCGGAAGTTGCGCCAAATGGTCGTGAGGACCCTAATACATTCGGAGCCGTCGGGAAGAGGATCCTTGAGACTGAGTGCCACCAGGGTCAACATGCGCAGACTGGGGGCGGCACTGCGCAGGAAAAGCGCAAAGTCGGATTGGGTCACTTCGACCCAGTGCAGGTGAAGCCTCACCAGGCGGGAGAATTGAACCTGGGGGGCGAGGTCTGCAAATACGTCAGGGCTCGACTCCTGCATCTGAGCCCACTGGAAGAGCTTGAGGGTCCGAAGAGTCGGCGCCGCTCTCGTGATGAGCCCGGGGAGACAATCGTCCCTGGCTCCCTCCGGGCTTCCGGGCCCGAGACAGACCTCGAGAACTCGCAGGTCTCGGAGACAAAAGGCAAGAGGCTCGTACAGCGAGCGACCTTTCAACCGTCAGATAGGTCGCGGGAAGAACCACATTCCACCGCAGACTACACGTGTAGAGTCGTTGAATCGCTACCGAGGAGGAGACCATGCATAACGCTTGGAGTGCACTGGTGAGCACCTTGCCCCAGATGGGGTGATTGGCCCCCCGCCACTTATGCGCGATATGAGGGCGCTGGCTGTGTCGTATGAGCTTTTGCTCAAAGAGGCTGTATAGGAGGCCCCTCTCCAGACCACGCAATCCGAGAAACGCTGTATGCTTGCGCTGGGGTTGGTACCTGGAAAGTGGGTATGCGTCCAGGCCAATACTTCGGAGATTGTCGAACTGCGCCAGGCACTCTGCAAGACTGGAGACCAGGGACTCCGACTGTGCAAACGTGAGATGTGCTGTATGCGTCGCCTTGTAGACCGTGTAGTGGGCCTGGATTTCTTCGCTGGTCCAATCGCGGCGCTCCGGGGCGCTCCGCAGCACCTCAGTAAATTCGGCCAAGGGGATATTGTAATTTCGGGACAGGGGGGGGATCAGACACAGGTCCTGCACAACGGGCCGAATTGTCTCGTGGGACGCCAGTGCTTTCAGATCGGCGATTCCCTCCGGCGTGACCATAACGTGGATGCGCTGGAAATATCGGCGGGCAAAGACGGGCCAGATGGCGCGATATAGAGCCTTGCATGTCAGTCGCAGGGCACACCAATCCACGAATGCCAAGTGCGTCGCAATCGCATCGAACAGCTCTGGTGGGAGGGACTCCATTGTGTGCAGTAGGTCAGGACACAGATGCGATGGAGGGTGGAGACCAAGGGGGAGAGGGAAGAGGATCAATGCTTCTTATGAGTAAGTGTGTGTGAAAGTGTGCATTAAATAACTACTACTGAGTAGTCTAGTATTGAATGGAGTGGGACTGGACTGACTGGACTGACTAGAGCATCAGGTTCACCCCATGCATTATAGGACCGACCCTAAGGATCGAAAGGGCTTGGTCTGCAGTCAACTGTCGTTTCCATCAAGATCAAAAGCTTAGCATGAGATGGCGCTGGCCGGTCCCTGTTAGCGTTCAACCGGATCGACTTAGCCCTAAGCTCGGTCAATAGCCTCACCAACGGGCCCATGGCATCACGGCCACCAAGTTCTACGAATACAATACCGCCTCGGATTTGTGCTCAACTCTGGCGGTCGGGCAGTATGTATGTTGCTCCTCTGCAGGTCTGCCTGACAATTCCCCCTCCGCCTACAGCAACGGAACCTGCTACACGTACACGGTTGAGTCCGGGGATAGCTGCCCTGCCTTAGCAGAGACTTAACTTATAGCCTGACGGTTGCGGAGAACGACTCGTATAACAACAATACCTGGGGCTGGTAATTATATGACTTACAATCTTCACGGCACTTGGGACTTGGGGAATGAGTACGCACAATGGGGCTGTACCGCGGGGGATTGTCTCTTCCCGCACGTCAACATGACCGAAACTATGTGGGCATTATCCATGATCACCAAGGCCGGAGTGGCCACCAAGGACATTCGCGTGGGCGTTGCCAGCTACGGTCGATCGGTCGAGATGAGCACTGAGGGCTGCTATGAATCGTGGTGTACGTGGGATGCAGCGGGTGCCGCGGGCTCGTGCACCAACACCGCTGGGTACATCTCGAATGCTGAATTGGACGTGATTCCCGACTCCGACTCCACAGCCACCCCCTACTCCACCGACGACACCGACATCCTCGTCTACAATGAGACCCAATGGGTCGGCTACATGAATGCGACCACCCGCGCAAATCGCACGAATTACTACAAGACGTACAACTTCGGCGGACTCTCGGAGTGGGCCATTGACCTGGAGACAAACCCAGGGTCGCTGGACGATAGCTGGGAAACAAGTATCACTGCGTCGCCATCGACCAGCACGCAGAGCACCACCACCACCACCACTACCACCGTCACTATTGGTCCCACCGTGTGGGCAGAGTCCTCTCCGGTTGTTACCTGCTCGCCTCCCTGCCTGATGATCATGCCCCCTAAACCTCTCACTACGACCACCACCATCACCTTCACTGAATGGGACACGAACATCACCTGGTCCTCCACAGCCACCAAGACCACCACGCTCAACGATGGCAGCGTGGTGACATACAAGTCCATGCACACCTCTGCCATCCCCACACGCCTCTATCCCTCTCCCGTCACGACCGACTGCATTGATGTGTGGAATCAAGCCATTACTCCTGGACCATCGGTAGTCCACCAGACCAGCTCCGTCCGACCAACTCCCTTGACAGTCACCTATACCCAGTAAGTACTCGCAACCCCAGCCCGATCATGTCTTTCACTAACTCTCGCGCTGGATAGGACGGTGGGCGGCAGCACAACCGTTTCCGGAGGCACCACAAGCACAATCGCGGGGGTGTCTTATTCGTTCGGCAACTTCACCTACGCCAGTCCTCCGTGGACGGGCGTTTTTGGGGGCACGACGATCGTGGCAAATGGAACCTGGAACCATTCTCTCTCCCACCACGACCACCGTGACCGCACCCCTATCCGACGGACACGAGTACCCCCGACTCAGTGCTGAACACTCGCACCACCAAAATGAGCACTGGCTCCCCTGCTGGGCCGACACCCACCTCATCTGGGGAGCACGTCGGCCACCACTGTGAGTTTTCCCCCTTTCTTCGGTACCCTGCTATCGCTGACATGAAATTCTAATCCCCCCCGCTATAGGTACGTTCTTCTGTGCATGCCCCTTGTGCCCTGCAGCTATGAGCATTGATGGAAGTGAAGGGGACGATAGCAGTGGCGGCGGAAGCTCAAATGGCTCTGGCGGCGGCGGCGATGACGATGACGACGACGACGACGACAAGTCCACCACCACCACCACCAGCGGCAGTACTACCAGTACTGAAGTCGCCGACGTGACCATGGGTGGAGCAGGTACCACGGCATATTTCGACGCCCCGCCCACGACAGCGAGCACGAATGCGGCCACTCAAACCTCCATCGATTCATATCTGGGCTCGATGTTCCGCTCGCTGTACAGCAGCAATGTCGCCTCCAGCACCTCCACCATGACGGGCACTGCTGCCACGGCGACCACCACCGAGCCGCTCTGCGTGGAGGAGCAGGATCCCGACAGCGGCTCGGACGAGACCTACTGCTCCTGCAACGGCGGCAGCGGCAGCTATCCCACCCTTACCCCCGGCACCAATCCATGCGGCTACACCACGCTGCCGACGCGCACGACCACCAATTCATACCCGTATACCTTCACCGACCCGGACGGCGACATCATCGCCTGCACGACGGAGGGGTACCTCGGCACAATCGCCTATTGCTCGGGCTCGCGCACCACCGTCCACACGGCCACGACCACAACCACGACCACGACCGCCAGCGCCAGCGCCAGCGCCACCTCGACGATTTCTGCGACGACACGGCCTACGCCGCCACCAACACAGACACCGACAAGGCGCTGACCACCTCCCTGAGCACCAGCTTCACGTTTGCCGAGTGGTCCGTGTGCGGCGTCTCCGGGGGATACAGCTGCACCGAGACCGCCAGCAGCTCGGGCGTGTGGGACTGCACCGACGCCAACGGCGGGAATGCCGCGCAGTGCACCAAGGCGGCGGACAGCTCCAGCCCCTATGTCACCTGTAAAAAGAACAGTTCGGGCGACGGCGAGAACACCTATGGCTACCTCCTGGCCAACTGCACACCGGGGGGGGGGAGTCCGTGGACCCTGCAGTGCAGCGCAGCGCAGGGTCAGGGGTCACGCCGGCGGTGACGGAGATCCAATCCGACGGAGTATGAAGAGGAACACGATGCTTCGGATACCGTGTTCTACATGACGCTCGGGTGCTTGTCGATAGAGGCTTTGAAGGGTACTCGAGTACATGTGATCGACATATCGGGGTGTGAATAGCATAATTCCGGACTTGAGCAGCAAAGACAGGTATGGCTTAAACTATACTTAGTGTATTGACTTGAAAGAAAGCTTACATAGGATTATAAGCAGCTTGAGATACTGATTTGAAATATGCGTTGTTTGAGGTCTATAATACCTCTGTTTATTTTTGATATGGTTGAGGACAAGACAAGAAGAACTGTAGGAGTCAGGAACACCAAAGAATGCCTGTAGGCGGTCGGGTAGGCGGACCACAAAAACACAACAGAATCAACCACCACAGAAACACCACAGGCAGAGTAAGTCTTCTTTATCCTCACAAGGATTTGCTCCAGAAGTCTGGAATTATCTAGCATAACTAATCTGGGAGCGGTCAGAGTACTCGGCGCGTGTTTATATAGTACAAAATCAGTAAGGGTGTGGGAGTAACTACAGAAGAAACGGTCACATGCTGCCCTTATAGATACAGCAAACAGACAGGACTTGCAGCCAAACATTCCAGTAATGTGACTACTACGTAACTACTGTACAGCCGAGCCAGCCCCCGGAGTCTAGTCCCAGGAGAGACTAGGCTAGATAAGCCGATATATTAGCAAAGGCGAGCGTTGCAGTGGTGCCATCGATAGTAGGAATTAGGCCAGACAACATCTTTCTTCCTTTCCTGGCTGGCAGCAACCTGCAACCTTCCCACGGGGGCGGGCAGAAGACCCTCGGAACTCGAGGAGCACAGCACAGATCCACTTTGCGCAGTGGAACCGCGGACCCGCTCGTGCTAATTGGGGTTCAGCCTGGAGAGGTCGGTTAAAGAGGCATGGTTTTTGGAAAGGTGCGCGAGTCGATAGATTACTATCTTAAGGTCTTGGACCGTTGGTGTTTCCATGGATATGGAGGATTGGTCTTTCCTTCTTTTCTTTTTTTTCTGATTCATTTATTATTTCCCTGTCATAAGCAAGTCGGACCGAGAATTAACTTGCTGCTTGGCTTGGCTTTTCGGTCGGCTACGGCAGGGCAGGCATATGCATCGGGCCTGCAGCTGCATGTGGCTGTGGCTGCTGGCTATCAGTCCATCCCTGTTCGGTTTTTTGTTAGTTATTGTCTGGCGAGTTGGCGACTGTCTCCCCACCTGAGACAGAGAGAATTGTCCCTGAAAAGTGTCATGATCGTGGTTTGATGGGTTGGGTAAATTAAACCGGTGGATTGGATCGTCCCGTTGACCACTCATTACGGGGAGGATTGTCTGGGAGGGACTGCAGTGATCAGCCAACGGGGCACAAACAATTCTCGGTGCTGATAGGAACAGGTCAGTCTGTTGTACAGACTGAACGGGTGTGTGGCCACACACAATGAGGAGAGATGAGAGGGAGCAAGAAGCCATTCTATGCCGACAATTGACTTGTGCAGCTTGTCTGGTCGCAAACAGACAAATCGAGACCAGCCCGCGTCAGCCCCCAATAAGTACAAGTAAGTACGGAATAAGACTAAATTACCTCATCATACCCGGACAATACCATCACAAAACCGGGTTATGCCGGGCGGTGTAGACGGAGAAATAGGGAGTCTGACCCAGTCTGACCAGTCTGACCATACCGAAACGGTACCTGGTCCTCCTCCGGAAAGCCCCTCCACAGTCCACTGCAGTGCCTGTGCCCGCCCTCCCCTCCTTCCTCCCCCCCCCCCACCATGTTTCCCATCTTCGAAAGCAGCCAACTGGAACCAACTGCTTCTCTTCCTTTCCCAGTCCAGCCCAATTCAATGAGTCCACTCACTCCTCCTTAAATATCCCGTCTTACTGTCCTGTTCCTGTTCCTGTTCCCTTTCTTTTCTCCCCTCAAATCCCCCTTCCTCACTCCAATTCTCTCTTTCTCTTTCCCCCCTCCCGCCATCTAATCCAATTCTCCTCCATCATCATGTCTGCTGGTTCAGTTCTCGTCACTGGGTAAGTTCTACCATTGCGCCCAGATCTCTTACAGCTGGAACTGACCCCGCAATCCCCAACTGCGCAGTGGCACGGGCTACATTGGCTCTTTCACCACCCTTGCCTTGTTGCAGGCTGGCTACAAGGTCGTTGTCGCTGACAACCTCTACAACTCCTCCGCCGAGGCTCTCAACCGCATTGAGTTGATCTGCGGCAAGAAGCCCGAGTTCGCCCAGCTCGATGTCACCGATGAGGCGGCTTTCGACAAGGTCTTCCAGGCCCACCCCGACATTGACAGCGTCATCCACTTCGCTGCTCTCAAGGTGCGTCTAACCCGCCCTGCGTTGCCATTGCACCTGCAAGTCCCATACTAAACAGTTCCCTTGTGCTCAGGCTGTCGGAGAGTCCGGTGAGAAGCCTCTGGACTACTGGCACGTCAACGTCTACGGCACCATCTGCCTCCTCCGCTCCATGGTCCGCAACAACGTCACCAACATCGTCTTCTCCAGCTCCGCCACCGTCTACGGCGATGCCACTCGCTTCCCCAACATGATCCCCATCCCCGAGGACTGCCCTCTGGGCCCCACCAACCCCTATGGCAACACCAAGTTCGCCGTGGAGACCGCCATCACCGACCTGATCAACGCTCAGCGCAACAACGCCATCAAGGCCGGCAAGGAGGCCGAGGCCAACAAGTGGAACGGTGCCCTCCTCCGCTACTTCAACCCCGCCGGTGCTCACCCCAGTGGTATCATGGGCGAGGACCCCCAGGGTGTCCCCTACAACCTGCTCCCTCTTCTGGCCCAGGTCGCCACTGGCAAGCGTGAGAAGCTGCTCGTCTTCGGCGATGGTACGTTCAGATTCCCTCTCTTCTCCTCTCCTCTCCTCTCCTCTCACCAGCGACCTAACACGAGGCTAGACTACGCCTCCCACGACGGAACCGCCATCCGTGACTACATCCACATCCTCGACCTGGCCGACGGCCACCTGAAGGCCCTCAACTACCTCCGCGCCAACAACCCCGGTGTCCGTGCCTGGAACTTGGGTACCGGCAAGGGCAGCACGGTCTACGAGATGATCCGTGCCTTCTCCGCCGCTGTCGGCCGCGACCTCCCCTACGAGGTCGCCCCCCGCCGTGCCGGTGACGTCCTGAACCTCACCTCCAACCCCAGCCGGGCCATCCAGGAGCTGGGCTGGAAGGCTGAGCACACCCTCGAGCAGGCCTGCGAGGATCTCTGGCTCTGGACCCGCAACAACCCCGAGGGATACCGGCAGCAGCCCCCCGCCGAGCTCCTCGAGAAGCTCAAGAACTAAAACTAAACTTGCTCGTAAATGATACCTACTCTTACCTACTGTTGATTTAATTAGCATCTCTTTGGCGACGGCGGGAAAACCAAAATCGCATCAATAGATTTGATCTGAATGAGACGAATTTCCTTTCTTGAAGATATGCCTGGTGTAATTGCACTTGCTGTGTTTGCTGTGTTGTTGTTGTTGTTGTTGTCTCGCGAGTGGATGGATAGATGAGATGTCTTGAAATAGTTACCTAAACTCCAGAACCATGCATGTATGCACTCCACTCTTAGCCTCCCCGAAATATCGCACCATATATACAGCCAGTCTATTTACCACTCTCGCCACTGCCATTGCCCTTCCGACTCCTCCTCGACCCAGGGGTCTGTGCCTTGGGCGCGGCAGCGGCCTTCTGCTCGGCCGCCTCCGCCAGTTCCGCCTCCTTCTTGGCCCGCGCCCGCAGCACGGCACTCTCCTTCTCCTTGACCTCGATCATCTTCTCACTGAACTCCCACAGCAACTTGCCCGCAGCCTCGTCCCGGATCTCCCGCCGCGCCACATCCACCTCGCGGCACTCCTTGATCATCCACCCGCCCTCGTCGCGGCCGTAGCGCGCCTCCATCGCCGCGTACAGGAAACTCTGCGCCCCCTGCTGCGGCGACTTGAGCACCAGCCACCACACCGGCCAGGTGACCAGGTACCCCAGCAGGCCCCACAGCGACCCGCCCGTCATCCAGCGCCGCATGCCGGGCGTGCGCGTGAACCCGGGGTCTACCATGATGACCCGCGTGGCCGGAGGGTGGCCGTCCGGCCGCTTGAAGGCGTTGAGATGTTTCTGGAACGAATGCGCAAACACCATGAGGGCGAGTTTGCTCAACCCGAACAGACTTTCCGGCTTCCGCTTTTGGTTCTTGCTGGTGGTGGCTGTAGACTTCTTTTTCCCACTGCCATTCTTCCCAACCTTCTGCCCTGCCCCTGACTTTTGCTGCTGCTGCTGCTGCTGCAACACCTGGTGATTCGTCACATCCTCGACCGTCCGCAAATCAAACGCTCCAGCCCGGATATAACTCGACGAGCACCCCGCGAAGATGACGCGCACGTCGCGGTGCGCCGGCTGCGCGCGCAGCGCGGGGCTGAGGATACTCAGCAGATGGAAGTTGGCCAGGTAGTTGATCTGCCACTCCTCGTCGAGGCCGTCGTCCGTCAGGGCTTTTTGAGGTGGGTTCGTGCTGGCGCACAGGATGACCATGTCCAGCCGGCGCGGCGTGACGTTGTCGATCCATTTGGTGGCGAAGGTGCGGATGGAGTGCAGCGAGGACAGGTCCACTTGCTCCGCGTAGATGAGTTGGTTGTTGGTCGTGCGCCGCAGGTCCTCGATGTATTCCACCAGGAACACGTCGGAGGGGCTGTGTTGCGTCAGGAGGATGATTTGCGCCCCGCGGGCGGCGAGGGCTTGGGTGATTTGCGCGCCGATTCCGGATGTTCCTCCCTTTTTTTGAGGTTAGTTTAACGGTTTCCGGGGGGGGTTTGTTGGGAGGGGCAGAGGAAGTCGTACCGTGATCATAACAACCTTAGAGTGCATCACTCGCTCCGAGGCATTGCGGGCGCCGCCAAAGTAGAATTTCAGGACGGCAATCACAAGAACCCAGGGGGTGAGCTTGAGGATCGTCCAGGCGAAGGGGATGGAGGAGACACCCTCGGTGACACCCTGGACGATCAGGGGAATGGGCATTGTGGTGGTGGAGGGACGACGACAATGCGAAGCTGCAAACAAAAGACAAGATTCGAGTCGAAGGAGAGACCACAACTGAGAAAAGGGGGGAAGTGAGAGGATGTTGCTGTTGTTGACTGGTAGAAGACAAGATGACCCGAAAAGAAGTCCAACAAATCTGGCCCGTCCGGCGGCCGCGCGGAGGCAGTTGCGTTGCCCGCGCTTAGCGGCCGATCTCCCGCCACTGCGTCACTTTTCCGGCCTTTTTCTTCTACCTGTCGGTCTCTTCTCAACGACAACACCACCACCGAAGAACCTACAATGCCAGACAACAGCCCCGCAGAAGAGGAAGAAGATTACTTCCTCCCTTTAGAGGATCAACGCGTCTTCGGCGCCGGGATCCGCCGCAAGCGCGTCCCCTTCGTGCGCTCCTCCGACGGGCCCGACCTCAACACCACCGACTCCGCCCTCCGCCGCAATGCCTCCGCGTCCACCACCGCACCGAGTTCTACTGGTGCCACCATCGCGAACAAATACCTCTCCATCGTCCTCTCGAAATCAACCACCCCTACCCCGGAGGAGTTCACAGTAGATTCCCTAGCCACAGCTCCATCTACCACCACCACCACCACCACTACAGCAGCAGCGAGTCCACAATCCCACTCCGCACCAACACCAACCACCACCACTCCCCCTCTCGAACAAGACACCAACCCGAACCCTACATCTCAAATCTGCGAAATCTGCAACCTCCCTTACACAGCATCCTCATCATCCTCAGCATCCGAACCCCGAACCCCAGCTGAAACCCACCCCCGCCCCCACGAAGCCTCCCTCGCGCACCAACTCTGCCTCACCCACTCGCACCCGCCCTCGCACCTGGACCGCACGCGGCCCGGCCTGCGCTACCTAGCCGCCTACGGCTGGGACCCGGACAGCAGGCTGGGGCTGGGGGCGCCAGGGCGGGAGGGGATCGTGGCGCCGGTGAAAGGGAAAGTGAAGGTTGACACGGTGGGGTTGGGGGTTGCCGGCGACAATTCGGAGGATGAGGGGGACCCCAAAAAACGGAGGCGCGGGGGCGGTAAGGAATCCGGGGGCGGTGGTTCGGACAAGGTGCACAAGAAGTTGAATGCGAAGGAGGTGCGGAGGGGGCAGGTGGATGCCAGGAAGCGCGGGGAGAGGCTGCGCGAGTTGTTTTATCAGGATGAGAGGGTTCTGAGGTATCTTGGGGGTGGTTGAATTCATTTGGCGAGGGGGGAGGGGGCCGGGTTGGTTGGGTTGGGAGGGGGAAAGGGAAGGGGAGGTCTGGAGTGTTTTAGTGGCTTTGTTATTGTCGCGTACGTTTAGATACCCTCTACTGTTTATGGTCCATGCATTATTTTCCATTGTCTGGGATGTGCGTACACCTTGCTTTGCTGATCTTGCTAAGATGCATTAGTCCGGCCATGTAAATGGTCGGAGATGGCTCGAAAACTAATAGACAATTGAACTTGGTATCACAGCTGCGCTAGATGAGATCAGGGTTGAGCTATGGAGAGGGCTACGGGCAAAGAGTGGCAGATCAGCCTATCGGAAAAAGTGGTGGCGTTTCTTCTCCTTCTTCTCCTTCTCCTTGTGCTCTTTACCTGGCTTGGAGCTGGTAGGAGCCGGAGCCGGACTCGGCCCGCTGCTGGGAGCCTTGTGTCCAAGTGACATCGAGGCCATGGCGGCCGAAGGCGGGGCAGCGGCGACGGGCTTCTTCGCCTGAGGTTGAGGTGGCGGGGGCGCTTCTTTCTCGAAGAGATGAGCAGGCGCCGTGGGTTTCGGCCGCTCGGCCGGGATGTCCAGCCGTCGTCTGTCGACGCTGAGGTCGCCGATCTGTCGCAGGAATAGCCCCGGCGAGAGCATATGGGACGTGGCCAGGTAGACATCCTTGGCATGTGCTTGCGAGATCTCGTAGCACGTACGCGCCTCGCCGTAGGTCGCGCCACCCGCCATGAAGACGATAATGCGTTGGCGAGGCTGCTCGCCGGTTGTGCGCGTTCGCGCCCACGTGGGTTTCGCACTCCGGAGAGATGCTTGCGACAAGGCGTCTTGTGGGTTCGAGCCCTCGCCTTCGGTGTGTGGACGCGTGGGTGGGAAGACAGTCGTGTCAAGGGTGCCTCGCACCAGGTCCTCCAAGATCAACTTGAGGTTCAGATCGTAACGAGTCAAACTTTCCTCTTCCATGTCGACTGCCGTAGGCGGCTTCCGAGTGAATAGCGGTTGTACAGGAGGCTTGTCATCTTTTAGGGGCTTCTCTACACGCACGCCAAGTAGGTCCAGATTGGATATAATTTCCCCGTCCTGCGGTGGAAGTTGTGCGTGTGCCATGAGCTTGCGGATGTCTCCGGCTAGCAGTCCGCCTCGGTAGATAATATAAAGTAGTAGAAGTCTCAGTCGCTCCGGCTGTCGAGTCGCTTCATCATCGAGGAGTTGAACAATCTGGGAGCCCAGATGCTTGGCCTTCTTGTAGTTCTCATCCATGCCGGTTGCTAGGCTTTGCTCGACAGAGCTGACCTCCAGAAGCTTGTGCTCCTGAAAGTATTTCATACACTCTTGTGCCATGTTCAGATGAAGTGTGTATGCATCGCGGCCCTGCTGAAACTCAGTCAAGCCTGCAAGCATATCCTTGATTGTGTTGACGTTCGCTTTGTTGTTGCTGGAACTCATGTCAGTTTCAGGACATAGGATCGTAAGGGAGAACATTATAGGAGAAAAGCCTACTCTTCCGCGAATTGAGGGTTGGCTGCTCGAAACTTGGCAAAATCTTCGCCCAGCTTCCCCAGTACGTCCTTCATGTGCATGTGTCGGTACTCAACCCATACGTTGTCCTGCTCGTTAATCTCCATGTCTTTGATTTCTTGATTAGCGCCGCCCTCATTAATAACGGTCTTGTACGTGACCTTGTTCCCATCGTTGATAGGGAGCAGATCATGAACCATGGACTGATATGTAAATTCATGGAGCAGAGGCGCTATGACGTCCATCGAGCGGTCTACAACAAGGAGAACACCGCGAGGGCGAGACGATGGGGGCGGAAAGTCCCGCTGAAATTGCGCGAATTGATCCAACTCGTTTTGAATGAAGCGGGCCAGGTGTGAGCACAATACGCCGGCCTCGTGGGTTGGGGTCCTGGGTCGATAGTACCGAACGATCGGGTACTCTCCTAGGCTTGCACAGAGAGACACAATCTCCCGCCATTGTCAGCATGCAAAGCTGGTCCGTGGAGCTAAAGCTTATGCCATACCTTCTGAGCCAGTCCTTCCAAGTGCGCACGGATCAAATGGTTGCAACCAGGGTGGAACAGAACTGGAAAGCTCCATGGATCCCGGAACGTCACGACGCGGGATTCGCGGGGGAAATAGTCGGCATTCATGATCTGAACATTGGCGATATTGTCATGCGCCATCTGCGACCGGTCTAGTCTGGCTCGTTGTTGCGGATCGAGGACTGTCCGTACGTCAGCACCAACCATAGCACCCAAGGAATGCTGCGACCAACAGGACGTCCAAACCAGCCATGTTTTCTTGTATCTCTTCCGCTCAAAATCGGCCATCAAACAGTCGACAATATGCGGAAGGGGGGAGAGGATGTACAGCGCATCCATAGAGGCATTTGTTGGGCGTCGGTGCTCGATCTGTTCAACATCTTGGGAACCGGCCAGTTAGCGCCTACCGACATGTATAGATTCGGCATGAAGCTTCGCTTACTGGTCACGTTGAGATTGAGGATATCATCTTCGCTGACGGCATTGTCGATTAGTTTCCGACTGGTCTCATCCACGACTAGGACCTTCCACTACAAGCGCCCGACGTCAGTGGTATGCGGATTGTGAGAGTGGTGAGGGGGGCGGAGTTATCAGGAGGGGCAATGAACGAGAGACCGTACCTCGTTCCCCGCCGCGTAACGAATGGTGTTCAGGATGACTGAAGGAAGAAAGGGATATATTAGTACGAGAAATATTGCGCGCACGAGAAAATAGCCATGTGACTTACTGTCGCGCTGAATGTTGAGGATTGAAGCGCTCATTTTGGCTGACGGGCAGCCCTCCGCTGGGGCATAGACTTGTAACTTGTAACTCACAACACTGGGAAGAGGGGTGAGGATTGAGGGGTGCTAAGACAGTTTAAGGCAGCAGAACACAGGAGGTAAGGAATCCAAGCCAGCAGCCAAGCAAGGTAAGAGACAAGCAAGCGACAGGGGCGCTGTGTGAAGATCAATCAGGGGGTGATAATGATAATTACTGAGGTAAGTTATCTTTATGAAACGTAGCAGATGGTTTGAGACCCCTCGAGCTCCGGAGTCCCGTCCGTCCCCACCTTTTCCCTCACTTTCCCTCTCTCTCCTCCGCTGCCTAGTATGCTTTTCCAAGTTCCGCCGCAGGGGATAAACCTTGGGAAGGCGGTGTAGCCACTCGCCGCCTCGGAAGTATTACTCTATCGCCGTCGCAGCTTGAGTAAAGGCAGAAAAAAAAAAGACGATATCGATATGGCGAATTAATGACGGAGGGGATTTCTTAGAGGGAGCTTGCTGTGTTCTTTTATTCCTCTACCAATATTCTTCAAATTTAATCTCTTTTTCCCAGCCTTTTAACCCTGATAAGTGTGATAAGTGTGATAATATTGTCCCGTCCCTGCGCGCTCACGCCTTGGTTGGACGATCCCGTTCAACAACCAGATTTGCCATTCGATTACGGAACGAAAGAACATACCACTTCACGATAGCATAGGCCTCAATCTCTCATTTCCGCGTCAGGCATGCGCCTATGGAGCAGCAAAGGCAGTCGATGCCTTTTGTGCACACTGCAGCCAATAGCCCGTCCTGCGAATCGGACCTTTGCAACTTCGCCAGTGCTGCTGAGAAAAGCTGTAGGGCAAAGCACTTGTTTCTGTGTTCTCTTGATTCAACGCTAATTCTTCTTCTTTCACTACCCCCAGGGACAAAAAGATAGAGGCAGTCGGGCCAAGCAAGAGCAAGAAAAGAATGCATCACGTGCCAAGTCTCCTCCCAGAGATCGCCCAAGATTGACCGGACCTGATTTTGTGGCGGTCGTCAAACAAAGTCTCGAAGGCTATCGCACCAAGCTCACGAAAGCGGAAGACTGGACATCCTTGAAGAGATGGGATGCCTTCGAAAGACAGGTGCTGAATGCATGCAAACTAGACGATCGCAAAACGTCTGCAGCCGCGGGTGCCTTGCGCCGCCTCAAGAATGCCCTGCATCAGGCCTACAGCAATTATGGACTTAGGGGACTGCGAGATGAGATAGAGTTCCAGATGTACTCGGAAGATATCACGGCAGAATATGGGACACCGAACCAGGTCCGGCAGAAGATATTGGCTGACATGCGACGTCCGACGGAGCTGTACCCGCAAGCGCGCGCCATCCAGCGCACAATACACTTACACGTCGGTCCCACCAACTCGGGGAAAACGTACCATGCACTGAAACGCCTGCAAGCGTCCAAGTCTGGCTTCTACGCTGGACCTTTGCGACTTTTGGCCCAGGAAGTGTACCAGCGCTTTACGACGGCCGGCATCCCCTGCAGCTTGATTACTGGTGATGATGTTAAGATCCACGAAGGTGATGGTGATGAGCCGGTAGGGATTGTTAGCAATACGGTGGAAATGTGTAGCATAGGACAGTCATATGAAGTCGGTGTCATCGATGAGATTCAAATGATCAGTGATACTCGGCGTGGGTGGGCTTGGACCCGTGCTTTCCTGGGTGCTCGCGTCCAAGAACTTCATCTTTGTGGTGAACTCCGAGCGGTTCCTTTAATTCGAGAGCTGGCTGCTCTAACCGGTGACAAACTCGAGATCCACCGCTATGAACGACTGAACGAATTGAAAGTTGCTAAGAAGAGTCTCGGAGGCAACTTAAAGAATCTTCAGAAAGGAGATTGTGTTGTTTCCTTCTCGCGTCTTGGGATTCACGCTCTGAAAGCACAGATTGAAAAAACCACGGGGAAACGAGCAGCTATCGTCTATGGGAGTTTGCCGGCCGAAATTCGAACCCAGCAGGCTGCACTCTTCAACGATCCGGACAATGACTACGACTTTCTAGTTGCTAGCGACGCTATTGGCATGGGTCTCAATCTGTAAGTTGCTTCTGGTAGTCGCCGACTCTCCCAGATACTAATATCGCGTTGTTTAGGAGCTGTAAGCGTATCGTTTTTGAAACCGTGATCAAGATGCTCCCGCAAGGGCTTGTGCGGCTCACTGTACCAGAGATCAAACAGATCGGAGGACGAGCAGGTCGTTATAAGCCTGCTGTGCAGCACGGGAAAGTTTCTCAAAATGATACAGAAGACAATGTCGGTTGGGTGACATCCCTCGAGGAAGTTGATCTACCTTACATCAAGCAGGCAATGGAGATAGAGCCCCCTCCCCTTGTTGCCGCGGGCTTGCAGGCACCGGACTCTGTTTTCCAGAAGTTCTCGGCTTATTACCCAGCGAACACCCCCCTGGAATACTTGATCAAGCGCATTTTGTCGGTCGCACAAGTACATCCATTATTCTTTTTGTGTGATCCTCGCGCTCAGCTCGAAAACGCCGAGGTCATCGATGCCGTCGAAGGGCTGCGCATTCCTGACCAACTGACTCTCATGGCCGCACCTATGTACGTCAAGGATGTCATTGGCAAGGATGCAGCTGTTGAATTCGCTCGCGCCGTTGCCGAGAACTCGAACGGCCATCTCCTAAGCTTTTCGAGCCTCAATCTGGAAATTCTCGAACAAGAGGTTTCAGCCAATAAACAATACACCGCAGAGTTGGAATCTCTACACAAGTCAATCGTCTTATATCTCTGGCTGAGCTTCCGTTTTGGCGGCATTTTCACAGACCGGACTCTGGCCATGCACGTTAAGGAGTTGTTGGAAGAAAGGATGGTCCGGGCCCTGACGGAATTCTCCGCCAACAAGAAGCTCAGAAAGGACTCCTCTCTCCGACGGCAGCTCGCTATTGAGAGACAGAGTTTGGAACAACAGCAACTGCTGGCCGAGTTCGCCGATACCACCTACGGTAGCGGCATGGCTTCGCTTGATGATCAAGCGCAAGACGACGCGCTACACACAGACGACTTACTGGAAGACCCTGTGCTGGAAGACCCTGTGCTGGAAGACCCTGTGGAGGATGCTAATCTGCAGGAAGACGGTGTCCAGGAAGAACCTGCCCAGGAGGAACAGACCCAGGAACAGCCGAGAGCCCAAGGAGGATCTCACTAGATTCATAGTTGAAGGGGTTCTTATCTAATGAATTGTAGCGCATGTTCGTGCCTATTATGTTAGGTTATTCTGTATATAGAGAACTCTGGTGGATTATGATCCTTGCGGACTTTTTGTATAATAGGAACTGAGGAAAGGAACGAATGTACAGAGATAACCCTACTCCGAACAAACAAGAGTTGGATGCTAAGCTCTACAGTAGGATGCAGTCAAGAGTCGAGTTAACTAGGTAGTTACTCCGTAGTCACCGTATTTTGATACAGGAGATGGCGCACCACCTAGGCGGCGGTGTAGCGCTGTCCTGTACATACTGAGTACATACCTCCGAGCTACGTCCGGGCAATATCTATACCGCCTACCAAAGAGGGAACGCAACTTTCCTATATGAATCCACCCCGGTTCTAGATCGGTACCCAGCAGGGCCTGTGTTGGGAAACGCTGCCGCTGATCGTAGGAGTAAACGCTCAGATCCTGCGTTCGAGTTTCGGCTGGCATTTCTAGACGCTAGCTCTACCATTCGAGATTCATTGGTATGAAAACACCCGGGGATAAGAGGGGTTTTCGTAGCCTGCGCTGGCGGGCGAGCTTTTTTTGATCTTGTTACTTCTTGACTGTTTCTTCTCATCATGACTCTTGGCATAGATCGAGAGCTCTCGCCTGATAGCTTCTTCATCCATTGTATGTTGCGCTTTCGTCAACTTGATCTTTTTCTGAAGCTGGGTGTAACTTAGTAGAGGAGACAAACATACAAACATACTGCCAGCGTCTTATCTTATCGGTGGCGGACTACCCCGAACACGCCACAACGATTTTCCGCGCCAGTGAGCTTCGCCCATTTCGGTGTCGTCGTAGGTCCGGCACCACGAACATTGAAGCAGACCGGGCAGATCAACTTGTCCTTCGCCCCCGTCAGAAAACCACCTGGAGCGAATGACTCGACCCTCCTCGCCATTTCGAACGGCTTTGTATTGAAGTCATTTTTATTTACTCAACGCGAACCCCAATCCGCCTGCCCCTCCCCAACTGCGAAACAAGAAAACAAGAACAGCATCCACCATGGATGACCTCCAGTCTCTGGAGCTCTTTTCGCTCGTCTCGCGAATCACCGGAGAGCTCCAGAACCACTTGGGCGTCAGCGACAAGACCCTCGCCGAGTTCGTCATCGACCAGCATCTCAAATGCGGCTCGTTCGCCGAGTTCAAGCAGAGCCTGGAGGAGATGGGTGCCGAGTTCCCGCAAAGTCTGATGGAAAGTATCGATCGTCTCGTCCTCACGATGCATCCCAAGTACAAGGCCAAGAACGCACAGGCCCAGAACTCGTCTGGGGCGCCTGGCGATGACGATATGGATATCCTGGGGGCCCTCGAGAAGAAGGCGCGCGTCTTTAAGGGTCTCGCTGTTCCGGATAAGGTGCAAACGTGGGATGAGGAGGACTATGTCTCGCGGAAGGATGTGCAGGAGAGCGATGCGAAAGCCGACGCGATGGACGATACGTTTGCGATGCTGGAAGGGCTGGCGGGCAAGGCGCGCGAGGACAAAGCCCCCTCTTCGTCACGGGTGGATCGCAGCAGCAGGAAACGGAGTCGGAGCCCGGACTACGATAACCGCGACCGTGACCGTGACCGTGACCGTGACCGTGACCGTGACCGCGGGCGCAGGCGCAACGACAGATACCGTTCGCGGTCGAGATCGCACAGCCCTCATTACGGCAGGAGAGAGGCTGAGGATGAGGTGGACGAGTTTGGCAGGTCGAAGAGCAAGTACAGCAGCCGGGACGACGGATATCGCAATGGACACAGTGAGCGCAGGAGTCGCCGCGACCGAGCGGGCGATGACGACTATTTCCGCAAGCCTCCGCCGGTCGAGCTGGATGACCAGCCTATCCTATACAAAGTGTACGATGGTCGTGTGACGGGCGTGAAGGACTTCGGCGCATTCGTCAATCTGTTGGGTGTGAAGGGAAAGGTTGATGGGCTGGTACACGTCTCTGCGATGCAGGAGGGAGCGCGTGTCAATCATCCTTCGGACTTGGTATCCCGCAACCAGCCAGTTAAGGTCAAGGTCGTCAGCATACAAGGCTCTCGCATTGGCCTGTCCATGAAGGAGGTGGACCAGGTCACTGGCATGGACCTGATTCCTCAACGGCGTCTAGCGTCCGGGGCCAACATGGAACGCCTCGATGGTACCGGCGACAACGACAGATATGGTAACTTGACCTCGGATGTGCCTATCATCGAGGACTCAGACGGCAGGCCTATGAAGAATCGGAAGCGTTTGACGTCCCCTGAAAGATGGGAGATCAAACAACTCATCGCTTCCGGGGCTGTTTCAGCGCTTGATTACCCTGACATTGATGAAGAGTATCATGCCACTTTGACCGGAGAAGGCACATTTGAGGAAGAAGAGGATGTTGATATCGAGGTTCGCGATGAGGAGCCGCCATTCCTGGCGGGCCAGACTAAGATGTCACTGGAGCTGTCCCCCATTCGAGTCGTCAAGGCACCGGACGGCTCCATGAACCGAGCCGCAATGGCAGGCACAAACCTGGCAAAGGACAGAAGGGAGCTCAGACAGCAGGAAGCCCAGGACAAGGCGGCAGAACAAGCAGCCAATGTTGATCTCAATGCGCAATGGCAAGACCCGATGGTGGCGCCGGAGGAGCGCAGGTTCGCTGCTGATCTTCGGAATGCTCAGCAAGCGAAACCCGACGAGGCTGTACCCGAATGGAAGAGAGTTACGATGGGCAAGAACGTGTCTTTCGGAAAACGGACCAGCATGTCTATCAAGGAGCAGCGGGAGAGCTTGCCAGTCTATAAGTTCCGCAAGCAGTTGCTAGATGCTGTTCGTGACAACCAGTTGTTGATTGTCGTTGGTGACACTGGCTCCGGAAAGACGACACAGTTGACACAGTACCTGGCTGAAGGTGGATACGCAAACAATGGTATCATCGGCTGTACGCAGCCTCGCCGAGTAGCTGCCATGTCTGTTGCTAAGCGTGTCGCGGAAGAGGTTGGCTGCAAGCTTGGTGCGGAGGTTGGATACACGATTCGTTTTGAGGATTGTACTAGTCCGGAGACGAAGATCAAGTACATGACCGACGGTATGCTTCAGAGAGAGATTCTTCTTGACCCGGAACTTAAGAGATACTCTGTGATTATGTTGGATGAGGCCCACGAGCGAACCATTGCCACGGACGTTCTTTTCGGCCTGCTCAAAAAGACCATCAAGCGACGCCCTGACCTCCGGCTTATCGTCACCTCCGCCACTTTGGATGCAGAAAAGTTCTCGGAATACTTTAACGGCTGTCCGATCTTCTCTATCCCGGGTCGTACATTCCCGGTCGAGATCATGTACTCCAAGGAGCCCGAGTCCGATTACCTCGATGCAGCCTTGATTACAGTCATGCAGATTCACTTGACGGAACATTCGGGTGATATTCTTCTCTTCTTAACAGGCCAGGAAGAAATTGACACAGCCTGCGAGATTCTGTACGAGCGGATGAAAGCCCTGGGATCAAGCGTACCCGAGCTTGTCATTCTCCCTGTGTACTCCGCTCTGCCAAGTGAGATGCAAAGTCGTATTTTCGAACCTGCACCTCCAGGTGGCAGAAAGGTTGTCATCGCGACGAATATCGCCGAGACCTCTATCACCATCGACAACATCTACTATGTTATCGATCCTGGTTTTGTGAAGCAGAATGCCTACGATCCCAAGCTCGGCATGGACTCGCTGGTTGTCACCCCTATCTCACAGGCGCAAGCCAAGCAACGAGCTGGCCGTGCAGGAAGAACCGGTCCAGGCAAATGCTTCCGTCTTTACACTGAAGCGGCCTACCAATCCGAGATGTTGCCTACCACGATTCCTGAAATTCAGCGCCAGAATCTCTCCCACACCATTCTCATGCTCAAGGCAATGGGCATTAACGATCTTCTGCATTTTGATTTCATGGATCCTCCACCAACAAACACTATGCTGACTGCCTTGGAAGAACTATACGCGCTCTCTGCACTGGATGACGAGGGTCTTCTGACTCGCCTGGGTAGAAAGATGGCGGACTTCCCTATGGAGCCCGCTCTCGCTAAGGTCCTGATTGCCTCGGTCGACATGGGGTGCTCGGAAGAAATGCTAAGCATTGTCGCCATGTTGTCAATCCAGTCAGTGTTCTATCGTCCAAAGGAGAAACAGCAACAGGCCGATCAGAAGAAGGCCAAATTCCACGATCCGCACGGTGACCACTTGACTCTACTCAATGTTTACAATGCATGGAAGAACTCGAAATTCAACAACGCATGGTGCTTTGAGAACTTCATTCAAGCGCGTCAGATCCGTCGTGCTCAAGATGTCCGTCAGCAGTTGATGGGCATCATGGACCGGTACCATCACAAGATCGTGTCCTGTGGCCGGAACACTACCAAGGTCCGTCAGGCATTGTGTACGGGCTTCTTCCGCAACGCGGCTCGCAAAGATCCTCAAGAGGGCTACAAGACTCTAGTCGAAGGCACCCCGGTCTACATGCACCCCAGCTCCGCGCTGTTCGGAAAACCTTCTGAGCACGTCATCTACCACACGTTGGTCCTTACGACGAAGGAGTACATGCATTGCACCACATCCATCGAACCCAAGTGGCTGGTCGAGGCCGCGCCGACGTTCTTCAAGGTTGCGCCGACGGATCGACTCTCGAAGCGCAAGAAGGCCGAGCGCATCCAACCTCTGCACAATCGCTTCGCCGGAGAAGACGATTGGCGTCTATCTGCACAGAGACGTCAAGGCAGAGGTGGTGGTGGTGGAACGTGGGGTTAGTGATTCTGTTTGGTGCTGGTTTAGACTTCATATTTCCTTATTTTTCAGGCATGTATATGGCGAGGTTCCCAACGCATACCCCTCGTGAATTTGTGATAAAAAAAATTACTGTCTTTCTTGTTGCGGGGTCATAAAATGTAATACTATGAGTCATGATCTACAAAATATTTTTACTCTGCAGATGGCTAGAGCACCGGTCCACCCCCTGTCAGGTCGACCCCGAAATCTGATGATGAGTTATACGACTTATATTCGAGCCAACCTGCAATTTCCACGGTCCATGTCTGCGATGTCTTATATTTAGACAACTTATCGGAGTGTCCCATCTCGCAGTATTGTCTTTGCTCGGAACACTTCATGTGAACGACATTTGACGATGCTTGGAGAAAGATATCAGGCATGATCCTGTTGAGTCTGGACTAGCACTGATCGTCATCACTCCTGCGCTCTTGTTTTCTGTACGCCAATCCTGCCAATACTGTACAGAAACTACCCAAGGCCCGACGAAACGCACGCTGTCGACATGTCTCAAAGTACGAGGGACTATTCTACCAGGGACTCCTACTGGCTAAAAGTGTTGCCGAGGCGCCCTTGGAGTTGAGCGATTAGGTAAATGTGAGTCCTACCACTATAACTTAGAGGTTGAAACTATTTCCAGAACTGAATTCAGTAGGTGATTTGACCGATCGGGGTTCGTTGCGTTGCGTTCCGTCAACTATAGTATACTTCAAGCCACATGCCCTCGCTGCCGTGTCTCCTAAGAGGCGATAATGATAGAAAGAACTCCTACCAGATCGGTCACGACTCCGGATCTCTCATCTATGCCTCGTCTATGATCCCTGTATACACGAAATACACACAAGCACCGCCGGTGGTGTCTTCCCGCCAACGGGAAGCCCGCCTTCGGGGATCAAGGTTCAGCGTTCCTCTCGATCCCGAGGCTCATCCGGTGACTGAAGCAGGCCTAATCGACTGTCCGTCCGTGGAAGAAGACCCCGAGTCATTAGACTTTATCACGGGGAACAGGGAAGATTAGCTTACTCGTATCACCTCGACCCCGACACTTATCGCCAGACAAGACCGAAGAGCAAATGCACGAGTCTCTCACATTCACTCAGGGCCACCTTCTCCCCGATCGAGTCTACTGTGCTGCTGTAAACTATACGCACAATCTTCCGGTCTCGATCGATCCACTATTAAATCAACTCACTTCCTTCCCAGTCCAAGATGCCAGCATTGTCTTCTTTGTATACCACAGTTCTCCCGCCAAGACCAGAATTGAATATGTCTTGCTCATTACCAACATCGTCGTCCTCCCCTCCCTCCACCGCTCCCCCCACCCCAAAGATGTACACCCAGCATGACATCGAACAAGCGCTCGTAGGCTCCTGGTCCCTCCTCGAGTACTTCTCCGACCCCTACGACGGCAAGGGACCCTCCCTGCATCCCATGGGGCCCGACGCACGAGGGATCCTCACCTACCACCCGGACGGGTGCATGTCCGTGCATCTCATGCCCTCGACCAACAAGCAGAGGCAGAAGAAGCAAGCCCGCACGACGCTCAACGACGGCTTCATGTACACCGGCGAATACTGGGTGGAGCTGCACGAGCGGGACACAAACAGCAGCTTCGTCGTCTGCCATCGAGCCGAGATGGCTTCCTTGCTGCAACTAGAGGGCAAGGTGCAGAGGCGGCAGGTCACGCTGCCGAGCCGGAATCGGCTGGTGTTGTCGTATGTGGGCTTCGAGGATCTTGATGTATATTTCCCCTCTCCCCCGCTCTCTCTGCTTGTGGCTGTGACGTGCGAGGAACGAGGCTGACCCGTGGTGGTCTGTAGGGCCTGATGGTGAGGCCGGAGTTGATGTGGGAAAGGATTTGTCGGCCTTGCAGGGCGGCATCGAGATAAATTGAAAGCGCTTTGTGTCGTGGTGGTGACGATTCTCCTGGCTGGGTACTGTAGATTTCGGCCTGAAGTTTCTCATGTGTTATGATAAATGCTCTACATCGTACTCATTGCTTATTTCGGAATATGTGTCAGACTGACTTTTGACGATTGACTACGTAGATCTGTCGACAAGTAAATATCTATCTAATGATTCAGATGCATTGTACCTAGTACGTAGTAAGTTATCACTGAGTCTACCTACCTCAGTCCAAACACAATACCTTAAATTAGTACTTCATATGCTAGAGAGCACAGACCAATCAAAAACCGGCGGGTAGTTCTGGCGCGACTTCCGGTTCTGGCAGGACTTTTCGTGGCCGCGGCGGTAGTGCCGGGGAACACTGTTGGTGTGAGCCTGTCAATCAATTATCATACCTTGTCATACTTCATTGATTTAACTCTTGGAGTACTGCCTGCTAAGGTAACAACAATCTCTTACCACCGATGCTAATCTGCACTGCGTTGACAGTGTTGAGTTGAAGTCTACCGTCCAGTCTAAATTCCAGCTCTCCAATCGAGTGCCATATTTACCCATCCAATCAGAAGCCGCAAAACTCTGAAGCCGGCCGGGCGACGGAGAGGCAGTTCTCAGTTACTGCATTGATATCTTCGAGTTCTCCAGTTCCGGTGGTGATTCCTTTCGTCTTTGCATCCATCCAAATAAATTCACAATGTCGTCCCACGACAATGAATTCTCTAGAAATAAGAGGAGAAAGTTGGACAGTGCCCCGGAGGGCGAGGGAATCCCTGCCACCATTACCTCGCACACTCAACTCCGAACTGCACTGACCTTTCAGCAAAACCCTGCCGAATCTAAGCAAGGTACTTCGCCTCCAATGGTCCGCGGAACGTGAATGTTGACAACATGAACAGGACTACGAAAATTCAAGGATTTTCTCACTTCCATCGTGCAGGCAGAGAATGAGGCCGAGAAAGCCAAAAAGTTCCGCATTCTCAAAGCTTACTGTGATTCGCAGTTCTCGCAAACTAATGAAAATGAGGCCGTCTGCTTCCCGGACCTGGTCCAGACCTGGGGTTTTGCCGATAGCAACAACAACGAGTCGTTATTGACCACGGTTCCTGCCGTCCTCGCTCAATTCTTCAAGACCGTCTCCACCAATCTGGAGTTTCGGGACTTTGGCGTAGCATTATGCAAGTATCTCTTGCAAAAGGAGCAGCTGAAGCTGTTCAACCGCGGCTTGACTGCGGTCAAATCAAAGGAGCATCTCATTTCTCCCTGCCTGCGTCTCTTGACGGAAATGGTCACCTTCGACGGAGGTGCTGTCGCTCGCCAGGTCTACCAGGCGCGGCACGTGACGTTCAAACGCATCGAGTTCTTCCTGACCCCGAACAAGGCTCAGTTGGAAGAAATGGCCGAGGATGGACACAAGTCTACATTGCGAAGGAACGCTCAAAAATATGTCCTCGCTAATTTCAAGTTCCAGCACGCCAACTCCAAAAGTGATATCATTGAACAGCACAAGGTGATCAGAGCATTCTTCGAATATATCAGGAAAGATCCCCGGGACATTGTTCTTGAAATCCTCCAATCCATTGAAAGAGACGTCATTCGCGATACGGCCATCCCTCGCCACGCCAAGACGAAGTTCTTCAGCCGATGGAACCTTGAGCGACTTGTGACCCTGTATGGCTATGACCGCGAGTCAGAGGAGCCCAACCCAACTGGCGTTTCAACGGCAAATGAGGTTCACAAGATCTTGACGAACATTTGCACGAACTCTGATCTTGGCGTTCTGCTGCCTGAAACCGGCTGGTACCCCACTGGCAGCGACCCTGAAACCTTGCCGACGGACGACGATACTCTGATTGATCTAGGCCTGGATTCAGCAGTCTATCTCGACAAGTATAACAAGACTGTGCCTGTGCGGAATGGAACACTGTCTTATCTGATCCAGGCTCTCCGTCCGGATGCAGATAGTCTTCAGATCGAGCTTCTCGTTGCTATCTTCAAAGCGGCACCAGAGCTGGTAGCTGACTTTTTCACTAAGAAGACCATGTTTATTGCGGATCCCAAACCTACTCCCTCCTGGATGGCGGAGTCTGCCCTTCTCTTCTCCACTGTTCAACTTCCAGTTCCTTCAAATTGTGGTTACAAGGAAAAATCACCTGCGATGCCACCGCCAGTCTCGGTGGTCATTGAGAACGTTCTCCCTCGCCCGCTCTCACAGAAGATCCTGAGTCGCTGCCTGAACATGAACACGGAGATCGTCACACTCTTCGCCGTGAGAATTCTTACGATCGCCTTCAACAAACTGCGGGCTGTCTTGAAGATTTTCAACTCTGATCATGGCGTCAGCCAGTCGCTTTGGTTGCAGGCGGCCAGCAAACTGATTGCTGAGTTCTGCCGGAGGTGCCCGGCTGTCAAGGAGGTCATCGTCTTGTTCAAGAGAACGGCTAAGGAAGATCTACAGCAAGAAGAGGCGGTATCGGAGCTTCTTGCATGCTATTATGAGATTGTTCCAGATGCTGCGTTGGAAGAAGGATTTGATGTTTCATTGGTCATGGTTGACATCCTGAAGAAACTAGACGAGCAGAATCTTGATGCAGACGACACCGAACTCTTGTTGAGTGAATTGCAAAATCTGCTCAAGATCACCCAGCAGTCTTCATCAATGCGCTGGTGGCAACAGCCTGGTAAGTCAAGTCAGTGTTATACTCATGGTCAACTGCTGACTTCTGTAGCATCTATGCAATATTCGGCTTTCACCTCCATCTTGAAAGTTCTAGTCCAAGCCTCGTCACGAGAGGCCTTGAGTGAGATTGACAACCTACTCAGAAAGGTACTCAATGAGTATTCGATCATTCAGAATGACTCCATCTTTCCGTCCATCTTATCTAGCTTTGAGACTACCGACTTGGACAAGCTTCAGCAGCAATTGTCTTTCTTTGATAACTGTGTTTGCCGTATTGCGAAGAAGCCTGTCCATTATCAAGACCTACTTGAAACCTCATTCCCAGAGGCGTCGAAGCCGGTGAGTCTCATATTGGCTGCTGTTCTCGAGCAGTGGCCGTTCGTGGTGAAGGCTGGCGATAAATCCGTGGAACTCGCCGTGAGTGCTTGGGTCGCCAAGCTGCTCGCGAGCTTGAAACGCGCTGGGGAAGACTCTAAAGCCTTGAAAACCGCTCGAGACACGTTGATGGACGGCACCGAGAACAAGAAATCCAAGTCGGCTTTGAAGAAGGCGTGGAAAGAGAGCGAAGAGCCGGAAAATGACAATTCCGGGGATGTCCGTCCATCTACGCAAGATAAATTGGTCACCGAAACCAGTGGACAACCGGAGGTGGACTTGGATGAGATCTTTGGCACATTGCCCGTCGAGGGCACCACTCACAACGAACTCTACCGATGGGAGAAGGATGAAATCGACGTGGCAATCGAACAGGGTCGTATTGCGGAACTGATGCTCTGCCTATGCTCAGCGCACGAAGAAGTCCGCAGACAGGCATTTGCGAATGTGACTCGCTTTATGGCGAAGCTCAAGGTATGTCTATTTCCATTGTACAGATACTGCTACAGGCTTTGACTGATTGGCTACCATAGGACTCCAAGTATGTCGAATGGCGATCCGTTTACATCCTCACGGGTGAGCTTCTCGAAACCGTCAAACAAATCGGTCTCGAGTCTCCTGTGCCGTGGATTGTGGGAGAATGTGCCTCTAGCTGTCTCGATGTCCTGACCAACCCAATGCACAAACTGTATGGGAAGGTCAACAAGTTCCTGCAGAAAGCGCCTTCTTGGGAGCTAGAAAAAATCCCCTCGTTTTGGATTGACAAGATCTTGTTGCATGAGCCTGAGCTCGATGATGGATACTTTGAAGAGACTGGGTGGCTATTCGATTTACTCATCAAAGGTCTCCGCACTGAAGTGGTATGTTTGTTACGTCGCTGATTTCACCTTTGCTTGAATATGCGCTCACGAAAAAACATCAGGACATGGATATCTATCGCCGGGCCAACGTCTTTGAACGATCCCTCTCATATTATGAAGCACCAAGTGCAGCCCACTCGGTCAAGAGAAAGATCCTGCAACTTCTTTATCGCACAACCCAAGTGCAGGGTAGTACGACGCTGATTACGAGGGCGGGCATTATGAGCTGGGTTCAGAGTCAGATCCCAGCCGTGACGGCTAAAGAGACGCCCATGTTCACGGCCATTGCCCACAGCCTGCAGCGAACCTCTGACAGCGACCGGGTGGAAAAATGGAGTGGAGGTGCCGTGCTGAAAGCGGTTGAGAACATTGTGGGTTAAGGGACTACCTGTTGGGATATTATAATGTTCTGTATATGCTTCGATAGACATGTGTTGGAATCCAATTGGCGCTCGGTTGAGGTGGTATACTAGTGCAACCTGGAGATGATCGTAAGCTCAACGCCTCTTGGTCAGAGCTAGGCGATAGAATTGAAGTAACAGGTGAAACTCGACACGAGAGACAACTAGCCCTGCACCATCTCATCATTTCTACCCCTCATGAATGGAGTTCAGGGAGAATCAGTTGCTCTGCGCCAGGGTGCAGGGGGCCGAGGCAAACGGGGATTGTAGTAAATGATCAGAATAACAGCATAATCATTGGAGAGCATTGTACTTTTACTCGAGCAATTTATTAATTCAACTCGTATTGAAGATGATCAAGTGCCAAGTCATCACTTTGGGATGTGGTGTTTACTCGTAGTTTGGAATAATTATTGATCGATTGATTGATTGATTGAGCCCGGGGGGAGCCAGGCGAGTTGCCTGATTGGGTAATGCACACGTTTTTGCGGTAAACTTCGCCTCGATCTTTTGCCTGCCCGCACCGCAACTTGGAACTTCCACTACCCTTTCACCTGAACCTGAACTGCCTCTCCTCTCTCTCCTCCTCTTCCTCCCTCCTCCCTCCTCCCCCCCCCCAAAATCCGCCCGCCCCGTTCATACGTCCCCCCGTACCCTCACATTGTTCCTGCAGCCTCCTGCTTCATTTCTATATCCGATTCACTCCCTGACTTTGATCCTACTATCATTCCCG